TTCTCACAGAAACACTTGGACTTTGTACAATAAACTCCTAGCTTATGACTAAATCAAAAAAGTAAGAAATATCCATATTATAAGTATATGATACTACAATTTACTCTCTTTGATTTCTATAACATTGCACCATCTTTGGAATAAAAGGTTACAGAGAAAATTAAATACCACAACAGAAAATTTAATGTTCTGTAGAAAAAGCATTCAATCTCCTGTGCAAAAAATTACAGCATCAAAGCCTTCCCTATCAAATGTCTCAATACCATTCCAATTCCTGAGAGATTCCTATACATTACAGTGCTATTTCTTTCCTTTGAAAACCCACCTCTGATACAGACTATGTTTCAGGCAACTGTGTGAAATCAATGAAAAGCCAATACAGGCGAAAAATGAAGAATTGAAGAAATGCTCTGATTCGAGGTACAGCAAATCATTTAAAGCAGCCAGTGTATTTGAACTATTGATTAAGTGTCTCTTGATGGGCAAATGATGGATGCCATGTTGGAAAACATTAATAAATTGGCCAAAAGGGACCAACTTTGAGAATAGATATGGAAAAGTGAGATTTAGGCCGTTAGTCCCTATCCAGTTCTCAGTGAACAGCATGCAAGGACCAGTATGAGGACATGCACTGCTGCTTCATTCTCAACATCAACGTATGCAAAAAGATTCCAAGAAAATGAGTAAAACCATAGACCAAAATTATCTCCATGGCACACTCCACACACCAGGGGTGCATCTTAGATTGTAGTGGCTAAACATAAACCAATTACAAAGCACTATCATATTGAATGACTTGCTTTATAAGTATAGCCCTAAGCAGGAAAGCGAGAATAAAAATTTTTGATGCTTAAGGTGCCAAATCCAAGATGGCAACTTAAATGACCACTTCTTTTTGATATTTAGATAATCTTGTGTTTTCTTCATCTTTGGGGATAAAATGCATATTCTACTTGAGTCTGCCTTTGTTTGAAAAACTAATTGTTATTAACATATATGTATTGCAGGTACCGTAGTTGCATGAGCAGCTCTATTAAAGCCAGATACCTAGCACCTAAGGACTTGCTTAACTTGTAGCCCAAATAAAGCCATGGAGGAAAAAAGGAAAAAGCATTTCCTTAACTCAAAACACATTCGGCTCTCTGCCAAAGGTGAAACTAGTATGACCTATCCTCACCCATGGCATATAAAAGAGGAATCATGATCAATTTGGAAAGAGTATTGTACAGTTTGGTCAAAGGGAGGAAATCCAGTGTTACACTAGTGGTTTGTATGCAGATGTTAAATATTACACAGTTTAGAAATATTGATTACTCTTTTTTTCTCTTACACTTAATATAACGGCCAAAGGGGCATTAAATGGTTCACATTTGTGTAGAATGTGCTTATTGTGGTAATAGGTCTTTATATACATTTAGATTATAAAAGGAACGCCTCTTAGACTAGTACTTACATAAACAGAAACTCACATACAGACTGAGTATAATAACCTCTTGCAAAATTGTTGCAATAAATAGGGGAAAACTAAGTATCTCTGCATAAAGGAAAAATCTAAAAGATAAGCTCTTATGAAATGTCACAAAAAAAATAATTTCAATTAGCATTAGTATTAATGCATTATAAACTTATTTCTGATTGTTAAAAAGTACATTATTTACCTTACAGCTTACTTATTATACTGATTCAGTCAGGTAAGAACAAGGTACGGTTTCAATACAAATCTTGCCCTGTATTTTTCTTAAATATGAAATTGATGTAAAAAATTAAAACTCATGCTTTCTGAATCATTGAAAGTCCATGCGTAAAGATCATACAAATAATTTTTCTCACATGACCTTCCAAATGCTAATTGTGACGTCATGAACTTGTGCATTTTCCCGTATTTTCTTAAAAAGTTGCAGAAGACATCAATTTTTAATGAAATTTTCTTTCAGATAATATAGACCACATGCATCGCCCACAAAGATTTTGAGATATGTGATTTTTCAAGGAATTTTACACAACATATCCGAAAATTAAAGTGGGCGACGGCTGTGGACACTATTTTCTTAAGGAAAATAACCCCTGAAATGGGTCATTTTGGGACTATTTCTGCTTATAACAGAGAAATACATCAAATAAATTATGTCATATTTCCAGAATGGTCCTCGTTCATGCCATATTTTTTCCTGATTTCTCACAGTCATATATTCAACTCATATTTAAACTACTTTCAAAACTTTTTGAAAACATTAAGATTTTAGGGCACAATAAAGCCAAAACCGTATCTTCTTCTTTGTGTGGAAATTTAAACCAGAAAGACTAAAAGAATATGCTCTTAATCACTTAATATCGTTTAGTACTTCTACTAGTCTTTGTGCAAAAAACATGAAATTGATGTGTCAATCCTGGGTCCCTTTACAATTTTCCAGTCTCAAATTCAGATAAAAGTTTATTGCTTATTGGTTCATTATCCTGATAAAATATGTATCTGTCATGGTAACTAGTCTTGTTCATAATATAGCGAGTACAGCAAGCAACACTGCCAACACAGTGTCCAAAGCATAATGAGTTCTATAGAATAATATGTAAGAAGAGAAGAAATTTGAACTGGAATTTGCACATTGTTCAAACAAATTTTAATGTTCCAGTTCCTAGATTCCCATAAATTCAGCATGGCTACCAAAATTCCTTGCAAACACTAAAAATGGCAGGAAAAAACATGTTCAACTAAAAGTTTGTTTTTGCAAAGAGTTAAAAGAAAAAGAATTAAGCATTCTAAAAAAAAAAAATATGAAGGCCTTATGCTAAAATCTGATGCAATGCACATGCCCAGTTGGAAATGCAAACAATATCTGATGAACGATTTCATGTGAATGTCACAGTTCACAATGAGTAAGTACGGCCTTTTTTTCATCCAAAAAACTAATTTCAACTGAGATTTGGCTTAGCTGGATATTTGGACTGGTACTTGCACAGAATCTTCAAACAGTGCTTCATAATTTATGTCCCAAAATTCTAGGGCTGTGCAATAATATCAATATTCAGAAACACTACGATTTGTTGTCAAAAAAAAAAATATCATATTGCGATACCTTTTCTCAGTACTGATATACCAGCAAAATGCTTGGGCTTGGGATTTCTAAAGTAAAATATGAAATTTAAGATATCAGAAATGTTTTCAATTGTGATAATCAGTAAGGTTGCTGTTGTATGGTTGTATTTTGTTGCAAAACTGTAGTGAAATCAACAAGAACTTTCTTGTTACAAAGCATTTATAACAGTAATATACACTCTGCTTATAGATGGAGGTTAATAAAATAAGTTAATTTTAACTGTTATTGAAAATATTGCAATACATATCCCAGTACAGTTAAAAATATCGCAGTATATCGTAACACGAAATTCCTAGCTGATACCCAGCCCTACATAATTCACACTCAACTTTGGCTGGATTTAGCTAGTTTGTATTTAATAGGCATGTGTAATATGTATTTTGCATAGATTGTGCACAATATATGCACAAGAGTAACTATGCAGTTACTCTTGTGCATACATAGATTACTTGAAAAAATAGACTATAGGAACTCTTAAACCTTTCTATATAGATACTAAGTCTGTAAATGGACACAAAATACTAGCCCTTCAGCTCTCTGAAGCAAATCAACAAACACCAGAGTCACTAATGACTATGCTGCCACTAATTTTGTAATTTTTGCATCCAAGAGCTCTTCAGGCTTGCCTGAAATCAAGGGAGACTGTACCGCATCACTAGAAAAGCTAGCTCACCAGTGAGACAGTATACTATTCGCTGCAATACATTACGAAAAGGTGGATCAAGTTTGAAGTGTATAAAGACTAGGGTTGGATACCGTTAAGGATGAAACATTACGATACCATACCGGTATTTTTGAAATGATACAGTATTTTTAACAATACGGTACTATGCATTGATGAATGAGAATGAGGGTTCATTTTATGACAAATGTGCTTTCACCATTCACTATCCTTTGAATGATATAATATAAAATGAGCTTATAAACTTTGTTCCATGCTTTTAAGATATTCCTAATATTCAAATTACAAACATTTCATTTCAACCTTTTAATAATGATCAACAAAACAAATCAATTGAATCCGAAACAAATTAATTTGCATAAATCGGCTCACTGCTTCACCTGGTTGCCAGGACCCCTTTTGATTGGTCTCACTAAATGACGAAACATTATATAATGGATAGATCACATTTTTGCCTTTTTAATTTACATTTATTATCAGTTTTTATTTGTAAAATTAAAATAAGATTCATGTGAATGTATTTTGATTTTTTTTTTAAATATACGTATTGATTTACCTCGAATATCGGCAGTCAAAAGTAAGTATCGTTCTAAGAATCCATTTCGTTACATGTAATTAGCCTACCCTTACAATGAGCGGAGAATTCGATTTTAGCAAGTTTGGAATGTTTTTTTTTTAAATCAAATTGAATGTATTAAAATGTTTTAAAGATTAAGAAGTACCGTTATTAGTACCGGTATTAAATGAAACGGTATTTTACCGGTAATTTTGAAGTAACTATTCGATACGGTATTGGTACCGAGTACCCGTATCCAACCCTAATAAAGACTTTCTTAATGTATATCAGAATCATCAAAAAGTAAAACTGCACTCACCCTAATGGTCACAAAGTCCAACATTTTAGCAAATTCTCATCATTCAAAGCTAAAAACCACATCTGGTGACCATTATATTTTAATCTAATTTACAATGCAAACAATTAAATCATGGCAACACATTAACCCAAACTAATTTGCTCTTTTAGCCTGTTAGAGTATAATCATTGAATCTAAATCATATCTACAAGAAACCAGAAACTGAGAAAGAGCAGACGAATTTCAGTAAGCACCTATTTCACTTGAAGAAGTGTGGTTGATTGCGGTGTATGGTTTTCAATGGTAAAAGATACCTATTGCTTTCAATATTTTCTGCGATGGAAGAATGAAGTTAGCTCAACAACTTACCTTTTAGGGCTAAGAGGTGTTCTTTTTCTTTCGTGCCTTCCATGATTGGCACAGATATTGATAGCTTGTACCATTTCTCAATTTGGTATACGGTAAATCTAGTAGCTCGCACCCCAAAAAAAAACCAACAAAACAACAAAATTGAGAGATTGCATTAATATGAAAGAGTTTTTGCATTTATCTATAATATATCAATATTACAAAATATATTTGAGTACCCAAGTTATATTAAACTGCAAACAGTGTGTAAAATGATAATCGTTAGATTTTTCTTTGTACCGAATATTTTATGTTTTAGTTACTAGATATTGAAAAACCGGAAGTGAACTGTGGTAAACCAAGTTGAAAACTTGGGCCGTGCCGGAATATTTTATGCAATCATGTCTCGAGGAAACTCGGAATATGACCTGAGAGATGCTAGTCAAGTAAAAGAATATCTCCAGAACGTCCTTATAGAATACCAGTATAGTTGCTTTAAGGAGGAAGATCCTACAGGTATGAGATTTTCAGTATCATCAACACATCAACATTTTGCTTCACTTACATAATGGCATGATACTAACAGTGTGATTTTAATAGACTTGTTATTTATTATTAATGATGAATAGATGTTTTTAAAGGTGAATGTATATCAATTAATACTACGCAGATTGATCTGTTCTCTTACTATTCTTTCTTTAATTCAACATCTTTGTGGATCATCACAGTATACAAATGTAACACTAGATTATTGAGATTGCATAAGCTGACAAGGTATTTGTAGACAAGCAGTAAATACAACTGAAATTACACTGCCTATAAATCAGAATCTTTTCATTTCATTGTAACGTTTATCATTACATTGAATATGTTTATGTTTGTATGGTTTTATCTGGAGTACATTCAATTTTCCCAATTAATGTTTCCCAACTGCTTACTAATGTGGTATGTACATGTGCATGTACTAGCTTTGTTAGAGAATTACCTGGATTCTCTATTTTAACAGTACTTTCCCTGTACTTGACTGGCTATTGCCATGACTTCCTGTCAACTGTCATTAGAAATTAAAGTTTTCATAAATAGGAAACATTACAGGGATGGGGTAATTGTAATTAGTATTTGTAATTGAGCGTAATTAATTACATTTTTTAAATTAATTGGAAGTAATTTGTATTTGAGCCAGTCTTCAATTACAAGTAATTGAATGTATTTAAATACATTTCCAAAAATGTCATGTATTTTCAATTACTTTTCAATTACATTTCAATTACTATTTTGTAAGTTATAAGTTTAAAAAGGTGTCTTTTCAAGATACACAGTTCAGTATACCTGTGTGGCATGGGCTTGTGTTTGTGCAACAATTAAATGTCTCAGAAAGTTTATTTGTTTATACAGCATGTCACACTGCCCAGGGCAATAGGTAGAGGTCTAATTTTGTCCAGATGTGAACCCCTCTTATACCCAAGAACAATCAAAGTACTCAGAAGTACAGAGAGCCGGGCTCACTTACATAGTAGTGAACAAAGACTGATTGAATTAAGTCAACTAATCAGTTATCCAGATTTATTTTTAGTTGTTTGTTTACTTTACATCTGAGAAATTTTCACTCACAGTTACACTCCACCTAGTACCTATGTCAGCACCTACTGAAAATTTTCACTCACAGTTATACTCCACCTAGTACCTATGTCAGCACCTACTGAAAATTTTCACTCACAGTTACACTCCACCTAGCACCTATGTCAGCACCTACTGAAAATTTTCACTCACAGTTACAATCCACCTAGCACCTATGTCAGCACCTACTGAAAATTTTCACTCACAGTTACACTCCACCTAGCACCTATGTCAGCACCTACTGAAAATTTTCACTCACAGTTACACTCCACCTAGCACCTATGTCAGCACCTACTGAAAATTTCGTACAAACTACTAAATCATTGCCAAATAGCCATGGCATCATTGATTTTAGTTATATATACAGTATTCACTGCAATTCACACAGCCCATGAAAACTAACAATTAACAAATTTACAATTTTTCTTTCATTTGAGTTTGCTATGTACTGCCGGACGTTGTATTGTGCTCAAAATAAATGTCACTACGATACCACACTCCACAGAAAAAAATAGTATCTCTCTTTAAAAAATAGTATAAATTAAAAAATGTTTAAAAAACTAAATAAAATGTAGCTAGAATTTAACAGCGTAAACAATATTTATCACATGTATCGTTTCGGGGTCTTATATACCTCTTACAGAATGAAATATATGGAGATAACGAACAGTATCCAAGCTCAAAAGTCCATTATACAATACAAAATAGGAGCAGAGCAAACACGGACCTCCAAACATCAGAGGTGGGACCAGGTGCCATGGACGAGCAAGCATCCCCCGCCGACCGGTCACACCCGCCGTGCGCTCCCTGTCATGATCGGGAAATAACGGAAAAATCCGTCGACAACCCAGTGTGTAAATAATGGCTTAACAATTAGTATGAAAAACGTCAGTCATCATTTGACTCAATGATAAATTGTATTTGCTGACAAGGTCATTGTATCGACCACAGAACCCACGAAACGATGACTCTAAACGAGAAAGCCGATATTCTTGTTTCATCAACCTATTTGTCAATAATTTACCTCGCCCCAGAAACTGCACATACGCAGAGCATGCTCTTGCGCATCGAATCAACTGAGAGATATATACCCCGTATGCAGGTGACGAAGGTATATTGCTGCATAAGTAAGGGAAGTTGATGATTGAAAAGTTAAAGTCATCACGTTTATCATAGAGCTTGGCTGCCAGATTACCATTAACGTCTTTTTCAAGTAAAATATCCAAATATGAAACAGATGTGTCAGACTCTGTGGTATCTTTTATCTCAAGTTCACCAGGATACACCGTATCGACATAAGAATGAAAATAGCCATTGCCAATTGACAATACGTCGTCGATATATCTAAATGTCGAGTTGAACGCCACAGCAAGTGTTTTCTTCTTTTCACGTACAAGATTTTGGACAAATTCTGCTTCATATGAATACAAAAAAAAAGAAGTAAATAAACATTGATGCAGCAAGATTAAGGTCAAACATTTATGCACAGATGGGTCCTCAGCGGGAAGTATTGCTTCAAAGTGTACATCAGGTCACATGCTCCCCACATTAGTGTTTGCCTGGTAACACAACCTTCAATTATTTATAGAATGTGAAGCAGACAGGGGGGCATGATAAAAACCCTTCGCATATTTTAAATCAATGATTAATCAGAGAAGAGGGGAGAAAGTATAGTTACCATATAATTTTTCTTTTTTGAGAATGTCACATTACTTTGTTTAATTTAGTGATTGTATTGCCTCAAAGGTGATTGAGCATACGTACTATATTCTTACTCGCAAATTTGGCGGTGAGGAAGCAGCATTTCCGGTTGAATACCGTAACAAAAAGCGGGTATTGCTCTACGAGCAATGAGCCCGGCTAAAAACACTGAATAAAAGTTCACTATAGTAAAAAACTTATTCAGAACCAATCATGAATTCAATAGTATTTGATGAATTTAATGTCCCAGAAAATGTTTCTGAAAATTTTAAAGTCAAAATCATTCCACGTTTCCTTGTCTTTCTCGGTTAGCCCAAAGGTATTTAGCTGTACCAGCGACTTCAGTACCCGTTGAAAGACTTTTCAGCATGGCTGGAAAACTGTTCAGACCAGAAAGACATCGTTTGAGTGATGCTGTGTTTGAAAATCTGATGATGATTAAAATGAACTCATAACAGTAAAAACATTTCAGTACATAATACTTTGTGTATCCCAATGCCGTTTATATATGTAATCTCAAGATTTTTTAAAAATAAAACTTAAGTAATTGAAATGTATTTAATTACATTTGTCAAAGTAATTGAGAGTAATTAATTACATTTGAAAAAATCAATGTAATTGTAATTGTAAGTAATTGACAAAATTATCAATGTATTTGAAAGTAATTAATTACATTTCAAAGTAATTGAGCCCAACCCTGAAACATTAAGTTCTAGTATTAAAATCTAAATGTTTTTAAAAATTATACTTTGATCGACTCATTGAAGTCAATGGGAGTGTGAAAGAGTGCAGTAGTCTTGAGTACCACCTGTACTTTACAGTATGTAGTAAAGTTATATGTCTGATAATATCTAATAACTATAAGTTTTTATTTTATTTGCTTTAGGTTGCCACCGTCTAGGGTACTTCCATGGTTATGTAGACAAGGATAAAGAAGATGCCAAGGAGAAGGCAAAACAAATATTCAAAATGAATTGTGAAAAATACAAGTTTGGCCAAAGCTGCGATTCTCTGGCTGGTATGATTCTGCATGATAAAAAATGTGAGTATATATTGTGATAAAATATACTGCAAATCTTGCTTATAAAGGACTTGGTATCAGTACAATTAAGGACTTATTGTGGCTAAAAGATACTTCAGTTATCAGGAACTAAATATAGGTGCCCCAGGAATTCCCTATAAAGAACTTTTACTGTACATTTGTGAAATGTCAAGCAAGACTCAACTTCAAGTTAAGATATAAACTGTGTTCTTTATGGGCTGAATTTTCTGTATTTTTTGAAAATCTTTTGTTTTATTTTTTTTTCTTTTTGTCAAAAATTTTTATGGAAATAGTACTTGTGTGTTATCAGTCTAATATTGAGTATTGAGTTTTTGTGGTAAGCACATGATCAGTTAAGTAGTGAAAACAAACCAATTCATAGAATTTTGGTACCCCCTTTTGAGTCTTATTGATAGTGGAGCAGTGTTTTTTTTTGTTTTTTTTTTTAGCATATTGTAACTATCTTGTCTGCCCATAATACTTGATAAAGCTTTGTATTTTAAAGAATTATATTCTGGTGCAAAAGTTATGACCAAGATTAACTTCAAGGTCAAGGTCATGAGATTATTCAGAAAGGTCTTGTCATAAGTGATGCGTATGTAAAAAAAAAAAATTGAACCCCCTTTGTCTGCTACAAAAGTTAATGCCAAGGTTAAAATGTTTGAAAAGTAGGTCAAACTTCAAGGTCAAGGTCATGAGGGCAAAATCATAATACATTTAGAAGAGTTTTGTCAGAGGTAATGCACATGTAAAAGTCTGAAAACCCTGTCTTTTCAGGTACAAAAGCTATTTACATGGTTAAAATTTTTAATGTTAAAGGTTAAACTTTCTCAAATGCAAATCAAATATGTTGGTACCCAAAGTAAGGTCTTTTCTCAAGGAATATACCTGTGAAATATGAAAGCCCTAGCAGCAACCATTGAATAAATATGGAAAAGGTTAAAGTTTTCCAAAAGTAAGTCAGACATCAAGGTCATGGTCAAATGGTCAAAATTAATAATACCCAAGGAAATGCTTTTTTCACAAGAAATACACATGTGAAGTATGAAAGCCCTATTTCCAACCATTCAAAAGTTATGGCCAAGTTTAAATTTTCCAAAAGTAGGTCAAACTCCAAGGTAAAGGTCAGGGTCAAAGTTGTTAGTATCCAAGGTAAGGTCTTGTCACAAGGATAACATATGGAAAGTATGAAAGCCCTAGCACAAACGATTCAAAAGTAATGGCCAAGGTTAATGTTTTCCAAAAGTAGGTCAAACTCCAAGGTCAAGGTCAATGGACTATAATTGTTGGCATCCAAAGGAAGGTCTTGTCACAAGGAATACACATATGAAATATAAAAGTCCTAGCACAAACTGTTCAAAATTTATGGCCAAGGTTAAAGTTTTCCAAAAGTAGGTCAAACTCCAAGGTCAAGGTGAAAGGGTTAAAGTTGTTGGTATCCATAGAAGGGTCTTGTAACAAGGATTACATATATGAAGTATGAAAGCCCTAGCTTCAACCATTCAAAAGTTATGGCCAAGGTTAAAGTTTTTAAAAAGTAGGTAAAACTCCTAAGTCAAGGTCAAATGGTCAAAGTTGTTGGTATCGAAAGTAAGGTCTTGTCACAAGGATTACACATGTGAAGTATGAAAGCCCTGGCACCAATTGTTCAAAAGTTATGGCCAAAGTTAAAGTTCAGTAAATTTTAGCAAAACTGGTGCTAACTCCAACGTCAAGGTCAAAAGGTAAAAAATGATGGCACCCAAAGAAAGGTCTTGTCACAAGGAATACGCATGTGAAATAAGAAAGCCATAGCTCCAACCAATCAAAAGTTATGGGCAATGTTAAAGTTTTTGTGGACAAACAGACAAATAGACTGACAGACATGGCAAAAACTATATACCCCCAAATCTGCAATATGGGGGAATAAAGAAATAAAAGTACATTCAGAAAGGCCTTCACACAGTAATGCATATGTAAAAAATGAAAGCCCTATCTTCTCTCAAGCAGAAGTAATGACTAAGGTGCAAGTTTTTGTGACAGGCAGAGGAATGAGATTTAATGTCCCTGGGCTGTTGCAAAAAGCAGAGAGAACAATTAATAATTCCAAACAAAAAAGGAAAGGAGTGAAGAATGAAATGTCTTAAAACTAGGGATGGCAACGAATATTCGAACATTCGAATATTCATTCGATGAGTCGATATTCGAATATGAATTTAAGATTCGAATATTCGGTGTTTCTCAGATTTCATAAAAAGAAGTACTGTGATTAATAAATTTCGCTATGAACAGAGCTGGAATTATCTCTGTTTAATTTACTAGCGATCAATTTCGATCGCTTGATTTCTTTCACTGCTTTCTTATCTTACAGATTTACTAAATTACATGTATTTTGTTTTGAATAAGGTGTTAAAGAATTGTACAATAATGCTCTATGTATTGAAATCTGAACAATATACCGTTACGACTATCTTGCCTTTGGTAAGACGACTGGTTCCTCAGTTGGAGGTACTATAAATACACATGTTTCCTTTGTTAAAATTATACTTTTCTATATTTAAATCAATTATTTATTTCAAACATTGACAAATATCAAATGGAATTCCTTACTGTACAACTACAAAAGTCTTCATACAATTTTACTTCCAATATAAGTATACTACGCTAAACCTGTCATGAGTAGGATGATGCATATTTAAAATAAAACTGATTTTATTTATTTTATCGAATATTCGAATATATTCGAATACTTTCATTGAATATTCGAATATGAATTATTGACAAAATTGACATCCCTACTTAAAACCAATACAAATTTGTTTTTTCCTGTAAATTAATGTCAATTGATTTTTGCAGATTTGACAGAAAAGGCAGACAGGGATGATATCATAAAATATTTCAAATTGGCCTGTGATAATCATTATTATACAGCGTGTAAAAATTTGGGTGTTCTGATGCTAGACAAAAATGAAATTTGGAAGGACTACCATGACACAAAGAAAGGGAGAGAACTTCTACACATGGCATGTGAGAAGAAAAATGTGGACAGTTGTTACATTCTTCAAAGACTCTATAGTAAGAAATCTCCAGAAAAAACATTGGAATATGCATTAAAAGGCTGTGAGTTAGACGATGGAAAATCCTGTGTCACAGCTTATCAATTATACCTCAAAGGATTTGGAGTAGAGAAAAACACTGAATTAGCCAACTTCTATAAGGAGAGAGCGAGTTACATACAGAGACATCATATTGCAACAAAACCAGATGAATCTACAAGAGTGACTATGTGATGTAGTTGAAATTTAGAAATTAATTAAAAAAAATATGAGCAAATTAAAGCACTGTCAGTTTCAGTTTGTGATATATGTAATCAAGGTTATTAAAAACCTTAATTTGTTCTTCATGTACCTGATATGTTTTCACATATTTCTATGGCAAGCTAACAAAGGTATACTTTAATATATATTGATGAAAGATATGAGCCTGTCACTTTATTCATGTTCTTTATGGAATTTACTTACAGCTTTTATTTTAAGATTATATATTCTGGATCCTTTTATGTTTATTTGACGTCTACACAAAGGCACCACAAAAGCAGATCATACCCTCTCCTCCCAACATGATTTTATTAACATGTTGTTCACAATATGGTGTAATGAACACCAACCACTGTCCTTGACCTTTGATATTTAGGTTCTGGAATCAAAAAGCTTCTTCCCTTGAACACCATGCAGCTCTGTAGAAAGTATATGTAAAGTATACCTCAATGCAGTGCTACAGGTTGCTAGTCACCAAAAGGTTTAATGTGATTGGTCGAGAGATAAGAAAAAAGGGTAAGGATTTATAATTTCCCTGAAAAACATCACTGCAGTTAGCCCATAAAATATTGAATGAAATTTATCAGGGGTCCAACAGCCATGGGTAGACTCGGGACCCGTGACGTTATGAGGATGATAACTTAAGTGCTAGACATCTAGCTCCCTTGAAAGGACCAGTAAACTATCTGCAAGGGTCAAATTTTGGATAAAATATCTCACAATATTTCACAATATTTCATTTTTTAAAATAATGTAAGGTAGTCATGTAGAAAAGATGATAGGTTAATAAACATTTAATTCAAATGGGAAAATTTTTTCGTACCATTTGATGCTAAGCAGTAACAAAGGTGGCCATTTATGATTCTTCTGACCCTTAAATGAATAGGTTTGTACCCATGGTTTCCTGACACCTCTGTAGCAAGGTCAAATATCTAAAGTTTATAAAATTTTGGGTTCTTACAAGGAAAAAAAGTAGGAACTAGACCCTTCTATTTTTACAAATACTGTGGATCTGTTACTTTCTTCTTTAAATCCTGGTTTGCAGATATATGTTTCTGGAGATATCAATCATTGTTTGTATATAAGGAATATCATCCAATGTTTTACTTTATTTTTTATTTCAATTTTTATTATAAATACATGAACATATTTAAAATATTTATCACAGACAGGAAGATTGTAAACACAGTTACTCATATAGCCTTCAAAACTTTGTTTCAAATATTCCATGATCATGAGAACTAAAATATATATCTGTAGGGACTTGCAGGCAGCTTATAGAAAATCACAGAAAGAAGACTGGGAGATCCTGTTTTAGTCTAACTGTAAATGTAAATGTGTAAAAGGCATCTCAAAAAGTTTTCACTGAAAAAGGTGCAAAATAATTTATGAAATATGTCCAGCACTGTAAGACTGTAAGGTCAGTTAATACTAATTGTTCTCTCATTACATAAAAAAGTTTTAAACCAAGCAAGCCTTCACTTATACTTGTATAACACATCAGCCTACACTCTCAATGGCAGGCTGCATGGGGGGTAGTCTTTGTGAGGAAGATGGACGAGAGCCCATCTCAATGTCTGTGATTTCCATTCGAAGTCTTTTAATTTCTAACTTCTGCATGTCAATAATTTTGTTCTTTTCCTCCATTTCGGACTGCATCAGTGCACTGGGTCCTTTGGAGGTGAAGGCGGCCACTGCTGCTGTATCGTTCTTGTTCTTCTTGCTGTGCATTCCCAGGGCTGCCTCCAGATCATGGATCTGAGTTCTAGCAATCTTCAGTTCTCTCCTCAAGTCATTGATTTCTTTAATTAATGATACATTTTCCTGCAAGAAGAAAAACACTCCATATCAAATATATGCCCAAGCATTTATAAATCATTATCTACAATTAAGTTTTGATTAAGTATTTCCTTTTGTCCTTGGTATAGCAATATCTTCAAGGTATACAAACCTGCATGATGCGAACATTATCGGCTCTATGGATTTCGGAATCTTTGGCCAGCTTCTTACGTAGGGAAGCCACAGATCTCTCCAGATGTTCTCTCTGACGACTGTACTCCTTCTGAATATCTGCATCAACACTGGCTGACTCAGTCTGCAGAAGGCAATTATATATTGTAAAAGTCAAAAATCCATTCACATCAAACCATATAAATTTCAACTACATGTATATCAGTGCACTAGCATGTATCAAAGCATTACAGCACTTACGATATCATCTCTAACATGTTTGGCATATAAGGCTTTGATGGTCTCCTTCAGCATCTTGGGATCCTGAATGTAGCCCACACAGTTATGAAGATCTGTTTTGAACTGCTTTAGTTTGGCTTTAATGTCATGCACCTGAAAAAATACAATTAGAGTATGAATTCTGTGAACATTAGCTAAAAATATATTAACCCAAGATGTAATTTCTAACTCAATTCTGTATCAATACCTTTTCTCTCTCGAGGTGCATCTCTTTGTCTGTGGCCTTTAATTTCTGGGTCAGTTCCTTGATGCTGAGCTCTAGCTGTGTGTTCTGTTTATGGAATCTCTCCAATTCACTCTCCATCTACAACACATAACAGATACAGTCAGCAAATGACAATGTTTAAATAAAACTGCAGCCAAGTTGTGTGGGTGTAGAGCTCTCTTTTACCTCTTGAATCTGATCTTTCATCTGTTTGATATCATTCTCCCTAGGCTCAATCTGTTTCTTTAACTCCTTGATCTTGTAATCCAACACAAACTTGAATTTCTCCAATTCCTGATTCTTCTTTTTCAAGTCATAAATTCTCTTTTCCTTGAAAATATGAAATCAATTTATTTTACTGCTGCCAACAACATCAATTTACACTTGAATATGATTAATTATTTTGCATTAACTGATGTATACGAAATAAGGTCTTACTTTGTCTTGGATGGTGTCATCTCTCTCCACAATTTCTTTACGAAGACCCTGAATATCTTTCTTCATTTTCTCCTTCTCACCATTCAGTTTAGAAACCTCTGATTTGAATCTGTTGATTTCCTCCTTGTGATCATCGATTTCACGTTGTTGGCTGATGAACTACAAAAATGAGAAAGTTTTCATGAAAGAATTTCCAAGACATAGCTTTCTTGTTTCTTGTTCATACTCAATCTCATGAAGAGAATTTTTCAGTCCAGAAATCCTTCTTTACCTTCTTCTTCATAATGCCAGTCTCTCCTTTGAGTTTGATGTTCTCCTCACGTTCCCTGCGGAGCTGAATCTCATAGTTATTTTTGATATCCAGAATCTCCCTATCAGAATCCTCTTCAATCTGTTTCTTGGTCTCTTCATACTCTTTGTTTTGTTCTCTGGATTCATCATTAGCCTATAATAAAACAAATAGTAAATTTCATGTGCTCTTTGAAATTATTAGAGGCATATTCTAAAATATTGTTTTGCACATTATAGAATCCTTATTCTGAGTATTTCTGGGTTGTACCCTCCCCCCACCTGTTCTAGTTTGGCTGTCATCTCCTGTAGCTTGGTCTCGTAATACTCTGTCTGCCTCTCCATGTCTCTCTGCTTACTCTCCTCTTTCTCTATCAGCTGACGTTCGTACTCCTCCTGCATCTTCATCATCTTACTCTGCATCTCCTGAAACTTCTCGTACTCCAACATCAGCTTCTGGTTATTAGCAGACTCTGTCAACAAAGGCCAAAAACAGCCATTTAGAGGTCCAAAACAAATTTGAAAAATGGTACCAGATTTGGGATTGTTACTCAGTTATGTGGTAGTACAAGGTATAAACATTCCATGAAAGAGGTATTTTAGAACTTACCCATATCCTGTGTTTCTTTGGCATGCTTCTCCATGATTTCTTGCATTTCCTCTTCATGTTTCATCTCCTCTTTATCTTTTTCTGTTTTCAGCACCTGGTAGAGAGATGAAAATCCTTCAATGATTTTTAAGTTACCTTGATTCAAGGAAGATTTATAGCATAAGGGGATATACACAAATGAATGCAAACCTTCTAACATATGATTACTAATGATTTGCAAATTTAAAAATAAAGATTTGAAGGTTGACAACTTTGCAAAGATGTGATAGGAAGTAAACTGACCTGATTTTTGGTTTTGAGAGCCTCCATTTCCTGTATGAACTTCTCCGTCAGTTCTTTGATCTTGTCATTATAACTCATGTCCTTCAGCCTCAGCTGATACTCATTCTCGGACTTCAATTCTTCAACACGAGTTTTCAAATCAGCCATCATTGTGTTCTACAAAATACACAGTATATCAATAAAGTACCAGGTAAATTGTATTTAGCAAGAGTAATAAGATTAAGGGTCTTGTTCATCGATATTGATAAAACTGCAAAAACTCTTAAATTAATCATTTTTATAGCCTAACAATAGTTTAATTTGAGTATAATATTTGGAGTAAGTTGTGTATATAAAGCATGTTTAAATATAAATTTTTCTCTCACCTTTTCCTCTAGATCACTCTTTGTGATCAGAATTTCCTCAGCCCATCCAAAATCCTTGTCTCTCTTCAACCCTCGGCCATCTTTATCCTGGATCTTCCACAGAATGATAGAGGCATCCTCTGCCACAGTGATCAGGTATTGGTCATCATAAGAAATTTTCATCTGCAGAAATATATAAGTTATACTTAATATATTCTTTCTAATAGCAGTACCATTACTGAAAACCGGGATAGCTGAAGCATTTTAAGGGAAATAACTCTTTACAAAACCTCAACAAATTTTCTGTACAAAATGTATTTCTTTCCTGAACCTACAGATAAAGTAAACATGTACAGATTATAACAAACCTTGGTGATGGCAGCACCATGACCCTGGTGTTCTGTCCATTCTCCTGGAACATTGAGAGGAAACTTCATAGACCACAGCGTTCCCTTGGTTGTTCCACAGAATAACATACGACCAGAATGAGACATAGCAATACTGCTTAATATTGTCTCCTGAGTTTCAACTTGCCTTAGGATCTGCAAAATATTTAGAAATTTATATTATACTATTTTCATTTTAAAGAGATTAAAATTGAAGGAAATCATCATTTATCTCCCACTAATTAAACTAAATTTACATTAGCTTCTGCCAATGTTATTTCTTTGAGCGTCTTGTCTGATCCAACAGCAAATGTGTTCTTTCCATCTGGTGAGGTAGCTACACCATAGTAACTGCAGGACTTGAGCACACAGTCACCAGTGCGTTTTCCTGTATACGGATCCCATTCATACACTGCACCATCCATACCACAGGACACAATTTTGCTATCATCAGGGAACCAGGTGATGGCCTTGACTCTTCCACTATGACCTTTCAAATTGGACACACTTTCAAATGTAGTGGTTGAGAAGATCTGAATAATATTGCTTGTGACAGCTGCAAAAAGATGTCCTCCATTGCTAAATGCACACTGTTCGAAAAATAAAACATTGAGATTTTAATTCCATTTTAATGAGAATTTAAGAAAAAATATCTACAAACAAATTGAATTCCACAACAAGTACAATCCATGTATTATATTTACCTCTTTGCATGTGCGCATTGGGAATTCTTTAAATGTTCTAATGTCATCTATTAATAAGTTCATCAACCTAAGCTTGTCACTGAATCCAACCAGGATGTAAAGGCCAGATGGATGAAGAGCAATACTCAAGGCCTCCTCTGGAAATTCTCTGTATAACTCCAGATTACTATAAAAAAATCAATAAGATGCAATGTAAATATGACATAATGATTGAAGCCATTCTAATTTTTTTAAACCAATGATACTGAATGGCTTTCAATGTATAAATTTCAACATTCTATGTCACCCAATTTTTCTTCATTGTTTATATCCTACCAGGTTTCGTAGTTCCAGATTCTGACAGATTTGTCAGATGAACAAGTGGCAATTAGAGGTTTTCTGATGCAGACATCCAAACCCAAGACCTGTCCATTGTGGAATGACTGGGCCAAAGTCTCAAAGTAAATCTGATCTCCATCACTCTGTGAAAAAGCATCAAGTACAGTTGATCATCCTGATTTGTTTACATCATTTTTGAACAGGGAATTCAATTAAATTACAATTATAAAAAAGAAAAAGAAAAATCAAATACCTTTTACATGAAAATGATCATAGAAATTTATGGCCCAAACACTGCCTTTGCTACAGACTTTTAATTTCAGAAACATCCATTGTACTCTGTGCTGTTTTTGTAAAACTTAAGTTTTGTACTTACTCTTCCAAGATCTGCACTTGGTAGGGTGATGTAGTAGAGCTGACTCTGGTTGGTGCTGGCCACCAATGTTTCCTCTGAGGGGCTGACTGTCAGACAAGTGATGACCTGTCTCTGAGCACTGGCTGGGTCAGCACTATTACTGTCTGGTGGAATCTGAGGAGAACAACAATTCTTTTATTCAATATCTCTTCAAATTTATACTGATTTTGACTGTTTAAGGAATCTCAATAAGATATTATAAAGACCTGCAAGGCATTATACTCTGGTGCTTAAGTTATCAAAAATATCTGTCAAGATTTTATGTACTGTGAAAATTTACATATTGAATTACTTATGCTAGTTATAAATCAGAGGAGAACAAACTCTCCATGGAAAGTACCTCACCAGTTTAGGTTTTTTTTTTCATTATAAATATACTGATGGCAATGCAGAAATAGCTCACTAATAGAAATGTGTATCAACTTTAAGTAAGAAGCAAGAAAGTTTTCTATTTTTCCAGTATTTTGTGAAAATTTGTAGAATCTTTTTCTTTCTCTTTTAAATTAAGTAAATAATACCTTGATTTCTCTTGTTTTCTTGAAGTATTCTTTATCGTCAGTTTTCTCATACAGATGCACTGTGCCAGGTCCACATGCACAAGCAAATCCCTTTGAGTAAGCAACAATGGCAGTGACTTGTGGGATTATGGTAGCCAAAGAATCATTTTCTTCATCACCTGTCTTCCTACAAACACACATTAATAACATTGCTAAAAATGATTTGATTGTACATTTTTATAAAGCATGTGTCAAGTTAAATTTCAGATTGAAAAATCCCATGTATTTCATGTTGTGAAAAATAGCATGATAAATACACTAACTTTTCATCTTTATGCTGTACAGGGGTAAATTCATTTTTAGCTTCACCCTGCTCAAACAAGAATAGGTGACCTGTATCAGTTCCAACCACAACCCTCTCATCAGATACCCAAGCATGACACAGATAATTGTGTGCTTCCATCTTCTGGAAGTTCAGGAATGGTTTCAGAGCTCCCTCATGGTATCTAAAGTGTTTGAAAATTCCATTTCCAACAACACAGAGCTGTGTGTTATCTTGAGGATTGAAGCTTACCTGCAAAGATAACACAGAAAAACTGATACTTACAACGATATCTGAAATATGAATTTCTAAGAAATATCAACCAGACAATGTTAACTTTAAAATAGAAATACTTGTAGTTAACTTACTTGATAGACTGGAGCATTAGTGTTGGGATTTGATGTCTTCTGTACAGCCATAACTTTACTTTTCTCCCATGTCCAATACAGTAATGTGTAGTCAGGTTTTCCTCCCTGTGCCACCAGATATTTGGAGTCTGGTGAAAAAGCCAGACTGACATACTCATTTGATTTGACAAACTCAGCTGAGCTTAATACTTTTCTTTTACGAAGACTATGCAAATCATATATGGTTATTACAGGTTTCTCCCCTTTTTCTGCAATGGCAACATATCTGCGATTTGGACTGACAGTCAATGCTGTCATTCCTTCACTTCCTGGTGTTCCAGCAATAAATTTCTGTGATTTCTGATCAATATTGTATAGGATACAATTAGCTCCAGCAGGATAAACAATGGTTTGTTCATCATGGTAGCAAATGTTGCCAGTGACACCTTGCTTCAGGCCAAATATGTGCCTGGCCATTGCCACGGCAATCGACATCTTGATTGTTTTTTTTTGCTAAGCTCTCTGTAAAACTAAGATTAAAAGAATGTTCTTAACAAAATGCATAAATATAGCATCTTATGTGATAACAGTTAAGTCACAATTTGATGTTTATCTTCTTTGCAGTTAAGAAAAGAAAGTGCACAGAAACACAACAGAAAGTGCACCAATCAAATGTTTTTAAAGTTGATGGAATTCTCGTGATAAATATCTTTAAAAAATGCACTGAGTGTCAGTTTGTCACAGCATGTGAGGTCTAAATGAAAGTAATTTAACTGAACGGTAAATACAGTACCATTGAAATGAATATACATTACCAATATTTTGGATAAGATTCATGCGCTTACAACTGATCAGTAGTAATTAGCAAAATGGAAAAACTGTGCTAAGAAAATATACTTACTTGGATCTCTGTGTATGTATGTCAACCTATTGTAATTGTGGTTGCTGTTGGAAACGCTCCGCACAAATTATGACTTCCGGTAATACGGACTTTAATAATGATAATTAAAAAAAAAATAAATAAATTCTTGGACTATGCATTTATATGAACATTATTTGTACAATCTCTTATAGAATATTTGGAGTGTATATTTGTTTATAATTTTGTATTTCGACTTCGATTTACAAAGACCAGGGTAATTTAAGATCATTGTATCACTTTTCCGGAACAAATATTATATCATTACATATTTGATAAATCCAAAACAAATTCACCAATACACAATTTCATATTTTATGCTTTATCTATTATACTTGAATTTATATTATATTATGGCTGACTTTCAAGCTGGTATGAAATAATTTTATTTTTATTAATACTGACATAAAAATCCGTCCTTGGTTCAAACTTTAAGTTTTAAAAGAAAATGGCAGCCTCCATTCTGCAGTGTTGTCTCTCGAGAGCATCTACTGTTTGTGGTAAAAGAAATGGATTCATTCAACTTTCTTGTAGTTTTGCAAGCAATTACACGGTTGATAATGACGACAATCTAGATGATAGTGTCGAAGAAACCTTTAAAGACATTCGGGATGTCAGTCGTTTACCAGAGAGGTTGAAGGTTAAACTGAAAAAGAATACACTTAATGCCATACCGGCACCTGAGTATGTCCCGTCATACATGACTGGAAAACCAAAAGACATTCGACGATTTCAAAGGAAAACTTTTGCAAAATATGGACATAGATACAAAATAAATCCTGCAAGTTTATGGCCAACAGAGGAGGATTTGGCAAAAGAAAAACTGAGAGATAGTTATTTTGACCCCCCATTAGAAGAAAGTTTGGTAAAAATTAGAGTATCCAAGGAAGAAGAGGAAGAGACTAGGCGCCAGAGGTAAATAATTCTATTTGTTACTTTAATCATAAGGGTTCAGGAGAAATTTTCACTTTACATAAAAAAAACCCAACTCAATCAGGGGTAATACTAAACAGAGTACGCTAGAGTATGATAGAGTACTTTAGAGTACGCTAGAAAAAATATGTAGTTTAATGCAATTAAATTGTTTATTTATGTAAATATAACTCGATTAAACATTATTATAAACCATTATTGCAATATTTATTTCAAAATATTTGTTTTCAGCGCTATTTTGACAAGAAAATAACTTTCATGTTTCAATGCATTAAACTGTTAAAGATTATTTACACTCTGATCTCGATTAATATTTTGTTTCAGACTTACTAACTTCATCTAAATTTTATCAAAAATTAAATTTATTGCCCTATATAAATATTTTTTACATTAACAATGAAACATTTCAACATGTTCAAGTTAAATTAGATCGGGATAAAACGATAAACCGTCACCTGAAATCAGAATTTGAAATAACTCCTAAAATAAGGAAAACATACAAATCTAATTTAAATTATATATTCATTATGTTTAACTAAAGTAGAAAAACACAAAAAGTAGTTAAATTGCATTAAATTATTAAATTTTACTAGGGTACTCTAAAGTACTCTATCGTACTAGAGTACTCTGTTTAGTAGGACCGACTCAATCAGTGTTAGTTAGAATATCTTACTGTGTCTCAGAACATTCCCTCACTACCGTTAGAATGCTTTCCATATACCAGCAATGCAGCAGAAAATTGCAGAATTGCTTCAAAACAATTTTGGAGAAAATAAATGAAATTTATGATGGCATAATTCTGCCACCACTTGTCAGATGTTTATGTTGACTTGTCAGATGTTTATGTTGGCTTGTCAGATATTTATGTCAACTTATCAGATAATTATGTTGACTTGTCAGATAATAATCATCACGACCAGCAACTTAGTATTAAAGCCACTAACTGACATCTACTTGTCATTATTTTATTTGACAAGTTAACATAATTTTGTGACAAGTCAACATCTTTATCTGACAAGTCGACATATCAGATATTATGTCAACTTGTCACAAAATTATGTTGACTTGTCAGATAATATATCAACTTGCAAGATGTTGACTGTTCAGAAAAAATATGTTGTCAGCTGGTGGCATAATCTGGGTATAGACACATTTTCATGATGAATTTATAAACACATGAGTAAGTGACAAGTCAACAAAAAAATCTGACAAGTAGACATAATTGTCTGACAAGACGAAAAAAAAAAGATCTGACAAGTCAACATAATTAATTATCTGGCAGAATTATGCTACCATAGAAATTTCATTGAAAATAACCATCAAATTAAGTATAAAAAACTTTTTTTTGATTGTGGAAATCTTTCACCAATAATATTAATCCATATAATGGAAGTATTCAACACTTTTTCTCAACATTTTTTACCTGCTTCAAATGTCTGGATTGTTCATAGTAAATGCACTGAGTTAGAGTTATTGCCCATGTTTGTTTTGCTACACTGCCAATACACTGAACACATTCTGTCGTTAAACCAGGTCCATAGGACAAAATCTTTTTAACGATTAGAACATTCTATCTAAATCAGTATGATCTATATTTAGTATCTTCCGATTGACAAGACTAAAGTATTTAAGTAAGGCATGCAGTTTCTTTATCAACTAGATTCAATGATACAGCTAATGATACAGACATATCCTAGAAGAAATAAAGATTTGGACTCATCATGTCAGATATTAGTTTTGAAGTTGTTAGTTATAAAAGTGTAGAAAGGGTAGATACTTTCTATTGGATATAGGGCATCTGGTCTTCAAGGGGTGCTCAGTGAAGAAACAATTGAGCCAGCTAGACCAGTGCCATAGGGGGTTATCCCTAAATTTTCTCAAATCTAAATTAAGAGCCCTAAACTAAAGAGTCAGACTATTCCTTAATCAACAAAAAAGGGCCTAAAAAGTAAATAAAATGTTACTGAACATACCAACAAACAATAGATTTGCAATAAAATAAATATTTTTCATGTTTTACAGAATAAGACTGAATAAGTTATAAATCAGTTAATTATACAATGTTGAATAAGGTAATATACAAGTAATTTTTAAAGAAGTAAGATATTTTCATGTAAGCTTTATATGCACTGATACATAACTTGGAGACTTTATCAACTAGTTTTAAGGAAACGACTGTAAAAGCAGAAATATATGTTGGGGATTAAATTTTGTTGTTAACAATTATCAACAAAATAAAATCCCGCACGAAATTGCAATATGACTATATATTGAATAGAGTTACTTTCAAAACAATGAAATTTAATGCCAACGAAACCTTTTTAGATTACAAATCAACAAAATTTTATCCCAACAATTTGTGCTTCCATAGTTTTCAAGATATTTTCATAAACTTCATAAACTTTATACACATACAAATTTTCATTTCATGCTGCATTACTAATGAACCCAGGGTGGGTAATACATGTCCTATGCACATATTTATAGTTTGGTTTTTTTTTTCAAGTCATACAAAGTTCAGAAATGAATATTGAGGACTGTAAGTCTCCTCTGAACTGGATTCCACAAACAAGGCCATGATCTCTGACTTTCAATATAATGAGCTTTTTCCTCTCTTCATCTAACATGGATATCAGAATGTAAATCATATACCAGTACTGTGTCCATAATATTGTCAAACATCTAATAGTATGACAAAAGAGAAGAATTGACGGCATTAATCAGGAATTTGTTTGATTGCCTATCTAGAGTTTATTCTATATACCCAAATTCAAATCCTTATATCATTCAACTCTTTCCCTCCACATAATATTTGGTGTTGTAACCTTTTATGAAGCTATAGTCATAAAGTCCTGTCAGATGCCTAATCTTCAAAATATGTGAAGAGGAGAAAGGAACAAGATAGTCACAGGCTTATTCAAATCATCTTTGTAGGGTTCAGAGGTCATGGTACTAATCTTAGTCTGGTACATTTTCCTGCTTGAACTTCCTGTTTTTAACATGTGATTTATACTTTGTCTCACACCATAAATCAATAAGCTGATTATTTTGGCCACCTAATGTTTCTGCAGATTGAATTTACATGATTTAGCACTATGCCTTGTGTTGCTAACACATCCCTGACAAACCCATTAAAGATTTTAAATTTAGATCCAGAAATATTAGATTTTGTCTGATCATATCTCCGTTTACTAAAGCAAGTACAAGAATGAAAGGTCTAATGATACCCTTTTCTTTGTAGTCACAACACTGTCAAACTAATTACTGTCTTTGACAATAAATTTACACTTAAATAAATAACCCATAAATAATAAATCTTTCACCTTGCTGACGTCAATCATGAACATGTGGAGATTCATATACACAATAATAGAATTCATATCAGTTACTGTAAAAAATATCTAGATTAATGTGTTGAATGTTGAAATATGGCATCATGCAATCACATGATTAGCAAATATGATATCTGTAAAAAAAATTATTAAGAGAATAATAACTACCTTTACCATGGATATATAATTGCTTGATCCTTTTGATCCTCAACTGGTACAAAGTCATTACCATGCATTTTTTGTGTATTTCTGAATGGGAACACCCTTTCCCGACCATCATCACCATCACCGACCATTACTGTGATGGTGGCGATTTATAATAAATGACAACCACAAAAATAGAAAGACTTAACTTTAAAAAAAGCTCGTGAGCTTTTCTGATCATCTGTTGACCGGCATCTGTCCGTCCATCCGTCTGTCTAGCTGTCCTTCTGTAAATCTTCTCAAGAACCATTGGGTCAGAAAAGGTGAAATTTAAGTGGAAGATTCCTAAGAGAGTGTACTATTTAATTTGTTCAAATTATGGTCCCTAGGGGTAGGTTAATAGGGGATCAAAGTTTGACATTGGAAAATAATGGAAAACTTAAAAAATTTCTGAAGAAGAATCATTTGGGCCAGAAAAGCTGAGACTTATGTGGATTTGTCGTATTAAAGGTAGATTAGATTATAAATTGTTCAGATTAAGGTCCCTGGGGGATAGGGTGGGGCCACATTAGGGATCATATTGGGAAAAATCTTTAAAACTCTGCTTCTCCAGAACAGCAAAACCATGATGAATCATATTAATGTTGAAGCACCCCTTGGTAGTGTAGATGGTTCATTTTTGTTCAAATTATTGCCTCTGTGTCAAAGGTGGGGTCACAAAAAGCAATCAAAATTTTACACAGGAATACATGTATATTTGAAAAAAATCTGATGCAGAACAGCAGGACCAAAGTGACTTAGGTGAGCATTGTGGCCCATGGGCCCCCTGTTTAATGTAAGATTTTCTTTCAATGCAACATGTATACTGTATATAAGAATATAAATAATATTAAAATTAATAGTACACAGTGTTTTCCCTAAGAACCAGCTACTGGCCAAATTGACCACTTCAACTGATATAAATGCCACTTAGAAATCAAAATTTAAAACATAACGGTTGTAAGGTCCACAGAGATTTTATTCATAAACCTCAACCCCTAGCCTGTTACAATTGATCTCAAACCCTTTACTTTGAAAGAAAGGGAAAACATTGAGTACATGTACCATTATTTAAAATTTATTGCTTTTTCTGTTGTTCAAAGAAGTTTATTTCTGCACAAAAATGAGGCAGACTCTTTCTCAACGTGTATGTTCTTTCTTTGCAGAGAAGAACAAATTGAAAAGAATATGAAGAAAATGAAAGATTGGATAAAGGCTTATGAAGAACGACAAAAGACTGCTATGTTAACTCAACAAAAATCTAAAGAAAGAAAACAGATGCTGGTTGACAAACTGTATGATCACTTTGGCTATAAACTTCATCTGCAAAATCCAAAAGCAGTAGAGTATTTGAAAAATCTTGCAGATCAAGAGAAGAAGGAGAAAAAACTTCAACAAAAGCAATTTAGAAAAGATAAAGCTCAAGCACAACTGAAAGAAATGTTACAAGAGGAAGAATAAAAACAGAATTAATCATTATCTAACATTTGTATTTTATAAAGAAGGCCACGGTGACATAGTTTTTAGTTGACACACTTCGAGGACTCCAGATGCATCAACTGACAAAATAAGATGATTCTAAACCTCTTAGTATCCTAAATATTGAGATACAACTATGAAATTCCAAAAGTAGGTCACTGTGACCTACTTTCTAATTGACACAGTACATTGACCTAAGATGCATCAACTGACAAAGTTTGATGATTCTAAGCCTTTTATTATCTGAAATATTGAGATAAAATTGTGAAATCCCAAAAATAGGTCACAGTGACCTACTTTTTTTTTTTTTTTTGCAAAAAAAACACTTCAAGGACCCAAGATGCATCAACTGACAAAGTTTGATGATTCTAAGCCTTTTATTGTCCAAAATATTTAGATGTAGCCATGAAATATCAAAATTAGGTCACCATGATCTGCAGTACTTTTTGGTTGACACACTCCAAAGACCCATGATGCACCAACTGAGAAAGTTTGATGATTCTAAGCCAACTGTATCTGCAGTATTTAAATACATGTTCTATAAGTAGGACACTGTGACCTATTTTTTGGTTGGTATACTCCTATGCCTTAGGGCGCATCAACTGACAAGGTTGGATAATCCTAGGCTTCACATTGTCCAAAATATGCATATAATACAATTTGAAAATTCAAAATGTATATCACTGTGACTTACTTTTCCATAAATATGTTCCAAGATCAACTTACAAAGTTTGATGATTCTAAACTGCTCAATATTAAAAATAATGAACTAAAATGTCTTGAAAATGATAAGCCATGAAATTCAGAAAGTATGTAATGGTGACCAACTTTTTTGTTGACACGCCCTAAGATGCATAAGCTGACCTGTTTTGACGATTATTATAGGTTTCAAAGTGTCCTAGATATGCATCAAAATCAATTGAAAAATGAATACCTGCAAAATTCAAAAATAGGTCACTACATGTATGACCTAATTTTGAGTCAACATGACACAAGGTCTTAAGATGCATCAACTGACAAGATTTAATAATACTAGTCCTTATAGTATGCAAAATATCAAAGTTTTAACAAAACATCATTTTAGGTCAACTTTAAAGTGACCTTGTGACCATGCCCTTTGCCCCAAGGTGATGCCTTGAAGAATTTTAAATATACAACATATCCTCTGCATAAACTTACTGATAATCTGCCCAGTGGTTCTTGAGAAGATTTTTTAGCTTTGGTTTTTAATTATCTCCCTTTCTTTAAGGGTCACATCCTGCTAAAACTGAATTTTGCCCCCTTTTCAGTTTCAATTCCCAATTGAAAATGTACCGGATCCTGTACCAACCATCTGACTGTACTGTGCATCTTGTCTTTACAGTAAAGCTCTACTAATCCAGATGTTGTGTAATCTGAAATTCTGTTTACTACAATCCAAAATTTTAGTCCCTTTCAGTAAATTTGTTTGTAAAGTTGTCTAATTAGGAATGTTGTCTAATCTGGCCAATTTCTATGGAACTAGTGGTGTCTGGATTAGACAGGTTTTACTGTACAAATATTTCTGCTGATAACATTTTGTTAATTAAAATGTACTGCTCTGATTCTTATACTTACTCAGTTATGATTTATAGATGAGGGATACAATGCTACATTTTTGCTCAACTGGAACCAGCAATTTATATGGATGATAATACTCACAAATCATGACACCAAGTCACTCAATAAAGCAGAGAACATTCAATTTCGAAATTCCTAATGAAATGATATATTTTTTGTATAAAGAAAGAGACAAATTCCTTCCACTACAGCAGTTAGAGACAAAATTTTCCAATAAACATTTTACAAATTTATTGTCAGCAATATGATTAGATGCTAACTATTTGGAATATTTTTATCTGGTTCATTTCGCATTATCACTGATACTCTTCTGTCTCGCTGAATTTTCTGTCCCTTAAAATTTGATTCATTTTCATCAAGCACAGCATGTTTATAAAGGTACCTGGCATTGTTCCTGAAATGCAGATAAAAAAAACATCTTTTACATTACTTGTCAGATTTTGCTTTCAGAACTGAAAAATGTTTTCAAAATACAGCAAAACTTGTCTAATCCGGACACCACTCATTCCAAACAAATTGGCCGGATTAGACAACATTCCGGATTAGACAACACTTTAAATAAATGAATTTACTGAAAAGGACTTCAATTTTACATAGTATTAGGCAAGATTTTGGATTATACAACATCCAGATTAGGCAAGTTTCACTGTAACTGTCAAATCAATCCTCACATGCAAACATAAATATACCAGGGTACATGTAAAGAGTTTAAATGTACCTCATAATATATAAAGATCTTCTGCTAAGCAAAATATCTGCCCATTTTGAATCATCTTTATCATGTGTAAGTCTCATTACAGCAGTTGACAACAATGATAATCCTGCAATAGTGTTTCCACAAAACTGAAAAAGAAGACAGAAATTTTTTTTTTGGGGGGGGGAGGGGGGGGAGTTTGTTGGTTTTCTTCCCCTAACCCCTTGTAAAAATATATCACCAGAAGATTTCAATTTTGGATTTGGAGGCTATTGTACCCTCAAAAGTATAATTGGATAATAAGATATATTATGGACAGAATGAAGGATGAACATACTGATTACTACATAAAGTGCCTGCAGAGTTGGGTACAATATACTGAAACCAAAACATTTTACATATTTGTGGTAAAGTGTGAATTGTTGAAAAGAGTATTTATATTTAACATTTTAATACATTGTGTACATTTAAAAATGTATTAGTTTTCAATACAATTTGTTAAAATTCTGAAGAACTTACTCTGACTGCATCTATGTGTGGTTTTATTACTCCAGTTTTTTCCAGATCTAGTATATGTACATAAGCTAACTTAGATACTGTAGGAGGGAAAGCAATGTCTGATACTCTCTTCAAAATACTGCTGTTCTCTGCATTCCACTGCCTTCTTTCTGTTTCTCTGTATCCATGTATAGCCTACATTTAAAAAATCTAAGCTGAATTTCAGCATAAAGTTGAAAGACGTTATCTCCAATCTTGCTGATTATTTAGCAATAAATAAAAGTATATGTTGACAGTGTACCAATTAACATATTTTTTAAAAAAAAAAAACAAATAACCTATTGTCATTAAACAAGAAAGAATGTAATTTGTTAAAATATCAGTATCCCATGGATCTAGTGAGGGGCTGTTTTAAGACACAGCTTAATAGTCCCCTACCGGTGAAACCGGAGGGGACTATAGGTTTCCTCTGAGTCTGTCCGTCCGTCTGTCTGTCCCTCTGTCTGTCTGTCAGTCTGTCCCACTTGATTTTCCGCACTTTTTTCTAAACGCTTGTAGATATTGAACAGATTTTTGGTATGTGAGTGTATCTTGATGAGTTACAGATCAACTTTGCATTTCGTTCCGCTTCAATGATTTTTGACGGAATTACAGCCTTTTCAATTTTTCAGGGTTTTCCACACTTTTTTTCTAAATGCTTGCAAATATTGAGCTGATTTTTGGCATGTGACTTTACCTTGATGAGTTATAGATCAAGTTCGCATTTCGTTCCGCTTCATTGATTTTTGACGGAATTATGGCATTTTCAATTTTTAATGGGAACCAGATTACACTTGCCAGTAGGGGACTAGTATTGCTTATGCAATACTCTCAGAATGCTTGTTCTAACTATTAGCAATCTAGTTTTATTACTGCTAATTAATGTTAGGAATATAGAACAGAATAGATTTATTTGCCAATCATGGTCCCTCTCGGAGCTTAAATCATTTGTTATTAAGGAATGTAAAACTAACATCATCCCAGTGATCTCTTTCATATCTTAATCGTCTCATGTATGGGTCCAGTTCATTCATCAAAGAACATTCCTCTTCTTCTGAAATGAAGTCATTGTACACGACAAAGCTGTCAATTAGATCACTGTATGTGCTGGATTCGCTGACATCAATCCATGCTGGTTTTTCATCTACGGTCTGTACTGTGTTGGAAATAAATCTGGGAATGTCATGTTTGAATAACAAAACATTCCTTTGCAAAAGAGGTCTCTGGTTGAGAATTCTTCTAAAAAACCTTATATTGATCGTAAAATTGGACATTCTTGCTCAAATAATTCGAAGAAAGTAGACAGCAACTGCATTTCCGGTATGGCGGATACACAACAACCCGGTCATTGATCATCATTCGCACGAAAAAGAAAAAAGATAGTATAGAGCAGTGAAAAAAACACTGAATCACAAGGAAGAGAATAGAAAAGACGTTTCGGTGTACATAAGTAGCTTAATAGCGCATTTTAATGCAATTCTATAATTTGAATTTTTATCGGAGTTTACGACGAACAAGTTAACAAAAAGTAAGATCGCAGTGTGCTGTGTGTTTATTACTATCAATATACTGTAAATTGACAAAGTAAATGGATTTGTTTATGGTTGACCCGGGGTCGTGTTGCATGAATGTTTGTTTCTTGTTTTTCTTCATTTTAACTTTGAGTGTTTTCTGTAACACGGTAAGATCTTTTAAATGGAATATTGCACAAGAATAGAGTTTTCATTTAGTTCAGATGTCAGCATGAAAGTGTTGTCAGTGAATGTCTGAGGCAAAGGATATGGCTCAATTAGTTTCTAGTAGCGCAATGAAAGAAAGTTTATCATATACCAGGTCCAGCACAATCTCTTGATTTAGCTATACAGCTTGAAATAGCTATATAGCTTTATTAAGCTATTCAAAATAGCTTGATAAAGCTATTTATATGCAGTTTTTCAGAAAAAAGTTTTTTTGTAAGAAATAGACAAAAAGTTGCATGTATTTGACTATTCATATATGTACTATGGGCTATCAAAACAACAGCCGAAATCAAAGATAGTTCTAACATTGCAGCATTTGAATACTTTTACGCAAAAGATGAATTTCCATTGTTTGAGTAACTGTACACTACCTTGTTTGCGTTGAGGCGTGGATAAGTATGATTTCTTCTCATTGTAGTGAATTATTACCAATCAATTATCTTGTTGACCATAATTGACCTGTTTTATAATTTCAATGAAGAAGTAATTGTATCAATTGCTTTATATAGCCCCAAAACTTTTAGAACTTTGAGTACAAAGTCTCTTAAGGAGATGCAATTTGATGAGTGATTTTTACATGCATTATTTTCAGAAGAGTTCAAGGTTGAAAATTATCACTGCACCAAGGTGCGACTTTTTGTGCATGCTGAGAAAATAAACATTTAAGAAAACAGTGTGATAAAATAGCTAAATCAAGCTATTCTGAATAGCTTAATAAAGCTATATAGCTAAATCAAGCTATATAGCTAAATCAAGAGATTGTGCCGGACCTGTATACATGTGGTTAATAGAAAATAGATTTTACTTACTTTTACTTACTTAATTTTACTTACTTGAATATGTAATTGTTATGCATTTTAAATAAGCTAAAGTGTATAGTTTTGGGGGTGGGGGTGGGGGTTTGGTTTGGTTGGGGTGGGGGTGGGTGTTTGTTTGTTTGTTTTTGTAATGTTGTCTTTTGTTGGATAAGGTGCATATGCAGCTATTCACATGTACTTCAGAGGGTAAATTGTTATGCATGTAGTCTTTAACTGTAGTTTAATAAAACTGCATTTTCTTTGTTCAACTCTAGTCAGGATCTATATATATATATATAGATATATATCTGAGGCAGTTGAATGAGCATCAATGCGAGTGAAATCTTTTGATTGTAATGAATGTGATAACAGAATGGTGCAAAAACACAAGGTCAAGTATAAACATTTTGTGAAATATTAAAAAAAAAAAAAAGAAAACTCAAAGTAATAAGATGTAAACATCAAAATAAATTCATGAATTTCATTAGAATGGGAGTAACTATCTTCTCATTTTCATTTGCCAATGTTACCCCTGATTTAACAATCGCAACATCTGTTTACTAATTTTGGAAGTCAGGAGCCATTAAATCATCCAAATAACAAAGGAGAAGACAGTTATATCCTAATTTCCAAGTTTCTCAGCATTTCCAATATAGTCAGGGATTCATCAGTACCTTCTCCGGGGCAGAAATTTGGTCCCAATTGAAAATGAGTTCAATTTTTCCCAATTTGGCAGTATTTTTTCCCAATTGATGAACAATGCTTTTATATTTAATGTATTATTTTATATTTATTGGAAAAACTCAGTAAAATTGTCAGATTGTCTGTAATTTTCCTCTATTTATCTCATTTAGCAAAGCTACAGTCATAACACGTTTAAAAACACTGTTATTAAATCACCGACTTTTAATACGAATTTCCTCTGTTTTTCTGAAAATGGTGATATTGTGTAATCATTAATGATATAGATTTATTAAGTTATTTCCACCTATTCAATTGATCTATGAGTGAATGGTAAGAACTGTAGGCATATATTTTCAGATAGAAAAATATGTTTTCAATGCATTTTTACACATTAAAAGGGGACTTTGAGAAATTGTGTACTTGGTTTAATTTTTTGCAGGAGGTTTATAATCTCCAGAAACAGATTTTAATCACCTAAATTGGAATCTCATACACATGTACGACTACTACCCTAAGTTGTATAAATACTTATACTCATTGAAGTCATATTTAGTTTTATTAATCTATTATTGGTAATTAATCTTGTATATGATGAAGTTGGATCAATTTATTTTATTGTCTGTTTGGTTGCCCAAGGTAAGATTTCATGCTAAAACGTTAAATGAATTACACCTCTGAATACACATGACGTTAGCAAGATTTTTTAATTTTTACCAATTTCAGCAAATAGCCAATAATATTTTCCCAATTCCCTAAAAATGACATTTCCCAAAATAGGTTGATAAATCCCTGATTATAAATTCTTTAAAGAGATTTTAGTAAAGGAATGAGAAAGAAAAACCAAGGAAAAAAAAATTATTGTAAGAACCAATGTCAAATGCTGTATTATGTAGTAATTCCTTCCTGTAATTCCTTCAGCGTTTTTCATGCACTTCTTCGCTAGCCAAGGGTTTTTAGTGTGCTCTGCTCCCCATAAACTGAGCAGACCAAAAACCCCTGGCTAGCGAAGATGTTCCTGCAATGTTTGTATAAGATGTTGATATAATTACATAAAAATGAACTATGCAAAAACACAACTCCTGTACATTACATGATGTCACTATATAATTTGAAATGTATATAAAAGATTGTAATTATGGCAGTGTGTCAAAACTCCTGATGATATTATTGAAAACAGGTAGTGTTTTAATTGACATTCTTCTATAGACAATCCTTCAGTATTGTAGCTAACATTTCAAAGACTGAATGGTTTATTAAAGTATAATGTCTACATGTATAAAGTCTAAAATGTATCGTTAACTTGTTGTATTGCAATATCATATCAACTGAAGAGATTAGAATTGTTAGTTGTGCATCATAATCTAAAAGAAATGAATTATCATGTAGGTGCTTTGATTGTTTAGGTAAAAATTATTCCAATGAATTTTTTAACAGTAGTTTTCTATTCTTCAAAACAACAGAAGGAAGAGTATTGATTTTATAATTTAATGAATTCTTTAAACTTATCAACAGATTTATTCCAGGAAATTTACTTAGAAATTGATTAATGATAATTATTATATTTACAGGGTCATCATTATCACTCTGGGAGAGCCAGTTGTAACTCATGCAGAGTACAAAAATAGTTTTGTTTGATAGGAAAAAAAAACAGTGGGTCTAGGAATACTAGCAGTTAAATGATGTAGAATGAATGATTCAAAAGTATGATGAAATTTCATTCCGTGCATGGAAAATCTGTGACTCTCACAGAAGGAAAACTAGTGGCCACCAAGTCGGATGCCTCCTTTTGTCATGGTATTGTATTCAGTGACCAGCCTCTGAAGGTCAACCAGAAGGTGTCATTTGAGGTCAAAACCACTGATGCATGGAGTGGAGGAATCAGGATTGGAGTGACCTCATTTGACCCTGGAAAACTTCAAAGCTCAGATCTACCTAAGTATGCCATTCCAAGTTTGTCTAAAAGGGAAGGATTTTGGGTGTGTCCGATAAGTGAAGGTATAATCACATCAGGCTGCAAAGTGACTCTATATGTAAACAACAGGGGACAGCTACAGTTTTTTGTCAACAGTGTTTATAAAGGAGCATGCCTTAAAGGACTTCCTATTGGGAAAACCCTGTGGCTGTGCCTCGATCTTTACGGAAACACAAAAAGTGCCAAGTTCATTAAAGCAGGTAAGTGGGTTGATGTGAGGAGTTTATTGGGCTGGTGTGCAGTGTTTATTGGCATCTTGGCAGTAGATTGCTGGGTAGATATTGATTAAGATGTCTATTATCAATCCTGATGTACAAATCAATAGGGATGGATTGGTGCCTATTTTTCCAATACTTTTAATAATGATTAAAACTTGTCATATGGATGTTTAAAAATGAATCAAAGGTGATACATGATGATAACTTATAGCCATTATGGGTATACTTGTAATATTGTTTTGAATTTCAATACTGTACCTAAAATTTTCTAAAAGTCTCTTCTAAGCTTCCAGTTTATGTATTTCCCAGCCTACTCAAAACATTTTTTGGACCAGGTTTAAAGTGTTATTGATTCAAACACTATGCAAAGCTTTGCATTCATTCTAATTGAATAAAAAAAAATTAATTTAAAACTAAAAACAAAAAAAAAAACATTGATTCAAATGTAAAATGCAATATATTGATAAAATAAAACTTGTGTTCATACATAAGAAAGAATGTTCAATTGAAATTTAGAAATACCCATCACTTATGAATCAGTCACTTTGCTGATACACTCATAATAAAAAATGTCTCACTTGCAAGTACCAGTTTTTGTCAAGTTCAGGTTCTTCATTGACTATTTTCATACAGAAATTGACAGTGTTTAGCTCACCTGAGCCAAGAGATCACATTACTCTACTTTTTTAGGACACCTGAGTCACTCAGATGACCTATTGCTATCTTCTTTTTTTTTTTTTTGGTCCTTGTGCGTCGGTCATAAACTTTTAATTCTATTAAACATTTCTTCTCTTGAACTACTGAATCATGCAATTTCAACCAATTTTGGCATATAGCATCAATGGGCAAAGGTGAACAAAAATTGTGAATTTCATGGTCCCTAGATTATTCTTTGAAAATGCATTCTTTTTCTCTGCTCAGATATATTTAGAAAACATACTTAGTGGATAATTATGATGAGCAAGGAAGCCTCTTCCAAAACTGTGAATTTCTCAGCCCCTGGGTCTAGGGCCTCTGGTGCTTTTGCAGGGCTCTATTCAATTGTAGTCTACTAGGAGAAGTTATTCCCCTTTGCTATTCACATGATAATTAAGTTAATCACTGTAAATTATGTAATTGAAAGCTCAATTCAAGAAGAGAATTATACAAGTATTTTTGTCATATATAATACAAAAATTACTTTGATAGTTCTTCATGGTCAGGTAGAGTTGTGTGTTTTTATTTGAATTTTTCTGGAGCCATATACATAATACCAGGTTCCTGTGTCAAGTCTCAACCAAAGTCTTGCTGTACATAGTCTCAGTATAAAGAACATTGTGGTCACTTAATCATGACAGGGCGTTGTGTTTACTCTCAACCCTCCTCACAAGATGTCAGGCATGTGGTCAATCAAATATCCTCCCTATTCAGGGGGTTTTAACCCCCCCAACCCCCTCCACTATAGTGAGCACTATTGGGACTGACTGCTTGATTATCTTCACCATGCCAAACCAAAAGTCTTGTGTTTTATACAGCTCCTTTCAATGCATGCTAAACAATACATAAGCACTATAAGGCCACTTTGTCATCCTCGCCAGTAAAATTTATGCATGTGCTAGGCACATTAATTAATATTTTACAACAGTATTAAATACTGTAAATATTTGTATTATGGAACTTGCAGTTCAACATTGGATATGCAGTACATGTTATTGAATTATGATTATTAGATACCAGGCAAATATCATAAAACATGAATTACTTCAGAGATTTATAGGAGTTCAATGGCTTTTCATGTCTAGAAGAATACTGGGCGTAATCTAAATGCAAACAGTTTTTATCCTTGTCATGTAAATGAAAAAAAAGTCATTTTATATAGTGCACCTACTCTAAAAGTGCTGGCAGAAGCTCAATTGTAGCAGAATAAATTTTAGGCTCAAAACTGATCTTTTCGTTTGATCATGGAAACCAAACATGTTCTTGCATTCAACCTGTATTAAGTGCAGTCCTATCAATGGATCTAAAAAGTATAGTGATGCAAATTTGTAATGAACATTGTACAAAGTATTGCCGTAGAGAAAGAAACAATATGTGAAGTGGGAAAAAATCTATATCCAGATTCCAATTAATCTTCATACATGTATGCTAATTAGTGCACAAGGTCTATATGATAATGAACTTGTATTTGGAAGTACAGATCTAAAATCGAGTTTGGATATATAGCATACCCAAGTTGTGTGGTATATAAAGAAGGGCAGTTTGTTATCCATTATTGATGAACGACCAGTGAATTTGCTTATCTTGAACACTGCATATCTATTCAATCATAATGCTATACTAGTACATGTACCGGGAAAATGATAGCCAGGCTTTGACTGTGAAAATGAGTGGGTATACATTTTACTATTTTAATGTTGAAACAAAATATTTGTTTTAGGAATTGGTGTAATTATTTTGATTGTATTAGAGACCTTCTTTGTAGAAGTATATCTTTTAAAAGATTTTCCTGATATCTTTTTTTGCGATTCATTCAAATGAACAGTTTTTTGTTTTTATGCAGTTAATTTTTTTTGTAATAAATATTAGTACATGTATTCTTGAGTCCTTAAATAAGCCCTGTTGTACTTTAATCAATAGCTTTGACAAGGATTTCAAATAGACATCTTTATAAATAATTTTTTTTTCATTTCCTAATTTTCATAATGTGTTTTGTAATTAGAGAATGTTCTTAAAATTTCTCCAAATTTCCTTCTTCGTGAATGTAAGAATGAATGCTAATTTTGGAGATTCAAGGAGCTCTTAAATAATTACATACTCGGACATAATTTGTTACAGTAATTTATATTTGTGTAATAGCTTCTTTAAATTTGCTGTATACCTAAATCATACATTTGTGTAATTGTATCCAGTTTTAGAAAATTGCAAACAGCATAAAGGCATAATAAAAGTAAATTATATTTGAAACTGTTTACAGTTTACAACAGATCTCTGGTAATTAGGAAAGAAAACCAATGTGTTTTTATCCCAAAGGACTATATTTACTGTAACATCTCCTCAAGAGGATTAAAACACAAGTGTAAACTAATATATGAAGTTATACAATTGCACTTCGGTATCTCGAACATGGATATCTCGAATACAGTGGATATGTCGAAGTGATTGAAAAGTCCCAAGCCCTTTTTCTTTAAGTATTTTACCCTCAATATCTTGAACCCACAGATATCTCGAAGTTTTTTTTACGGTCCCATCGAGTTTGAGATAACTGATAAGGAGGTTTGACTGTATTTCTTTTCAAAAATTGATCAGGTGTAGATTGAAGTTGATACTTGTCCCCCCTCTTACTGTTTGTACCGGTAGATGGACCTGTTGAAAAAATACACTTTTTAAAAAAATTATTAGAATTTATGTATATTATTTACTTTTGCAATCAAGTTTTATAATATTTTTTTTTATGAGGCCAACTTTAAAATAATGTTTGTTTGCCCTCTCCCAACTTAGGATGAAAAAATTGGGTCGGTAGGTAGGTCACTACAGGGAATTTTTTCCCCCAGAAAATTTCAACAACAATGCCAAATTTTCAAAATTTATTTTCAGGAATGCATAAAAAATAATAATCATTTCCTGGAGGTTAAAATGTTTTAAATCAGGCAATTTTTAGGCAGTCTTTTGGGAGAGGGCAACCAAACAGTTTTTTTTTTAAAGATGGTGTGAATGGGGCGTTTTTTCCCCAGATCTCCCACAACAGGAAACATTCAAAATGCTAATTTAATGCATGAATAGATTTTCCTTTCATAAGAGCTTGGGGAAAAAAAAGTGGAGCAGACATATATGTGTATGTATTACGTTTTAATGAAATGTCATTTGTCACAGGCTTACTACAAAAAAAGGGAATTACATACTTCTTGGACTTTAGTGATTTGATTGAGAACTGACTTTACACCTTGTCTGTCAATGCAGGGGGGAATTTTGTAGCTTATTTGATACTAGATTTTATGAGAAATCAATAACAGAAGTGATAGCAAAAATTTGCCCTCGGAAATGTAAATATTTTGTCGGTGAAGCCCTCATTAATACTACTTGTATCTCCATTGGTAAGTGGATCATATGCCCTTTTTATAAGGATATGAAAGATGGTCTCGGGACATAGACATATCAGAGACAAAAAAATCAATAACAGAAGTGATTTGGAGATATTGGAATGTCATTGGTCATAGCTTCTGACATATAGGTTCAAAAAAGGTGTTTGAAGATTAAAGTATTTTCTGTTATTATGGAAGCAGGGAGAAAGAATGATTCAAGGATTGTTTTACATTTACATCATGTATAGAGAGGTTGGAGGATGATGTTTTATACAGGTTGTGAAGAAAATCTTTAATTTTTAATTCAAAATATGTGCTTTTATGCATGTGTGCATGTACAAAAAAAAAATGAAATATCTTTTTTTTTTTTTTTAAAATGTGTTATATTAAATAAAAATATTTTTTTACTCTTTAACACAAATGTATTTTCTAAAAATTATTGAGGAAAAGTATACTTTTTAAAATTTTTGGTTGACATTTTTATTTGTAAATATTTTTGCTTATTCATTTCTGCAAGTCTCATACGAAGTATCAATGTATCGACTCTGATATGAAAATTAATAATTATCAATTAATAATAAATGAATGAGGAGATGAATGTGAGAATTTGAATTAATATTATTGCAGATGATGCCCCTAAGGAGATTCTGGCTCGTGGACCAGAGGCGGTCCAAGCTTATGAAGAGGCCTGTATATCTGGTACACAACCAGTGTACAGAACCAGACTAATGCTGGTTGGCCAGGAGCGGGTGGGCAAAACCAGTCTGAAGAGGGCCCTTACCAGACAAAAGTATGGCGTAAAGCAGATAAGAATATAAGATCAGTGACATTTCCTCAAGAAAATCACTACTAGTCTTCATGTAAAAAAAATATATATATAAATACAAAATGTAATTAAACAAACAATTGCAGTTTCTGATTACCATGTAATGGGTATATTCTGGTATAAGGGGTATTTTCTGCAGTTGGAATTTTTAGCGATGTGACCACTGAATGCAGTTGGAATTTTTAGTGATTTGACCACTGAAAGGTAGCAAATTAATTTTTGCGTTTTTTATATCTGCGGTTGAATTATACTGCAAAATGATTTGAAGACCAAATTCTAAGGATTTGGCAGAACACTGCAATGTTTACATGTACATTTTAAAAATTCATTTAAAGACATGTTGATCAAAGTTGCTTGGGAATTGGTAATAAGCTCTACTATCTTTAGTTATTCTTCATAAACTATTTTCAAATCCTTTGTATTTCATACATGTGTAAGCATTCTATTTTGGAATATAGCATATGAGGTTATGAAGAAACATTAAATCAGGTTGACTGACATATGCATCACTTATCAGACATGCATGTATAAAATATCAGAATTACTATTGAAGAAATATTTTTGCAGATTTGAACTATCTGCAAAATTCTGCAAAAATTGGACAACCAAAGAAAATACACGTTATATGGTATTTCCCTCAGAAATGTTAAAAGGGACTTTGTATTTATTGAAGTTTATGACTTTTTGATGTTACGCAGAATTGAACACCCATACTCTCAGACAGTATTTGGAGTTTAATGTCCCTACATTGAAGCTAGTATAATATATCTTGATTTAATTCTATATCTATAGTCTGTCCCACAGTACCAAGGATATCACTTTTTAGCTCACCTGAGCTGAAAGCTCAAGTGAGGTTTTCTTAAATCAGCTGTTGTCTGTTTGTAAACTTGTACAATTTTCAGCTTCTTCTCAAGAACCACAGGCTAATATTAACCATAGTTGGTACAAAGTTTCCTTGGGTGAAGGGGAATTTAAATTGTTAAAATTAAGGTTCAAACCCACTTCCAAGGGGAGATAATGAAGAAAAGACAAAAGTAGGGGGAGGTCATTAAAAAGTCTTCTGAAGAACCACTGGGCCAGAAAAGGTGAAACTTATGTGGAATCTTTCTGGGGTAGTGTAGATTCTAAATTGTGCAAATCATGGCCCCCGGGGATAGGGTGGGATTACAATAGGAAATCAAATCATTACATTGAAATATGTAGGAAAAATCTTCTTCTCAAGAACCACTGGGCCAGAAAAGTTGAAACTTATAAGAAAACTTCCTGAGGTAGTGTTGATTAAAAATTGTTCAAATTATTGCCCCTGGGGATAGGGTGGGGCCACAATAGGGAATCAAAGTTTTACATTGAAATATACAGTAAAAATCTTTAAAAATCTTCTTCTCAAGAACCACTGGACCAGAAAAGATAAAACTTAGTTGAAAGTTTGCTGAGGAAATTTAGATTGTAAATTGTTTAGACTGTGGTCATTGGGGGAAGGTTGGGCCACAATAGGGAATCAAAGTTTGATATAGGAATATATATGGGGTAAAAAAATTGAAAATCATCTCAAGCACAGCAAAGCCATGCTTAGTCATATTAATGTAGAAGCAACACTTTAGGTAGTGTAGATTCAAGTTTGTTTAAATCATGACCCCCAAGGAGTAGGGTGGGGCCACATTAGGCATTCAAAGTTTTACAAAGGATTTTATAGGAAAACATCTTTAAAACTCTTCTTCTCAAGAACAGCAAAGCTGTGATGAATCATTTTTAGCTCACCTGAGCCGAAGGCTCGTCGTTGGCGTTGTTGTTGTCATCGTTGTCGTAAACTTTTCACATTTTCATCTTCTTCTCTAGAACTACTGGGCCAATTTCAACCAAACTTGGCACACAGTATCCTTGGGGGAAGGGGATGTAAATTTGTTCAAATGAAGGGTCACGTCCTCTTTCAAGGGGAGATAATAAAGAATTAGAGAAAAATTAATAGCATATTTTAAAAATCTTCTTCTCAAGAACCACAGGGCCAGGAAAGATGAAACTTATGTGGAAGCATCCTCAGGTAGTTTAGATTCAAGTTTGTTCAAATCATGACCCCCAGGGGTAGGGCGGGGCCACAATGGAGGATCAAAGTTTTACATAGAAATATATAGGAAAAACCTTTAAAAATCTTCTTCTCAAGAAAAGCAAAGCCATGATGAGTCATAATTATATGGAAGCATCCTCAGATAGTGTAGATTCAAGTTTGTTCAAATCATGGCCCCCGGGGTAGGGATGGGGCCACATTGGAGGATCAAAGTTTTACATAGAAATATATAGGAAAAACCTTTTAAAACTTCTTCTCAAGAACAGCAAAGCCATTAAGAGTCATAATTATATGGAAGCATCCTCAGGTAGTGTAAATTCAACTTTGTACAAATCATGACCCCCGGGGGTAGGGCAGGGCCAGACTGGAGAATCAAAGTTTTACATAGAAATATATAGGAAAAACCTTTATAAATCTTCTTCTCAAGAAAAACAGAGCCATGATGAGTCATATTTATGTGGAAGCATCCTCAGGTAGTGTAGATTCAAGTTTGTTCAAATGATGACCCCTGGGATAGGTAGGGCAGGGCCACAAAAGAGGATCAAAGTTTGACATAGAAATATATAGGAAAAATCTTTAAAAATCTTCTCAAGAACAGCAGAGCCATGATGAGTCATATTTACATGTAAATGGAAGCATCCTCGGGTAGTGTAGATTCAAATTTGTTCAAATAATGACCCCCCGGGGTAGGGTGGGGACCAATGGGGATAGAAAGTTTTACATAAAAACATATAGAAAAAATATTTCCTCTCAAGATCAGAAAAGCTATGTATAGTCATATTGATATGGAAGCATCCTCAGGTAGTGTAGATTCAAGTTTGTTCAAATGATGACCCCTGGGATAGGGAGGAGCCACAATGGGGATCAATTTTTTACAAAGGAATATATGGGAAATTTTTTTAAAAATCTTCTTAAGGACAACAAAGCCATTTGTTATATTGACATGGAAGCATCATCAGGTAGTTTAACATTCAAGCCCCCCCCCCCCCTTTAATTTTTTCAATACTGAACTGATTTGTGATTTTGCCTAGCCAATGTGCTCAGGTGAGCAATGTGGCCCATGGACCTCTTGTTTAAATGTGGAAGCATTCTCAGGTGGTGTAGCTTCAAGTTTGTTGAAATCTTGAACCCCAAGGGTAGGGTAGGGCCACAATAGATGATCATAGTTTTACATAAGAATTTATAGGAAAAGATTTTAAAAACCTCCTCTGAAGAACAGCAAAGCCATGATTAGTTATATAGAAGCAACCATGATTAGTCTATAGAAGCATCCTTTTATATGACTATAAGCATCATTCAGTTATATTCAAATCATGGCCCCTATATAGTAAAGCACGGTTATGATGAAGTGCCAGGGATAGGTGATATTGCTTCATTATAAGCGTAATTCACTATATTCATTAAGTTTAAATATATATTGTAAAGTCTTGGGGAATGCAAATCACTTCGCTATAAGCATCAATTCTTTATAAGCGTGTTCACTTTAAGTGTGTTTTACTGTATTTAGGGTGAGGCCAAAAAAAGGCGAATCAAAATTTAGATAGGAATACACATGTATAAAGGGGAAAAAATCTGATGAAGAACAGCAAGGTCAAGGTGACTCAGGTGAGCATTGTGGCCCATGGGCCTCTTGTTGCATTATATCTCAAAACATACGCATTGTAAATAACATCTGGGCTTTTAAATTAAGTTCATGATTTTTTTTTCCTACTCCAAACTTGCTGCTTTGATAGGAACCCTTGAGTTCAACTTATACATTTGACCAGTAGCATATTCAAAGTCCATGGGATTTAACATTACCTAAATGGCTGCCACTTCAGAATTATTTGTGTTTTTCCCTTGTTTGGTGTCAATAACTTAATGATATCATAGATGTTCTGAAACAATTTATGCATCACACTTGGATAATCTCTGGAAATAACAACTCCACTTTGAAAAATCATGTTATGCATGTTTGTTTCAAGTTGTATGTATCCAGTCTTACTAAAACTGGTTTGGAAATAATGAATTTTTAATGGTAATTTCTTTAAAAACAGGTCAAAATTAATTTCATTTCATTTAAAATGTGATGAAAGTACTCATGCAGGACAGACTTTAGTTAAATAAAACTTGTGTTTATAAATTAATCTAAGGTTTGCTAAGCACAAATCCTACTGAAAAAGAGTCTGCTTGTCATCAACTGCTGTATGGCAGTTCTCTACCTCAAAGTTAAGACACCCTTTAAGGGCTTTAATATAGACATGTAAGGTTAAGATGGTACATGTATATATAATCCTAGAATGTTTTGCAATTTTTCAAGACTGCCATTCTCAGAAAAAAAATAACTGTTACTAAATATGCTTACCAAAGAAATGAATTCTTAGCTTTGTTACTTAGTTCTTCAGTGTGAATGTTATCATAAAGAACTTCCTTAGGGTATTGTCCTTAAAATTGATTCTCTGTCAACATCAGTCTTGTATATAATGAGAAATGACTATGAAATGACAACGAATACAAAGAATTGGGAAACTGACATGTTCCCTGTGATTAAGTACATCTAAATTAGGATCTTGAATACCTTGCTTTTTTGTATTGTTATGAATATGTTTTGAGAAGAATATTTCAGAATATTTCAATCTCTATGTCAAAATGAGTTTTGTTGAAATTTGAGTAGGCAGCTCATATAAAATTTTGTTGAAATTTGAGTAGGCAACTAATATGAATCTAAAACTTCCACCTGTTCAATAAACTATACATTTATGACACATTCTTATGCTCAGGTAGCTCAGAATCAGTATTGGAATTATTTGTGATTCTGTTATAATGCAAAATTATTTATCCAGTACAAGGAAAAATAAGGAAAAACATGACTTTTTTGTCTTCTTTACCAAATACTTGAAAGGAGAAAATGTAATTGGAAGTATCATTAGAGAAAATGTGGAAACAACGCATCTTAATTAAATTATTATACAAAATTATCAGGATTATTATACACTGGATTTTTTTTTCAAGAAAAATAACCACTCACTAAAGGTTATAGTGTGAGACAAATTTAAAGTATATATTACTTACGTTTCTTTGTCTGGGCAAAAATAACCCTCATGTAAAAGGTTTTTAAAATTAAAAAAAATGATAATTTCAGAAATGTTCACATTTAATGACTATCCTTGAGACAAATGTAATTGAGTACTCTTTCACTTTGTAGGCATAACAAAGATGAGGAGCAGACAGTCGGGATAGACTTGTCCAATTCCTGCTCCTTTAGTTACCTTCATGACAAATGGCAAATGGCTGTACAGGGCGAACATGAAAAAGAGGCTGATACACTGGAAGAACAAAAACAGCTAGGAATTATGGGTAAAAATATACAATTTTTATACCTAGTGTTATCTTTATCAAGTGCAGAAAAACAGTACAGAAAATCTGTAATGTCACTTTCATCTTTTCCTTCATTCATTAATTTGCATTTAGCTGTTTCAAAATATTTTTATGTAAGCTTTTGCAGTGATACATAATTTGGTGAAAATTTCAACTGTGTCCAAAATTTTTCTTTGTGCCTTGATCTTCCCAGTGACATTTGACTTTACTATTTATTTTGTCTAAAACTCAGTTCTAAATAAACTATTCAAGATATTTTCATCAAACTTCATACACTAATACAAATTTTCATGTTGCATTACTAATGAACCCTATAGGTGGGACATTCATGTCCTATGAACATATTTCTAGTTTTAAACTTTGAATATTAATTACATAAAATACTAAAATTGTTGATACAGAATGAGTGCATGCTATTCTTAAAAATGTGAGTATTTTGTTAAATGTGATCTATTCTGTTCAATAGGAGGTGTAGTGGGTCTCCAAGAAGAGTATCATAAGGCATTAGCAGAAAATATTGTGAAGGAACTTAATCAGCCAAAATTTAGAAAGGAGGCTTCAATGAAGGGACGTGCAACAAGCAGAGACAGTGCCAAGTCAACCAGGAAGGTAACAATTTATTACAAGTACTATGAAATAACTAATTTTCATGGGGGGTTGATTTTTTGTTGTTTTTGTGGTATGAAGATTCCCACAATTTAATGTCCCTCCACAAAATGTAGAACTGGCAAAGTCAACAGGATACCCTACGTTTATTCAACCATGGAATCAAATTCGGCCTTATACTCTCTAAGCTATTATTAGAAAGTACGGGTCAATCTAAGTTTTTTAAATATTTATATTTACCCCCGGTACATTACAATTGAGTCAGCAGAAAGGTAATATTTTGCAAAATAATTTACAACTTTTTTGAAATTGGAAAATAATTTATATAGATGACCTTGATATAAATGCAAAAAGCAGTAGTGCTCTATTCTTCTTCCGGGCCCTCTAGATTTTGTGCAGTGTATTGATATAACAACTTTAAACATCATAATGCACAAAACATTTGAGAAAAGACGAGCTCTCATTATTAACATTAGTCAATAACAGAAAGGAATTTTATCACTATTATTTAAATTTACATGATTACATAAGAAATTATTTACAATAAAAAAAAGCATTACCATTGAATTTGTAAACAATGATTATTTAATCAGAACTTTTAATTATTTTTTCAGCCATTTGACTTGGAGAGTATAAAGTCTACTTCCTCTGTACATGGTGCGATAGCTCACATTCCAGAGAAATTGTCACATATTCCACCCGAGATGTTTACTGATGTCCCAGAACGAGTGGTGCAACTTGTTCAGGAAATGCTTGACCAAAACCGGGAACCAACTACCTCCAAGAACCAGCCAAAACTCTCCAAAACTTCTTCTTTCAAGTAAACAAAAAATTGAAGCTGTTGATAAGCTTTGAATACTAGCTTGCTTCAACAGTGTACAGTCTAAATTAGACATTATATTGGTACAATAAAACATGCTTATAAAGAATTTATGCTTACATCGAAGTGAAGTATAAGTTTCAAGAGTGCAATATTTCCCAGTTTTTAAAAGCAAGACCTTTCAGCATTGAAAAGAAGTTCAGTAATTTTTGGGCTGCTACAATAAAACTCGTTTAGTTTGTTCTCGGATATAGCGATTTCACAGAATGGGATATAGCAAAGTTTTTTGGAATCCCTGGTGAAATTCTTCATAAATCCCAGCCAGGACTTCGCAGAGTTTTACTGTAACAGTATTTTCATTTACAGTGGTCAAGTAGACCATTTTTCTAGTAATTTGTCACTCATTAGCAAAACATTTCTCAAACAGGCCAATCATGAATATTGTAAATTTCAAATTTATATTAGCTTCTGTTGGCTTCATCATTGAAGAAGTATAATACATTTAATTATACATTTGCAGAAGGCAGTCTAGTTCATCAAAACCACCCATTCCAGAACCAACACTTGACAGTTCCTCAGAAGTAGACAAAACTAACATAGAGAAGAAAGTTGTGCTGAATATATGGGATTTCTCTGGACATTCCCTTTATTATACAACCCACCAGGTAGGTGTATGTACATGTATTACTGACCAACAAGTATAATTATGAATTTAATGATGACCTATAATCATATATAGGACTTTGTATTTTTGTGTGTATGATAATTCTCAATTTTAAACAGATACTTCTTTTTCTTATATATGTACATATGTATTCCAGGTAAAAGCATGTACATACGTTTTCACCTTCTTTTACAGGTATTTTTGTCCTCTCGTGCTGTGTACATGATTGTTTTTAATCTTTGCCATGATTTAAAAACCACTAGATCAGAGGTGAGCTATGTTGACTCTATTTAACAGTGGTGACCCCCCCCCCCCCCCCCCAATATAAATAATAAAAATGAACCAAAAAATGAAACCCAAAACAAAAACAAACAAATATAAAATATTGCTCTTTTAGTTTTTGACATCAAAAGAAGAAAAATAGAATATAAATGGTTATTCCAGCAAGATGCAAAATTAGCAGATTTCTTCAAAACATTGAGTATTAAATTTTGGTAAAATAACCCTTTTAATTACAAAAAAAAATGCAATGTTGAAGGGGCCTGGACACAGATTTGAAGTAATATTTTCTCAAATTTTCTGTATAATATCATGAGTCATATGTTGCTCTAGCATTTCACACAGAAATATATTAAAAGCGTGTCCAGAAACTTCTTTTATCTGGAAATTATTAAAACTATACAAATTTCGGTATGCGTTTTATTGACATATCCTTGCACTTTTACAATAAAGTAAACTTCGTTTATTCTTAAAACTTAAGAAAAGTAGAAATTTTTTGTGTATTAATGAAAAATATTAAAACTATAATCCAGAAAATTCAGAGTTGATATGTGAGAAAGCAAAACCAACTCACCAGTATTTTCAGTCCATGCTCAGTGATGTGTGCAGAGTTAAACATATTGAATACACCCGGTGAAATGTAAACATTAAAGAATAACAGAGCCCGTGCCCTGTTTACAAAAACAGATGTTTGACGTGATGTAAAGAAAAATGTAGTTGTCATTATATTCTAAGAATATTCAAATAAGTTCAATTCATTTAACTGGTTTTGATTTTTGAATAAGCAAAGAAATTTAAAATGTAAACAATGCAACTGTGTCCAGGTCCCTTGAAAGGGTTTCTAGCCATATTTTCAACTAATTCCTACATACATTACACATTTATATGGTAAGTAAGTGCAATTGAACATGTATGTAAATGTAACACAGTGACTATGGATCTCTTTGTTTATTTTGAGATTTAAAACCTCTCTATAAATGTAATCAACACTGTTACAAGATCAACATTTGCAGACGTAACCACTTTTTTCTGCTTTCATCAAAACCATTGGTAATGATAACTGGCTTGCTATGCACGTTGTTAAATATTTGATGATTCATTCAGCACCTAGTAATTAAATTCTTAATCATTGATCTTTTTTCTCTCAAAAAATTGTTTATTATTGACATTTTGACTGCTGTATTCAAATTTAGTCATGGTACTGTGCACAAAACTGCATAAAATGCTTCTGATCAAAAAAAAAATGCAAAGCAAGTTATGACTACTTTAAAGCTACCAGTAGTATAAATATTTATTTTATTCAATTTATATTTAACAAGGTATCCAGGCCAATTATAAATAAACTCTAAAACAAATAAGTAATTTAACAGTATAATATACATATATGAAGTTCATGACTTCATTATCTCAAACACTGATATCTTAAATACCATGGATATGTTGAAGTGATTTGGAAGTCCAAACCTCTTATTCTTTTTTACCCTTGATATCTGGTATCATTGGATACCTCAAAGTTCTTTTTGGTCCCATCATGTTCAGGATAACGAGGTTTAACTGTATATGTATCACTGTAATGACAGTAAGGAAATCTAATTATATCTTCTGTAGTATGAGATGTTAGCAATACTTTAATTGGATCCTCATAAAAAATATATGGTCTTTTTCACAAGTAATTTCAGAATGTTACTAAGATTAGTTGTTATTTTATTGAAACTAGAACTCCTCTACCGAGGCTTGGAATACTATAGAATACATGGACTATTGGCTGAGGACTATATATAGCCACACCTCCCAGAACAGTACCAACACCATCACTAGCAGTAGGATTTCTCCTCCTATCTTAGTGGTGGGAACACACAGAAATAGTCTGTCATCTGATGAGGTGGAGCAGAAGAAACTGGTAAGTGCTGTAGAAATATATCCAAAAGTACAGTGAAAACTGTCTAATCCAACACCTGTATAATCCGTTTCACTGTGAATTCCAACCCTTATTTTCATTACCACTTTATTATTTTTCATGTTCTTTACTCTGTGCATCCTGTCTATTCCAACACAAAATTTTTCTTTCAATACATTTTGGATTAGACAGGTTTCACCCTATCAGATTAGATGTTTGAAAATGTTAATGAAGTGGGAATGGGGACATTTCAGAGAAACTCTGTTTCTCATTCTGGGATACTTTGGCTTACTGTGTAAGTTGTTCATTATCGGTAGAATGTGTATCAACAAATGTTTAACTACAGGTTGAGGAGAAATTTGATGAGCTGAGAACCTTTATGATGGACAAACCATACACCAGACATTTAATCACACCATTTATAGCCATAGAAAATGACATGGAGGAGGGAGAAGACCCTCAGGTATTTAAAACATTAATCATCAAATCAGTTTTTGTTAATCACAATAAAATGCCTTAGATGAGTAACTGTTTTGTAATTTTTTAAAAATATCTGCAGTCATAGATCAGGTATATTATCTATTTTTGTCTCCCACTCACTAAAAGAAGAGCATTTTAATCTGAGTGTCCGTCTGTCTGTCTGTCAGTCTAGCAGTGTGAAACACTTAAGTTTTCTGGACAATATCTCAAAAAGTCTTTAAGCTTTTGCATGAATTTTTTATCATAACTCGCTGAGGCCATAGTCGGAAATTTATATAAAGCATAAATTAATTTTAAGATTATATCTTAAGTTCTCTTTGAATTAAAGCAATATAACTAAAGGTGATGAATATCTCTCACTGAAGAAAGATCCCCTAATGATAATAAGGCCAAAAGGTGAAAGGCTAAGGTCAATTCTTGTTGGGATTTTTTAGCTCACCTGAGCTGAAAGCTCAAGTGAGCTTTTCTGATCACCCGTTGTCCGTCTGTCCATCCATCCATCTGTCCATCCGTCTGTCCGTCCGTCTGTCTGTCCATCTGTAAACTTTTCACATTTTCAACTTCTTCTCAAGAACCACTGGGCCAATTTTAACCAAACTTGGTACAAAGCATCCGTAGGTGAAGGGGAATTTAAATTGTTAAAATGAAGGGCAAGTCCCCTTCAAAGGGGAGATAATCAAGAAAATACAAAAATTAGGTGGGGTCATTAAAAAATCTTCTTCTCAAGAACCACTGGGCCAGAAAAGCTGAAACTTATGTGAAAGCATCCTGGGGAAGTGTAGATTCTAAATTGTTCAAATCATGATCCCCGGGGGTAGGGTGGGGCCACAATAGGGAATCCAAGTTTTACATTGAAATATGTTGTAAAAATCTTTAAAAATCTTCTTCTCAGGAACCACTGGGCCAGAAAGTCTGTAACTTATGTGGAAACATCCTTGGGTAGTGTAGATTGTAAATTGTTCAAATCATGACCCTGGGGGTAGGGCGGGGCCACAATAGGGAATTCAAGTTTTACATTGAAATATATAGTAAAAATCTTTAAAAATCTTCTTCTTAAGAACCAAGGGGCCAGAAAGGCTGAAACTAATGTTGAAGAATCCTTGGGTAGTGTAGATTGTACATTGTTCAAGTCATGATCCCCGGGGGTAGGGCGGGGTCACAATAGGGAATCCAAATTTTACATTGAAATATATAGTAAAAATCTTTAAAAATCTACTTCTCAAGAACCACTAAGCCAGAAAGGCTGAAACTTTTGTGGAAGAATCCTTGGGTAGTGTAGATTGTAAATTGTTCAAATCATGGATAGGGCGGGGCCACAATAGGGAATCAAAGTATATATAGTAAAAATCTTTAAAAATCTTCTTCTCAAGAACCACTGGGCCAAAAAAGCTGAAATGTATATGGAAGCATTCTGGGGTAGTGCAGATTCTAAATTGTTCGAATCATGACCCCTGGGGGTAGGGTTGGGCCACAATAGGGAATCCAAGTTTTACATTGAAATATGCAGAAAAAATCTTTAAATATCTTCTTCTCAAGAACCACTGGGCCAGAAAGGCTGAAACGTATAAGGAAGCATCCTGGGGTAGTGTAGATTCTAATTGTTCAAATCATGACCCCTGGGGGGCCACAATAAGTACTACGGGGGGGGGGGGGGGGGGGGGAATCAGGTGAAAAACAGCAAGGCCAAAGTTACTCAGGTGAGCGTTGTGGCCCATGGGCCTCTTGTTTTTGGGTCCATCTGATTTTTTTTAGGTCTTCCTCCAAGCTCTTTAGTTTAGTTAAAATATGTTTTACTTTCTGTGTGGCAGATTGGAGAAGTAAGGAAAATGATAAAAGAGGCAGCTAGTGAAGAACCATACATGGGGGAACAAATGCCAATCCGCTGGTTAAAGTTTGAACAAGAGATTGCTAAACTTGTAGCCGAGGATACCACTCATGCTTCCTATGATCAGGTACTGAAAAATGTTAATTAATCAACTAATTACTAGAGAGTTATCTAGGACTTACTCTTTCAGAGTTTTTAGTTTGTTATTGTAAGCAGAAAGTGTAACAGAATAGTTTACTTTTAGATTCAGGAGCTGGCCAGTAATCTGGGTATTACTGATGAAAATGAGATTAAAATCATGGTAAACTTCTACCATGACCTTGGAGTGTTGATCCATTATGGCAGTTCTGGGACCATTGACAATGTTCTTAGGAACACAGTAGTGCTACAGCCCCATTGGTTGGTGGACATGTTCAGGTCTATTGTGCTGGCAAAGCCCAGAAGTGACAAGGTGGGATGGTTTAGCCTCAGAACTTTTCAACATTGTAATGTCAGCTATATACTTTTATTCTTAATTCATTTTGTCTATAAAAAAAACTATTCTATAGTTTTAAGAAATTCTCTCAGATTTGTAAAATAGAACAGCATGTGAATGAAATTTTGTTTAAAGTACCGGTATATATGTACTGCATCTACTAAGATTTTTAAAATTTCTTTATAACATGAATTAAATGTCTGAAGTTGCATCATCCTGTGTTTTAGTGGAGTTTTAGCAAAGATAAATGGAAAACATTTGAGCAGAAAGGAATTCTGGATGATTCTTTAGTGGATGATATCTGGAAGAAGGCAACAATGCAGAAAACAGTTCTCCTGGGTCTAATGGAGAAGTTTGATCTCCTCTGTCCAGCTTACACACAGGTACATTGTCCATTAAACATCTCTCCTTAGAAATTTGTTTCAATATTCTTGCCTTCTATTTCACTATAGTACATGTAATTATTATATTTACAAGAAACAACACCAAACCAATTCTTCACATAAAATATTTAAAACACTTATTACGAAGTGCCAGGACGGACAATCTTGCTTCGTTATAAATGTATTTTGTTAGATCCATAAGTTCACAATATACTTTTTAGTGAGGAATAAAAATCACTTTGCTGTAAGCCTCAATCATTGTGAGCATGTTTATTATTAGGATGTTTTACTGTATTTTTCATATACTTGATAAATAACTGATATGAATTATGTATTTTTTTGCATATAATTATTCATAAATATCATTCCTTTTAAATTTAAATTTTAACTGCCACAGGAGAGGATGAAATCTTAATTCTGTAACTGAGATCATTTCCAATTGTATAGGCAAATCAGAGGCCCAAGTATTATTTTGTGCCATCAAGGTTGACCAATGAGAATGATTCAGACAAACGTCTGTATGCCAACAACCCAAGCAATGCGGTGTTCTACATCAACTTCGCTGGTTTTCTACCTGGTATGAGAAAAAAAACTCCTCGCAATGGGGTTTTGTTTTTGTCTTTTTCGATTTGTGTCAGTGGTTTTAAGAATGCTTTTAACTGTTGAAATATTCTTCTTTCAGTTGGACTGTTTTACAGAATTGTTACTAGAACAACAAAATGGTGTATAGACAATACTGGAAAAGAGCCGTACAGCTTGTTGAAAACTCTTGCAAGGTTTTATTTAGATGAGGAGCATGATTTCGTGTTAGAAATGGCTCCTCAAAAATATCACAGAATAAAGGTAACACTGCTGTTTTGCAGCTCTTTTTTGTATATATATTTGAAATAATGTATGGTGTTGAAATGTAGGAATGATTGCTCCGATTTTTTTTTTTTTTTGTTTTTGTTTTTTTTGTTTTTTTGTTTTGACATTTCATTAAATTTCTTCAGATTGTTGTGACCAGGGTCAATGATATGTCAGAAACAAACAATACAGATAATACCAATTTGTCACCCAAACCAAGTGCTTGTGCCAAAGTAAGTATTTTCAAAAGATGTCAGCTTTTAGGTCACCTGTGTCACACAGGTGAAACTTTTTTAACATATTTTCCTCTAAAAAGACTAAATTAATATTGAAGTATGGGAACTGTGGTCAAGAGGAACAAAAATTTTGAATTTCATGGTTTCCCAAAAGAAGCCTTCACAAGCATGTGCTAGTATATTTATCATAATACATGTATAACTGTCCTTTTTTTCAGTTAAGAAATTTTCTAGAAAGTAGTCTTCTAGAGTTGAAAGAGGGCTGGATGAAGAGATTAGTCTACTACACCTGTGTGGAATGTCCATGTGGGCGACCATGTTATCTCCATGGTGATGATATCTGCAAGGAGGAAGAATGTTTACATTTCTTAGATTTAGACGAATGCTTAGCAAACAGGGTTTGTGTAGTGCTTGTTTTCGTTTACATATGAGAGTTCATATAACATACTTACATAGAGAGTCAATAAGATTTTATTTCATCATCAAAAGGCATACACATGTATATCTACATTGTTACAGATTGTTTGTTGTGAGCACAGAAGAGTAAAAACTACATCTATTAAGCAGTGGTTTCCTGAAACTTTATCACCAGGTAAAAAAAAACAAAAAGACCACATTTAATTTGCTCACCTTGACAAAGTCAAGATGGGCTATGGTATATTTCCAGGAGTGATGTTTAATTTTTTTGAGCAGGTCCATTCCCAAAAAACTATATCAAAGCCCTGCCTGACCAAACTCTCATGAATTATGCATCTGGGGAAGCACACTATTAGAATTGCTTCAGATGTGGCATCTGACCTATATTTTCCATATGAACAACGAGGTTGAAGTATTTGGAACAGCTCCATTTCCAGATTACTTGAAGCCCCACCTGAATCCAACTTGCATGGATGATGCATATATGGATGCAACACCACCAAGCTTTCTGATGTTGTGTCTGACCTCTCTTTTCTTGATAATTGTCCAGGTTAAAGTTTTTGGAACAACTCCATTACAAATTACTTGAAGCCTCACCTGAACCAAATTTGCAGATGATGCATGTAGAAATGCACACTATCAAACTTACATTTTTGGGAGGAGTTAACAGTTAAAAGTCTTTAGAGCAAGTTTATTCCAGAAAATTCATAACTGGGTCAAAATTTGCATGGATTATGCTTGCAAGTTTTGACCCAGTTATGAATTTTCTTGAATACTAATACTGTAGTACTAACTACATGTACTTTGCTTAAGATGCTGCAAGTGATATGTAAAGTTGCTTCTAACAAACCTATAGTGATAAACTTATATGGAGCTACAGATCTTATTAAAATTAAATAAATATGAGTGAGAGTGTCTACACATTGATTACATTACATAATCTTTGATTCCTTGTGTTTACAGTTTTTCAAGGTCATATCTTGCCAGCCATTGACCTTGAGGAATCTTACGGAAACATTGAAAAACACAGTCCCTTATTACCAGTGTGGGTCAAAGGTGCTGCTAAGTTACTGAATTCTGGGGAGGAGAATCAGGACTGGCTTGCTCTAGCCAAACTCATGGGTAAGTTTAAGCCAGTGTAAACATATTTAACTAATGTACAAAATTTGTAAGAAAAGGAGGAATAAATTAAAGTAAAAAGTTCTTTTGTGGTCTTTAATATGAAAACATTTAATACTTAAATCACTTTTTATTCACGAGAACTTTATTTTCGCGTAATTACGTTAGACGGTCCCCTCGCGAAAAATTTCCTTTTCGTGTAAATTTTTATTAGAAAAGATTATATTGGACAGTAGTCAGAATTCGTGAAAATTTTGTCTCGCTTATAAATGCCAAATACCCATTGGCAGTATCTGAAAATAAGGTGTCGCAAAAATTTGGTGATCTACAGTAATCATGAACATTTATTGTTTTCTGTGAACATTGGATAGATTTTTTTTAAAAAGTCTTGACAAGTGATTTACATCAGTTCATTAAAATACACAAAACATGCAGGATAAGTTAAATGGAGAAAATATCTATGTTTTCAGGTTACAAGGAGCCTCAGATAGAGAAGTTCCTGGAAGACCTTAACCCAGGTTTGGCCTTGTTAACTGACTGGATCATCAGCAGTGGTAATACATCACTCTCTGTGGACATGCTGATCACATTCCTGGAGAAGATGAATAGAGATGATGTGCTAGAGATCATTGAGAAGGCTAACGGTAAAGTATTTCAGATTTATAAACTCTTAATTGTGTTTGATGAGCATATGTAGTGAACTGTTTCGTTTAAATGCTCAGACAATGTTGCATGTGAAACTTGCATCCCTTTCTGATCCTTTGATCAATAAGCCTAATGTGTTGTTAGGGTCTAATCCAATGAAAGCTTTAGCTTCAATCTAACAACACTGTCATGTGGATTGTCGACCAAAGCCAATGTGCTTGTTTTATGTGTGGATAAATTAATTATTCAAGATATTGGCAGTATCCTAAAATTATATTTTCCTGAAATAGTTTAAATTACATAAATGCATTCTGTAGCAATGACAGACTAATTTACCCTATGGTATGTATAATTCTTATACAGACACAGATAAGGATCCACCCCAGCTTTTCATCAGTTATCAGTGGGACTCTCAAGACGAAGTCAAGGCTCTCCGAGATAAGATGGAGAGGAGCGGGTTTTCCTGCTGGATGGACATTGGTCAGATGGGAGGTGGAGATTTTCTCAGTGCCAAAATCGACCAGGGTATTCGCAACTGTAAGGTAAGGAAGATGAAAAATATGAATCTTCCATTTATATATGTAGCACAAAGACATGAAATACTTGAGATTAATTTATTTTGTTTATTATGGTTTGTATGAATCTGTTACGAACCAAAAAGCAGTATAGTTATGGATTATATTTTAAGGATTTTGGTTACTTCATTTGAATTTCTATTGCTATGAGTTTTTAAAAGCAGAGAAGAATAACTAAGAGATTCAGTGCAGTAGTCTAGAGAGTGTGAGATAGTCGTAAGTATAGGATGTGGATAGTGTGGTGAGTGAGAGTTAAGAATTAAAAGAAAATGAATCAAAGGGAGATAACTTAGATGCATTCAGAGCAGTATATTGGGTATTACATGTATAAGCCACCATCCAGAAACCATCCCTTCAGTATGTTTTACTGGTTGATTACCAGTATACAGTATTTGTTGTTGATATGCAGTGCATATACATCATTAACATGTAATCAAAAGTTTTGAGCAAACAGCAGGTTAATCTCATACTGACTTTCAAAATTTACTGAATAGGAGTCATATGTTTTGCTGCTGTTGAACAAATTCTTATACAGGTTGTTTACGGTATACCCCATATGCAATTGTTACAGAATACACTTGTTATACTCGTAGGTGGTGCTTGCCTGTATAACGCCAAAATATGTGGTATCCCACCATTGTAACCGAGAGCTGAGTCTGGCCGACCTGCTGAACAAAACCATTATCCCCATTATGTTTGAGGAGGTACCCTGGCCTCCCCCAGGAGGGATGTCCCTCATCTTCTCACAGCTTGTTTACATTAACATGAAAGGTAAAATTAAAGTTTAACCAATTACCCTAATACATGTATTATGATGTATACAGAGCAAACATTGCAAATATTATTCTGTATTGCATTAGTTGCTTCTCTATAGAGTGTTAAGAATTCAGTTGATCCATTATTATATGTTTACTGTACTAGATTCATGATTTATTCAAATTTGTTTTTCTTTTGATTTTTGGTAAGACATTGTAACTCGGCACATTTATATTTACTTATTATCTACTCTTTTCAAAAAGTGAAAGATCTTTGAATACTTTCAAAGTACAGATAAACTTTGTTATCTCGACATCGACAGGACCATCGGAAAATGTCGAGATATCCGAGGTGTCGAGATATCAGAGTTGAGACTTGAAGTCCAAGATTTCATTGCATAGCAAAACAGACAAGCTTATTATGTGTACATGACTTTAATATAGACTGTAGCGCAACATATTTCAGAATTCCCTCTATTTTTATTAAAAATTTATTAAAAATCTAAGAAATTATTTTAAAAATCTTGTTTATATCGAAATCTTTCTAAATTCACAAAGTTTCAGCACAAAGTAACAGCATTGAGCTGCATTCGCGTGTAACTTCCCTTTTTGTCAGAACAGGATACGAAATGCGCTCTATAAACTTCGAACCGTATAAAGTCGACATCCGATATACGGGAAAAAAAAAATAAATGCGGATTATTTTTTTTATTTCAATAGGGAAAAAATGTACATCAAAATTATTTTTTTAAAGAGATTTGTGTATCAAAACTAACGTAGTGATGTTGCAGATGCACGAATTACGGCTGATTCGGTCAATCGTGGATTGTTTCCTGTTGAATACATTTTAACTACAAAATATCATTAAAACATTTTTTTTTTAAATTCCTTAGTTTGAATTATTCGGTGTGCTTGTTATTCATTGTAATTTAGTTATCTTTCAAATTTAAAAGCGATATTAGGTTTCGATCTAAATAACCGTCTGTACATTTGTAAACGCAGAATCGTGTAGATTTAGCAATGATATTACCCAAGCTCAATTAACTTCTCAAAGACGCCGAAGGGGCTTGGAATTCACCTCCAAACACAGTCTATAGAATTAATTAAGCAGCGTGCAGTCAAAACATGGGTGTGAAAGGTCTGAAACTTTGACGACGTCGAGATACCCAGAGTCGTCCGTGCGTGACGAGCGACCCTATCTGACAGTTAGGTTCAGTAGAGCAGAAAATTGCCGATGTCGACATATACCAGGTAAATTTTGCTCTTGGGACTGTGAATATACGTCGAGATAACCCGGGTTGTCGACATTACCGAGGTCGACATATCAGAGTTTTTGCAAATCATTTATATAGTAAATACTGCCGGGATCGCGGAAGGATGTCGACATATCCCAGGTTGTCGACATATCCGATGTCGAGATACCGAAGTTTACCTGTATTTTTGGCAGTCGTATGTAATTTTGTGAACAATGCTACACTCTTTTTTAATTCTGTAAACAACAATTTACTATGTTACTACATACATTTTTGCAGGTGTTGGTGGGCATGGTGGCACTGGTATCCATGCCGACCTGAAAGACAAATACAAGGAGATAGTCCAGAAACTGATGAATTACGTTGTTCCAGACCTGACAAAGTATTTTGACACTGAGACTCTGGTCAGTAAACAGTTTTCTAATGACAACAGTAGTATATATAGTGAGACCCACTCCTTACCAATAGTGACAGAATCTACGGTGAATTATCAAGGAATCCATGAGGCCCGACAGCATAATGTGATAAGACAGGATGAGGATTTTCTCCCCCCGCCCCCTCATTATCAGGCCAGGGAACAGGTGCCTGTTACCCAGTCTTGTGTTTGTATTATTTTATGATGAAAAGTACCTGCATTACCATAAAAAATATTTTGTTTGAAACATTTGTATATACTCATAAACCATGCACATGTCTGGATGTACACTAAAAACATCTGAAATATATGACATGTGTATTAAATTTAAAGACTTAAGGTATGTCACTCGTGAAATTTGTTATATCAAGGATTTTTTGAGAAGTATATTTTGGATAAGTACTCATATAGTATGACTCAAAATCGCAGAAAAAATGGGGGGTCAGTGTGCATCTAACTGAGCCACGGTACAATTAAGTTGACCTTTTTGCACTTAAATTGTAACTCTTTGGTTAATCACTTTAACCGTTATCATATTTTATAAGATGTAACCATGGCAATAAACATAATCTTATTTTACGTAAAATAGTTTGAATAATATTTATCATTGAACAAATCATGCAAATTAATGCGCATAAATTATTGTGTGACCTTTTTGCACTAAAAAAGTCTCATATTTGGGGTATTAAAAATCTAAATAGGCAATAGAATATTTTCTTGTATCAAACTTTTTACGGCTTAAGTGCTGATCGGTCAAAAGTATCGAGTAGTTTAAAATAATGAAAGAAAAAGTTGGGGTCAGTGATGTAAATTTTGAAATATTGGTCAAAATATGCGATTTTCAGGCAAAAAACTGTGTAAATTTTATCTCGACTTCCTTAATATATCTTCATTTCTTGGCAATGTTTGTTGAGCGAAGGTGTAAATTTTGTTATAAAAATATAAATTGAGACCTATATTTAATATTCCAGGCATATCATAACGGAAAATATTCTTTGAGTAAAAGTATGTGAGGCTAAAGTTCCAAGATATTAAATTTAATAAATGTGTAGATTTGCAGAATTTTCTGCTAAATATCCTTCCGCCACAAGAAATAGTCCCTTATAAATCTTGCTTCTTTGTGAATTTTTGAGCATTTTTTTAATTGAATGTTGAACATTTTACATTGTTTAATTTAAATATGTTATAAAGATTGAATTGTAATAAATAGTTTTTAAGTAAGAGGTTCTGACTGAAATTTTCTAAAAGGCTGACGAGTGACATACCTTAATTTTGTAATTTCATGACAGACATCTCATACAATTATTTGTATCTGTCACAATAATTGGAGGCAAAATTTTTAAATATTTACATAATGTATATAGAGCCTATTTCCCTTGAAGCTCAATATGTACATGTATATCAAATTACTGTAAACCAACAATTATTCAAGTGCAAGATATAATCACGAGTTTTGTGACCTTTTACTTGCAAATACTTGTCATCATGAGTCATTTATATACGTGTACATTTATTTGTATTTTTATGTAGAATATTTCTTCAATCACAAAAATAAATAGTCATGGACTGATTTCAAATTGAATAATCACAAATAATACTGGTAGTTGTTTTACAGTGCTGTAAAAGGTAATAGTTGATAAAGTATTTTCATGATTGCATGTCAATAACTTTGCAGTAGATTTCTGCATTTATGAAAATATAAGAAATGAACATGATCATTTTAAAATATTTTTTTCATGAATTGCATAAACGTATCTGCTATTCACTTTAATGTTTTGTTGCACAACCTGCGTCAGGTATAAAACCAATAGAAGTATTGTTATCTGTGATATTGAAGTAAGGTACAGGCGTTTGTCAAGTTATTGTTAAATTACAAATTGTCTGTGTTACTGTGTGTGTTTTCTAGATTGTTTTCATACATGTACGGTATATTGCACTTGTTGCACATGAAGAAATGTACCAGGTAATGGTATACAATAATTTGGTCAGTTTACTCATTTTCAGATATATATTTATACAGCGGGCATTTTATTTCATCACTTAAAATAAATTCTGATGATCAAATACTGATTTGTCATAACAAAAATTAATTTTTATAGCAGATTTAAGTACATGTATATAGTTAATTATGCAATGACTTTTTTGTTGAATTTTTTTTACAGTGGAATTTGTTTACCCAGTGCTTGTTTTTGGCATGTTTTCACTGTATAACATTATTTTATTATTCAGATAAAGTACCACTTTCATCCCAGATGTTTATTCTTTGTACTTAACATTTCAGTCCCATTTTCTCATATTAGCTTAATGCTTTATTTAGATCTGAATATTTTGTTTTGTTTTGCATACACACTTTTAGAGATCTGATTTTTTTTAAAAAGGATTTTCATAGATCTGCATTTTAACTCTTTATCATTACAATTCTGAATCTATAACTTGTATTTTTATGTAGTATTTAGTTGAGTTTGTTACATTGTGTTTGTTTTATATAAAAAGGTTATGGGCATTTTTTTTATTTCTTGGTATAAATCAGTGGGCAATTAGTTAAATTCTTTACATGATCCCTACAAATCAGTCACATGTTTTGTTTTATTTCATCCTGCAGGGAAAAAATTGTAAATCATGGTGAAAATTTGATTTTATTACTTGTGTACAAAAAATAAAGCCAGAATGAAAAAAGGAAATGGCATAATAAAGCTCAACAAAGCAATGAACTGTCTTCAAAGAAGCATCAAATCTCTTACAAATGTTTTATACTATACAACTCATGTTCAAGAGGTTGCAGCCAAAACTTTTATTTATTTTATTCACATAGGATTTTTGTTATTTATTTACGTGTTTAATCTTTTTGTGTTGAGTATTACATGTAAGTGTGCCTTTACAGAATCTGTCTGGAATTGAACTGAACATCTGAGATTATCTAATGCATCTTTTTTATATATTTATAATGCACAGACATAAAATCCACGTAGGCATCTTTAACTGAGCTGTATTTATTCACATATGAAGACTTCTCATATTAAAGTTTTTTTGTTAACTTAATTTCAACCAAAACTGATCTTTTCACAACTAGTTTGGTTTCTGTGTTCTTCCTAGTAAAGTTTGAAGTTTATAAGGAATGTATGAGCCTCAGATATTAGGATCCATGAGTTTAAACCTCTTTTGATCATATGAGGAAAACAGTTTAACAGATTTATAGCATTCACACATATAGTGGATACCTGCTTGAAACAAAGACATACATGTACTGTCATTAATATAACTTTTTCCAATGTACTGAAACTTTGATATACACATGTATAATTGCATTTAACTATACCCATAATCTTATAGGTGTTTATTATGTGAAGTGTTACTATGTTATCGTAACTGTTAAGATAAGCAATCTTCATACAATTTCACAAGATATATCAACTAAATGTACCCCAGTAACATTTTCTTATGTTCGTAACTTTGTAAAGTCTGTCCAGCTGTGGTCAGCCAACCAAATCATGGACATTTATTTTAAAAACTACAAGTGTTTTGTACACATGATTCCTGCAGATCACATGCCAAATACTCCCATCTTCTTTGTATTCTTATCTAGTAAAACACAGTAATTTTTATTTTGTAGTTAAATTATCTTAAGAATTATTGCAAAAAAATAATTTTATCTGTACATGTAATTCAAAATAATCAAACTTATGGCATTTAATATTGGAGGCTCATACATGTATATTCTTAATAAATCGGTATATTTTTTTCAGTATATTACTGTGGATCATGAACTGTCTCTGTCTTAGTAGTTATGAGTTTAATAAACGTTAATTGTTTGCGTCTTTCAACATTTTCTTAAACAATATTTACTTAAGAGCTGTACAGTATATCATGGATTAAAGAATTTATAATATTTTTAAGCAGTCATGTTATTTTCTTTGCCAAAAAAAGAAAAAAAAAAAAACAAGAGGCCCAAGGGCCTAGAATCGCTCTTCTGAAAATTGTACAACCTATAATCTCATCTGTTTTAGGCCTCTTGGTAACCTATATACATGTATAAGGATAAGGCCTTGAAATTCCAAAAGTAGGTTAGCATGGCAACAATTGACAAAGTTTAATAATTCCAAGCCAATTAGTGTCTGAAATATTTAAATTTAGCCATGAAGTTGCAAAAGTAGGTCACAATGACCTACTTTTTGGTTGATACACTCCGCGGATTCAAGATGCATCAACTGACAAAGTTTGATGATTTTAAGCCAATGAGTATAAGTAATAGCCGTCAAATTCCTGAAGTAGGTCACAGTGTCCTACTTTTTGGTTGACACACTCCAGGTACCCAAGATGCATCAACAGACAAAGTTTGATAAGTCCAAGCCAATTTGTACCTGGAATATTCAATTTAAGCCATGAAATTGCAAAAGTAGATCACAGTGACCTAAGCCAATAAGTAACTTAAATAGCCATCCAATTCCTAAAGTAGGTCACAGTGTTCTACTTTTTGGTTGACACACTCCAGGTACCCAAGATGCATCAACTGACAAAGATTGATAATTCCAAGCCAATTAGTGTCTGAAATATTTAAAGAGCTAGGTTCACTTTATGCATAAAATGGCCCTGTAGATATACCAATTTATTGACTAATACCCCGTGTACCATTTTCAACATTAATATAAAGTAGAGACTTAGTGCTTTCAGTTTATATAACAGAATTTCCTTTGGAGAGTCCAGGCATTGAAAAACAGGTTGTGTGAAATTGCAATGTTATTGAATTTTGCAGAAAACAGGTGTTTTTGAGAACCTTCAGCAAAGAATTAAAATATGAGCACACCCCTCGATCCAAAAATTAAAATATGTTTTATAATCTTCATTAAAAGTTCTTCTATAATATATTTTCACATTTTGGATCGGAGGTTGTGCTGTATACGAAATATTGAAAAATGGCATCATATTTTGTCCATTTTTGAAGAAATATTCAGGATATGTGAATAATGACGCAATTCATGACGTCATAATGCATTGACGAGAAAGAAAATTACGTCATTTTCAGTAGATATTCATTCACCAAGTGCTCAAGTATTATTTATTGCCTTGTTGACTAAAACTATACAATTTTAAATTTTCGGAAATTCACAGGGCCAGAAAAGGCCCCAAGTGGCTCTTGCTCTTTAGTCATGAAATTGCAAAAGTAGGTTACGGTGACCTACTTTTGGTCAATACACTCTGAGGAGTCGAGATGCATCAACTGACTTAGTTTGATGATTCTAAGCCAATAAGTCTATGAAATATTTAAATTAAGTCATGAAATTGCAAAAGTAGGTCAAAGTGACCTACTTTTTGGTTGACACACTCCAAGGACTCAAGATGCTTCAACTGACTAAGTTTGATGATCTTATGCTTCAAATTGTCCAAAATATGCCCCTAAAACAATTTGAAAATTAATACCCGTTAAATTCCAAAAGTAGGTCACTGTGACCTACTTCTTGATAAATCTGTTTTAAGTCCCCTAGGTGCATCAACTTACAAGGTTTGATGATTCTAAACCTCTTAGTATCTGAAATAATGACCTTTAATATTTAGAAAATGATAAGCCATAAAATTCAGAAAGTCATGCTTACCTACTTTTTGGTTGACACACTTTAAGATCCCATGATGCGTAAACTGACAAGTTTTGATGATCATAGGCTTCAAAGTATCCAAGTTATGCATCAAAATCAAAATGAAAATGAATACCTGCAAATTTAAAAAGTAGGTCACTGTGACTTACTTTTGAGTCAACATGATATGAGGTCCGAAGATGCATCAACTGACAAGATTTCATGATCCTAGGCCTTATAGTGGGCAAAATATAAAAGATTAAACAAAACATAAATTTTGGTCAACTTTGAAGTGACCTTGAGACCACGCTCTTTGCTCCAAGCTGATTCTGCGTGCAAATTTTTATTTACAACATATCCTCACCCTTGTATATAAGTTTGGTGATAATCTGCCCAGTGGTTCTTGAGAAGAAAATTTTTTAGCAACCACTACTTTTGTTTTTTATTTCCCTAATTATCTTCCCTTGTTTAAGGGACACATCCCTAGTTTTAGTAAAAATCAAAGCCCTTTGGCCAAGGATACTCTGACAAATTCGATAAAATTGACCAAGGGGTTCTTGAGATATGGCCCATTTTCCAAAAAGTTTACGCACACCGGACACGGCACAAATGGCCATAGCATTAGCTCTTTGAGCCTTTGGCTCAGAAGAGCTAAAATATAAATTTAAAACTAGAAATTCCATAGGACATGAATGTCCGTCGAGGGTATATTAGTAATGCAACATGAAAATTTGTATTAATGTATGAAATTTGATGAGAATATCTTGAATAGTTTCTTAAAAATTGAAATTGAAATCTAAAAAGTTGGATATAGATGATAAATTCTCACCAAATTATGTTTAAGTGCATAAGCTTACATAAATATATCTTAAATGGTTTCTTTAAAATTAAGCAAAATGCAAATTTAAGAAAAGTGAGATCAAGGTCACAGGAAAGTTCAAAGTCAAACATTTTTGATGCAGTTGAATAGTTCTCGCAAATATGTATCAGCATATTAAGTTTGATAAAAATATTTTGAATGGTTTATTTAAACTGAGCTGAACATTAATTTAAAATAAATGAAGTTAAGGTCAAAGGAAAGGTCAAAAAATGTTGATACAGTTGAAAAGGTTACATCAGTATGTATTAGCATATGAAAATTGACACTAATTTAAGAAAAGTGAGGTCAAGGTCAAAGGAAAGGTCAAGGTCAAAAAATATTGATGCAGTTGAATAGCTCTCACCAGTATGTATCAGCATATGAAGTTTGATAAAAATATCTTGAATGATTTCATTAAAACTGAGCTAAACACTAATTTAAGAAAAGTGAGGTCAAGGTCAAAGGAAAGATCAGGATCAAAAAATGTTGATGCAGTTGAATAGCTTACATCAGTATATATCAACATATGAAGTTTGATTACACTATCTTGAATGGTATCTTTAAAACAGAGCTAAACATTAATTTAAGAAAAGTGAGGACAAGGTCAAAGGAAAGGTGAAGGTCAAAAAATGTTGATGCAGTTGCATAGCTCTCATCAATATCTATCAGCATATGAAGTTTGATAAAAATATCTTGGATAGTTTCTTTGAAACTGAGCTTTGAACAGAGCTAAACACAAAGCGTGACGGAAAGACAGACGGAAGATGGATATGACAACACTATATGCCCCAGCCATATTCATGGTGGGGCATAAAAATAATAATAATGTCATGGTATGTTATATTTCAAGCTTTAAAGTCCTATGAATTATGATTGATCTTTTGTATACCCTGTCAAGAGACCTTACGAAGAGTAAAAGATTTTCCAGGTGGAAACCAGGGAAAAAAGTATTTAGTTCCTTGTTTCCAAAGATACACTTACAAAACAACAGCACATTTCTGGGATTACATCGAATTACATGCATCAGAAGAATTAAATCATGTATTCTAACCAGATTTGTGTGTTGACCACTACAGTAAAACTCAGTTATAGTCAAGTCCTGGGGACCTGTGAATTTACTATATGCTATTATCCATATTTTGTTATATCCGTATAAAGAAATTGTTAAATTATATGTAGAGAGTTCACAAAAAACATGTTTTCCTTTAAGTATGACAACCAAATACGTTAGTGGAAGAATTAAGTCAAAAATTGTCTCGTCGAACTAAAATTTCAGACAAATTTAATTTCAAACATAAACTCTTCTGAAAAATGATGTCAGTTCAATACATAAAATTTTATGGATCTTAAAAATTCAGTACATTTTATTTTTGACTTCTTTTTGCTATATCCTTAAATTCATTATATTGGAGTTCATTATAACCATAAAAGTTTAGGAATTGTTAAAAATTTTGCTGGGGATCCCCAAAAACTTCATTATATATGTAAATTATTTCCTTTATCCATGTTCATACTAAATGAGTTTACTGTACAAATATTACAGCAATGAAGCTTTTATGTTGTCAGCTTACTCTTTGGACTGGTAGGACTCTAGGACTGTTATACATGAGATCTGAGATGTGTGTAAAAACAAAGTTCAAGTTAGCATATGGGCCTTAGTTTAATGCCACAACATTGAGTTTACCAACAGAAATTAAAGTAAAATTAGACATATTAGAATAAAGGTACATTGTACATCTTGATATTTTATCATCTAGTTTTTTAACAACAGTAAAGTTTGGTTAAAAAAAAAAATAGAGTTTTCCAAGGAACGCATGTGTCGCCTGCTTTAAAGCATTGTTTAAAATGTAAATAAATTTAAGAATAGCCAGATATTTATCTGCCACCAGTATTATAGTTCAAGCTTTTACATGCAAAGGAAAAAACATCCTGGGATAGAAACACTTCGACAGAATATAAAATATGACAACTAAACAAATACATGTATATGATTTCCTAACCCTCAAGATAAAATGAATAATGAAATTGAAATTATTAGAAATACTTATTTGTCATTTTATTCATTGTTTAATCCAATGTGACTACAAAAATTTCAGTCTGTCTTTAAAGCAATTGTCAGTCTGCAACTTTATTTGCACTCGGAGCTCCTCGGATGGCTCATGCCTTGCACACTATATATGAAGCCTCGCGGAATCAGCCGAGGATTGCCGATTGCTTTATTTGAAATACAATCCATTTTGGTATACTGATCTTGATGCGTTTTCTAAGTATTTTAAGTTCATTTTGTGTAGTAACTGTATAAAATACAGTTTCAAAGTACAGTGTCACAAATTCATAAACATGTGATATATATATAAACTATGCATGCCTCTCATAATTCAAAAGACAGGTTATAAATCAACCTTCTGAATATTTTTGCAAAGGAGGCCAAAGGTCTAGGTCAAGTGGACTGTCACACTTGTATTTTTAATATCTTATGACAAACAGTACGCATGCTTAATAGAACAGCCTTACCTCTTTAATGTCAAAAGATAAGCTGTGTATCGGCTCTATGAACCATTTTGAAAAGTAGGTCACAGATCAAGTTCAAAGGTCACGAGGTCATGCAGTAACCATGGTATTTTATAAAAGCCATAGTGCCAAGCAATATATGTGCAAAATATCATCTCTTATAGTTCTGGAGATATAAGGTGTAACAGATGGACGGATGAATGGACAGACAGAAATTGGGTAAAGTGATCCCTAAGTGTCACTCTGCAGGTGACATAAAAATCAGTAAGAAACAAAGATAAAGATACATGTACCATTTATTATGCAGATTTGCAAATAAAGCATGGATCAAAATTGATGTGTAAATATTTAATTCTAAATAGTACATTTCAGCCCAACTTTTAGTGGATGCAGCAAAGCAAGAGTCTAATTGTGGTGAAAAAAATGTTTGCTTGGGGGAATGTTTTAAGGATCAACATTACAAAAAAATAATGAACATTATACATCAATTCATAATAAACTAGCAAAAGTATTTTTAACTGGATTTCAAGAAGATAATTACAACATGATGTCATTTCTCATGAATGAACATGTATTTATTTATAAAGAATAGCAGCAAATAAAACTTCTCCCAAAATTGCTTCCCCTTAATTCAAGATTTTCTAAATCTAAATCTAAATCTAAAAGCTTCAGCTCTGCTGAAAATTGATTAATCCTAGATTAACAGATGGACTGAAATTACACACACTGTAAATAGATAAAAATATCATGATTTCAGTGATGTTAAACAGTCAAACCTCATTATCTTGAACTCAACGGGACTAAATTAATCTAAGAGATATCTGAGGATTCCAGATAACGAGGTTAAAAAAGAAAGAAACAGTGGTTGGAACTGCCAAATCACTTCAACATATCCCTGGTGTCCAAGATTAAGAAGTTCAGTTGTATCAGTATTTTGTGAAAATGTTCCAGTTAATGTCATTTTGTAAGTTAATCATATAGCCTGATAACTATTTCTACATACATATACTGATATATTTTCTGTTTATCTTAAATGTAAAATAAATAAAATTTACAGACATGAATCACTGATAAAAATCTCTACTGATTAAGTATCTTTCCATGCAATGTTACTACTACTACTAATAACAAATGTGTTTTACAGTCTGATACATCAATTATGAATTAAAACAAGTGATAAATCAGTAATACATTGTACATTATCAAAAATAGGAACACAACCATTTAGTAGATATATAATTTTTAAAATAAGTCATTAATATACACCAATGCCTCTATTCTTCCAAATGTTAGCTAATGCATACTTAAAACTTACCAAGTTAGGTTGATTTGTAGGAGAGAGAGAGAACTGAAAATTCTTAAGGGATATTACTCATCCAGCAAAAATGCATTTTCAATATTTACAATTGCCCAAAGAGATTTTTGAATTCAAGTATTTTCTGATTTCTGTGGTCTAATTTTTTCTTTGAACTTTGAGGTTATAAATTTTATATAGAAAGCTTTCTGAATTTGAAATATCAGAGCAAGGACCTCTGTTGGTAGAGTATGGAAAACAGTAATATATATAATGTATATAACGGTCAAATTGTGCAGAATAAGTACATGTATATGATAAAACATAAGTAAATTACCACATCTTACAACATGTATGGCTTCCTTTCTTCAACTATTGCTATAATTACATGTATAACACAAGGAATGTCACAAAAACCATAACAAACAATCCCAACACAACAAATTGCATTGCTTCCCATTATTTTCCCTGATTTATTCATGTATGCATATTCAAAAATTCTACATTCAAATACACAACTGTTAAAAACAGCTGGAGTCACTTCTCTGACCTTAAATACATCTTGTTTCATTTTTTCCTTCCTGAGCAAAATTTTTACCAAAATAATGCCCTCACTCACAACCCAGACCAGATTTATATAACTTTGACAGCTGTATGATATCAGCATTTTGCTTGCAACATTGTGCCAAAAATTCACATTTCTACCGATATTACTCACACATTGACTAGAAAAGGGTTTCAAACAAATTAATAAAAGAATCACAGTGCTCAGTGCAAAAATGCATGTACATGTACCATCTTTTCTAAAGGTAAAATTTTTGTTGATATCTTTCAGAAATCTTCAACCTCAACAAATAAAGATGTTTTAAAGCTTCTTATTATGAGATTCAGATCATTCTTCTTGGTTTCCATTCTTTGACAGCTGACAGTCTTGTTAAGATAGTGTTTATACATCTAATTCTACTTACAGAGAATTGCTTCCAAACACTGTACAATAAATACTTTCTATTTCTTACTTTAATACTTTAAACAATAAATACATGCAAAATGTATATCAAATTATTTCCCTATCTTGATATATGTCATACATCATCAAATATTCCCCTTGGAGGTGCACTAGAAGTCTTTGAACTAAATCTGCTGGATCTGAGTGATGAAGTCCGCTGATATCCTTGCGAAAAATCACTAAAAGGGTCAGTTGTGCTTGGCAGTTCACCTGTGTAGTCTATTGGTTCTGCCTCCTTCAGCAGCTCGGTTTTGTCATTGTCATCCGGGCTTCTTGCCAATGTTTCCCTCTCCCTTTCTCTATCAGCTAGAATACATGTACAACACCAGATATGTACACATATTTCACTTTGAAAATGCATCTCATGCTTTTTTTTTATGCACATGTACAAGTATCATATATTTTAAATTATGTGAGTAACTCTCTTTAAAAATGAAGCAAGAATGATTTGCCTTTATTTCCTACCTCTGGATCCAATAATTCGGTCAGAGGACTGGGAAGTTGTTCCAAATCTTTCTGTCCACTCACGCCTTCTTTCTGCACTATCATGTTTTCTATCACGACTCCTCTTTTCTGTAAGTATAAAATATTTTTGTGTTTTTTAAGAGTTATTGACAAACAAGTACACAAAATAATTTCCTAATTTATCCATACACATGCACTACACAACATTTTTAAAGTTGTTAAAAATCATAATGTCCATAAAGTGAGAGAAATTATAATGAGGAAGTTTGTGTATGAAAAATGCCCTTCCCATATCAAAATTCACCAAATATGCCTATATCCTGGTTATACGTAAAGATTGTTTCATTCAGACTCAGACCAAACAAAAGATATTCTGTTTTGTCTAACCTCTCTGAACAATCTGTCTCCCCTCATCCACCAGCTCCTGGGTCATGTCATCATCCCCAATAAACTGCTGGACCCCCAGAAAATGGAGGATACGACTCCCCAGGCTGAAGAATGTACAGATACACAGCAGGACCAATATCATAGGAAAGTAAATGTTAAAGCCATCCGAGATAAATGATATTACGTCCATGTGGCCCATGATCTGTCAAAACATAATGGATTTAGATATATAAACAATGCAGCTTGCCAGATCTAGTGGTCCTTTTTCAACTTACATACAACTTATTTGCATATTTACAAAGTTTTTATGAAAACAATAATAAAATGGATAATTTTATCATTTTCAGACCTGTGTGTATGATGTTTCCTCAAGGTTATCCTCCTTTGTGATGTGGCTGTCAAGATGAATCAAGCCCAGGAAATTCAAACACATAGGCGGGGTCAATCTACATAGCATCCTACAAGACAACAAAAGTTAACAAGATAATACACTTAATAACAAGTTTCATGTTGAATACAATTCGGTACTTGATCACCGAAAATACAACAGGAATACAGAGAGAAAAAAAAGCCTTAAAACAAAAGCAGAAAGTTCAAATTCTGGTATATAACTCATACAGTAAGAATAATCTGCTATAAAAGAGCTACAGTTTATTTACCTCAGTTCAAATTTGCAATTACATGTGTAAGCAAGTAGCCAGGATTATTCAAAGTTTATGCTGAAGATCAAAAAAAGACTCCTAATGCAATGTTTAATTTTGATGCTGAATTCCATTACAAGAAATTATAAGTTTCCACAGCTAATAATGATAATTATCAAGCTCAAAATTAGGTCTTTAAAGGTTTACCCAAAGCAGGTAAATTTGCACAATACATGGTATTTGTAACTGCATACATGTACATGCCAGTGAACATAAGACTGCATTCATTAGTCTGATCGTGTTTTGATATACAAGATTACAAGATTTATTAGTCCAATTTGGGCCCCCGGAGGAGCAAAAAAAATTTACAAACATGAAACAAAGAAGGAGGAAGATCCAAATGATAGAACAAACATGATCCTAAATATAATGAGCAGTGCTTAATTGTATAATCATTGATAAATGCATCTACAAGAGATATATACGAGTATATATATTGTATTATAATAATAATATATAGTCAAGTAGCTGGAAAGATACATATATGCATATCAAAGAAAAGAAGAGATGATATATTGCCATTCCTACATGTATATACATCCCCAAATATATTTAAATTTTTCAGTTAAGGTAGATATATATAGTATAATTTGAGTATTTCTCTAGTTTCTCTGAGAGATGATATTTGTAGTACCGGTACATACATGCCAGTGAACATAAGACTGAATTCATCAGTCTGATGGTGTGGTGCTATGTAGTACAAGTTGAGTATTCGGATCTGGAACACGCTGTAGTAAGCACAGAAGCAGAGGTAGGCAATAATCAAAATGGATGACAACTGAAAACAAGAGTAACCTATCTGGTTATACATAACATAGCAGCTAGAGCAAGAGACACATTCTCCTTCATGTATGCAAAATCTGGAGGAAAAAAATAATGAACCATCATAGCACTTACAATGTTTTGCAAATTTTGATTTCATCTTTCATTAGATTTTTAAAAAAATTCCTTGTCTTTAATATTAAACATCTATTCATTCAGTTTGATTAAACTTTTACCTCTATAAAAACATAATCATAGTTATGTTTTGCAGCATTGATGAAGATGGCAAACAGTGAAAGGACAGGGTCCTTCACAAAAAAGAGACATTCTGACCAAACCACCATAAAAGTCACAATGGCAAGCAGGATACCACACACCCTCATCAACCAGAAATAAACCTTACACCGCCAGTACCACTCTAAATATAAAACATAATAATCTTTTGAATTTTGTAATCCAATAAATGCACATCTCTTTACTTTCTTAGTGTGTGCACAAAAAAAAATCTCTGTGACAAATTTCCTCTATTTCTTTCAGTGTGTAGCATTTACACTTTACATTAAAGTACTTTATATTCACAAATTAGAATCATTTTGTGTAAAACATACAGAGAGACATAGAATTTTTAATACCTGTTTAATAAATTCCTGCGTCAGCTATGTCAACTACAGGTAAGTACAAAATATATACAAAAAATAACTTAACACCTGTTTTATAAACTGCATCAAATACAATGTGCCAACATACCCACTAAAGGTGTGTACACAATGCGTACAAAAGCTGGCAGTGCAGAGGTGGAATGTTGTGATCTCTGGAATTTACGAGTTGCACTCTGTTCATTCTTTTCCACATCTTCCAAATCAATGGCTTTCTGCATCAGGGAGTTCCACTGTGCATGTGTACGATGGTGGTTTTGGGAGTCCCGAATGACTCGCTTGTGGAGTCTCACAAGCGTTTTTTCATTAGGAATGTCTACACTGCTCCTATTGTAATCTTCGTAGTCGTCATTATTCTGCTTAACAGAGTGACGCATTGTCTCAGGACACTGTACGAAGACAAATACATGTATTTATTAATTAAGAGTCTTATTTCCTTTTACAATGTATTTACTACTGTATTTGGAATTCACTTTTTTAATTACTTTCCAGATTTTTCTGTATCTTTGTAAAAAAACATTGATGATGTTTATCTCATTTTTATCAGTTAGGAACAAAGTCACTCTGACTTACCTTAAGTAAAATTGTATCAACATGCTTTCTCAAAGGGTGGTTATATTTAATCTTCTCCGAAACCTTTTTGATCTCCTAATAAATCAAAAAAAAAATTAAAACTTTACCATGGAGAAAAAACAAAATTAAAAAATAAAAAAATATTTCAAGTTACTGCAAGGACACTATATCAGTCCAAGACTGTTTTTTTTTTCTTCCTTTTTTTTTTCTAAACTTACATCCAAGACATCTTCCAAAGCTTCATCTGCTTCTGTTTTATCAGTGCTTAGTTTGGAGATCTTGAAATATGTTTTAGACAGGACAAATCCCTTTTTGCAGCTGTTGTACACAGACCTAGGTACCTCCACCAAACCATAACCAAGCAACAGAATCAACAAAAAGAGACCCCATGTATTGCTGGCTGTTATTCCTATCACCTTTAATCTTTCTCTAAAAAAGACAAAACTTAAGTCAAGTTCACAATAACAGTACACTATCGTATAGTATTTCCTTCAAAAGATCTTCAGACATCTCAATTTTTAGAAAATTCTACTTATATTAAATGAAATGAAATATTGATAATTTCAAATTAATATTGATATGTCAAATGGCCAAATAATCATTTACTTATATGTTATGAAAATTTTGAGTTCTTACGCATCAACTTGGAGGTCTGCTTTGGCAACAACATAAATCAAGCACACTCCAAATATGAGTAAATAAGAACCATAATATATGGCATTTTCTATCAGGGCAGTCTTAATCTTGCCAGCCACAGTGAAATCACCAGCTGTGGAATAGGACTGCATAAGTGGTAAAATTATCCTGGAAAATAACAGAATTTCTGGTAAAACATCACAATTTTCTTCAAATATACTGCACTGTTTAATATTTATAGTATGATTAACAATTGTTGTTTTAAAAGGGGGGACTTTTATTTTTAAAAATTCCTTTATTTTCCTTGATTATGCAAAGCCTTACATGCATTTACACTCATAACTGGCAGTATTTTTAAAAAATCCAGTCTAGATACATACCATGTTAACAGTTGTGATGTCCAATAAACCACTTGCCAAAGTGTGGGTAAAACATTTTCTGGAACGTGGCTGAGTGGAATTTCACATGGAGAATCATGAACTTGACTGAAGATCTGTAATGCAGGTGTTGAAGATGCAGGAGTTGTTGATGTGTTTCGATCTGCCGTTGTTGTTATATTAGAGGATTTGGGTGTTGTTGTCAGAATTTTTGTGGCTTTGTCTTTAAAGCATTGTCGATAAAATGTCTGCCATGAAAAAGAGATGAATTTTATACCCATAATACATGTATATTAATTTACTCAATCATATTCAAATATTTCACAAGATGTATATGAAAATTTGAAAGTAATTTTCATTTCTTTTGTAAATTCATTTTAAGTTATTACTTTATTTGATACTTATAAAATACAGCATTTTTATAATAGATAAAAAAATTAGACTAATTTTAACTTACAGAAGAGACATCCAGTGGCAGTACAAATATGATGAGAAATGAAAAGTACCAAGCGATAAAGGTTGTTAAAGTTGTTAAAATATTCTGCTTTCTTAGATCACCATAACGATGTAACAAGAAAGCTGCCAAGCAGCAAGTACAAATCACTTCAATTACCAACGGTCCTGCACTCATCTTGCAAACTGTTTAATAATAAAAAATAGATACATAAATAAAAAAAATTATCAACTGTCATTTTTTTTATATATCAAATGAATCATACAGACCAAGGATATTTTATCTGAACGTCTTTTGCTTTCTTAGTATTATGTTTTACATGTTTATCAACATTAAGAGATGTTACCAATTTTCATATTAAATCAATATTATCCACATATTATATTACATGTGCAAAGCCAAAGGGCACCTGTGAAAATATATGCCTTCCAGCGACAAAACTAATGCAAAGCACCAAAGAAAATCCTAAATATAACTTGTAGAATGTCTTACCGTGGAAACTGACCGGTTCCCAATTTGAATTTTTAATATATTACATAAGAAACTGTCAATATTTTCCATCTTCTGGTTTTGGCAGCTGAAGAGGTATGACGTGTCTAGGTAAGTCGTACTATGAAGGCATCGGGTAAAACTAGTAAATATGAATATTAATCGGATCGGGCTCGTGCTTACTGTTGATGGAGCAGACGGAATATTCATGTTAGGCCTTGCTTAGTGTTTTTAGATAACCATTCGGTTTCTTACTTAATTACATTGAAGGAAAAGGTTTAAAGTTACTTACAAAATTTGGATGAGCATCATCGGAAATTTTGTTGCGTTTTATTTTTATCAGCACATCGACATTCCAGAGCTGCTGTAACTTTTTATTTTTCGCTTTAGGGTAGGTCTGATCACCCGTGATCGACCAGGTACCTAATAGAGCTGCTGTAACCTTTTATTCTTCGCTTTAGGGTAGATCTGATCATCCGAGACCAGGTACCCAACGGATGCTGGATTGTTAAATTCAATTTGAGTCTCATAGACTCGAGTTCGAATACTGATCCTAGTGTGACATTTTCTTTCCCAACACAGGCCCTCAAAATGCTTCTATTTACCTAGCTGCTACCATATTGGCTTGTTTGGATCTTTTGCATCATTTACTTTATCTGTTTATGTATCCATGCAGCATTTTTTTTAATTTGCCAAGAAAATGGTTTATGATTTCAGTGCATCAGTTAAATAAGTAACTTCATTGTCATAAGAATATACATGTAGCATTCTTTTAGTGACCAGTCATAATGGTGAGGGGAAAAGAAACAAGGTTAGCAGAAATCAGCTTCACCATTGATGAAGAGGACTTCAGAAGCAAAGGAAGGGGCAATTTAACAGATTATGAAGAAGGGGGAAACTGCTCCAAACAGAAACAGAGTTTGAGAAGATTAAGTTTAAAATGTAATATTAACTTGCATGTTTTCCAATTATAAATATAAAATTTTTTCTTCAGTGTGATTTTTTCCCTTTAAATATTATCTTCAAATGACTTCAATAACGATATATTTTTATGCCTCCCTTGCTTTGCACCTGTCGGTTGGTGTGTATGTCTGTCGGTTGGTAGACCAAGTGTTGTCCACTTAATATCTTGAGAACCCTTAATTTCCTTGACAGACATCAATCTTGGTACTTTGGTACACCTTGAAGAGTAGATGATCGAGATTGATTTTGAGGTCACAAGGTCAAGGGTCGAAGTACTGTAGGCATAGGAAAATCTTATTCGTTCAATATCTTAATCGAGAACACAGTATACTGTAGTAGTAAATCACCAAAGAACAAGTCTCAATAAGTCTTATCTGTGGTCCCCGGTTACTTGTCAAATTTCGAACATTTATTAAAATTTTTAAAATTAAATGTTATTATTAACTAATGTCTTTATTACTTGAATCATCATCTAAAAATGTCAAACAATAGATATAGGCAGCATACAAAGCTGCGCGTTGAAGGTAGGGTCCTTTGATTTTCATGAATATCAAAAGAAATCAGTGACAGGTACGCACTTCAAAGTTTTCGTAAACACCGAGCACAGGTTTGATATGAGTCAAGTTTGAAATATAATGTGTATATTATATGTGTAAAGGATGAGTGAAAATATCTTTGTTGAACAACCTTGTGATCTATGTTTTCTAATTAAAAGTATTGTGATTTTGAATCTCTTTGCTGACTTCATTTACGTGCGATTAACCTCTTTATGACCTGTTTAGAATCATAACAAGCCAAGTGGATTTGTATCGTTATGGGTAAATGCCCCTAGTAAATGTGCTAGTTCTCAGTTGAAACGTACTCAGTTTTATACTGGTCAGCATGGACTTGTTTGATTCTTCTTGTCATATCTTTTACTGCCAAAGTTTTGTAAATAGAGAAAATTGCATCATGTACTTGATTGTAAATCTTGAACATATAATTAGTCTTTGATAGAAAAATATCATACCAAGATCTTCTTTTCATAGTATCTAATCTAAATGTCTCAGCCTATTTCCATGTAATAGAGAAACCATAGTCTGATCGGAGGAAAATGTTCCAGCATTTTTTAGTGCGATAGGTGTTAAAAAATTGGCTTGTATTTTTGATATGTTTAATTATTCACTATAAATACTCAAGTTTTAATTAGAAATACTTTGTTATACACAATGGAAACAAACAAAATACCATATGCTATTATTTAACCGGTAAACCAAGGGTATAAAAAGGGACCACACTACTATACTTAAGTAGAATACTCCTTTTCATCACATCTTGGTTTCGCAACAAAGTAATATTGTATTTATAAGCAAGACAAAATTTTAGCAAGCTTTGGTTATTGTCCTACATTATTTTTATTAATACAATTACAATTGAGACTGAAACTTTCATGATTAGACGGCTTCGCATGATTACTTAAAAATAAAGTTCTTGGAGGGTGGGAGGGGGGGATTTACAGTATGTTTCTCTAACATCTCTTGGTTAACTTCTCATTTAGGTTGATATATTGTAGAAAATTACTTTATCCCGTATTTTTAAACAGCTAGGTCACTGGTGCTCCCCAAGATCAAGAAATCACTCCAATAAACTTCTCCAGGTAAGTGGTCTATTACTTATTTGAGCCATAAGTTATTATCTGTGTAGTGCTGTTTACTATTCTCTTCAGACTTGATCTTTTCCAAACTTTTAATTTCCCCTGTCTGATCAGACCTTGCTTCAAGAAATGAGAGTGGAATCTTCTTGTGTTGCTTGAAGTCATTGATCTTATAATAAATAATTGAAGTGTGGGTCATTAACTTCCTTTCACACATTCAGATGCAAACTTAATAAATGTGAGGAAGACATGCTACTTTGCTCTTTGGTGTTTCTTCATGAAATGTGAATTCTAGCTTCAATTGTCATGAACTTTGTAAATGGTGAAGAGTTGTTTTAAAAATAATAGAATTAGAATTTGTGCAAAATTTTGAAGAAATTAAAGAGATGTATAATTTGTTGTTGTTTTGAAAGGGGAAAAAATGGATATTTCCAACGAAGGATTACGACAGTGTATTATTAGATATATTCCAATCTAGAAATTTCCTAAAGAAAATCGCATTCCATTAAAGCATTGATTTGCAATCAATATATGAGAAATTTAAAAGTAGATTTTACCTGACAAGGAAATTTAATCTTTATATAAAGCCCTACAGGTGAAATAAATTTTGTGAAGTCCTTTGTTTGGAATTGTAATATCAAAACTTTATTAAAATACTACAGATAGAAAACCTTATCTTTTGTTTATTTGGTTTTATTTTAATTTTGTGATGTGTGAAAGGGGTAGAGCATGCATGTAATATACAACTTGATATATATTTGGAAAACCTAAGTATTGTTACAAGTAGGCTTGGTTCTAGATCTGTAATTACACCTGTGGGTCTAGACATCATACATAGATAAATAGATTTTATCTCACCTGGTCCATAAAGCGGAAAGTGTCCAAGTTAATTGACATGCACTAGCAATTGCATGGCTCATTTTTCAAAGAAAAGGAATCATTCTGTAGTCTGTACATTAATAAAAGAATTAAGGTAAAGACTTAGTATAATTTGAATGTATTGAAAAATATATATTATAAATTTATAATTAGGCTTTAAAATATCCACAAAACACTAGAATGAATCAAACTTCTATAAAAATAATGATAAATAAAAGTTGCTGTAAATGAGGAAATACATGTAAAAACTGATGTGATATTCTGAATATTTTAGTACATTTATCTCAACTATTTAACCATAAAAAGTACATACAGAACGTGTGGAGATGATAGTGAGAAGTCTTGTTTAATTAAGATACATGTATTTATGGAATACAGACAATGACGAATCGTAATGTTATTCAAATTAATCATTATCATTAGTCTCATTTTATATTCAAAGGTGTTCATTTTTTCATCCTATTTTCAGCAGTAAAATTTTGATCCACAATTAAGTGCATGCCCTTATGTTAAAAGTGCAACAGAAAATACTTTATAGATAGTTTTAAGATCGAAAGTACTAGTAGTTGGCCTTGATGTATAATTTCGTAAGTTTTAAAAAAGATAATAAAGCAATAAAATTTTCTGCCTATATTTCAAGTAGCCCCATAAATGCAAAATATCTTTACAAGAGTAGATATTTATAAAGACAAGCTAGGTAAAGTCCAGTTGCATTATAATCTCCTGTGACAAAGTTTTCTTGAGAATTGTTAGAAATCTCCCCATACCCGATAACCTCCTTTTATAGATCTTATTGAGTGTTAATATTCAAGTTGAACACAGAGTACTGATAGAGGTTCTTTTTCTAAACAGAAGGAAAAGGGTACGTAATCTAGCATATAAAGAGTGGGTAAGCTTGACATTTTTATGTTACCGCCGAAATCTGGGGTGTGTCTCCAAGATATTTCGATGTTTATGTTCGAACATGAAATACCTGGATATCTGCAGGTGATTATTTACCTTTCTTTGGGTCATTCCGTGATTTGCCAGAGAGATTATTTATGTGTGTGTACATAACATCCCATTTACTGTTCTTAGGTAGTGGGAGCATTGTTTTAGCTCATGTTAATGTAAGAAAAGTGGACAATTGATGATGTATAGGAATTAATTGGATTCCTCTTGATTTCTCTGTCTAGGAATGCTTATGACATCATCAGGTATATATTTATGGAAATTTTTATGATTTGATTCAAAAGATAAATGATTTTTAAAGGGAAAAAATGATTCTAGTTTATATTTTTCTTTATGAATTACTTTATTGAAGTTATCATTGGATGCTTATAGACTTTAGAGAGTAAATTATTTTTAAGATTTTGTTCTTGTATGGTGTACATGATTCTATTTTATTTCTGAATTTGGAATTAAATTACTGAATGGGGAAAAAAGTTTTAAAAATTCAAAATCAAAATATGACTACTTAAAGGAAAATATTAGTAAGAATGTTTAGGTATAGCCACTGCATATGGTCCCTCTATAACATTTTTGTGAATATGAAGCTGAGACAATTATCTGTGCCTGTATAAAAAGTCATTTAATAGGTGACAGCTATAATTCTCTTTGCTGACTTTGAGTAGATAAAATATGTATTGACATCAACATTGTAAGTATAAATCTGTGGGAACAGTATCAAAAGAATATTAAAACACTATATCCTGAAGGGTAACGTACACACAGTTAACATTTTGGAGAAGTTTGATTAAACCTTAAGGCCGTCTGTTTTATGAATTCATGTGAATCTTGAACAGGTGGACAATTTCGTGATGGACTTTATGACCATTCTCTCACATTTCTTATTTTGATAAATATCTAATGATGATGAATGCTAATGATAATATTATATCGAGGCAATATGTTTTGTGGCAGGTCTCTATCAGTTCATGTATCAAAACTGGTAGGACAAAACAATCCATCAAAAAAAATTACAGAGATCTGAATAATTGTTAAATTCATTCTTTTGAATACAGCCTTTGCTTCATTGAGCACACCTATATGCCTTATCAATTATTGTAAATATTTTTGAAAATTGAAAGTAAGTAGGTGAAATGAAGCATTCTAGGATAAAGTGAAAATGAAATCGTGTATACAAAGGATTAGTAATACATATAGTTTTACTTAAGTAAAGCAACAGTCAATATTTTCTCAGGTATGTATAAAATCTTTTACACAGAACATGTAAATGCTTTCAATATTAGTTAGTATTTTTGTTAATTTTTTTTTCAAATAATGTTAAGGGAGAATTCCTTTGGACTGCATGCTTTATGAAATGAAGTGAAGTTATGTGATATATGCATATGTGTTTAAAAATACCTTTGTTTACCATTGAGGGGTGTCAAATTTTGATATATACTCTATTTTCATTAAACATTGATCCATGCAAATTGAAGAGTGTACATGTGAGATTAATATATATTGGTTGACAATTAATGGGTACCTTTTATTACTAAGCTATTGATTTGCAGAATTTCCCGACTTTTTATGGTGTTTAAGGGTGGAAAAACTAGTCAGGTGAATTAAAGTTTATCCTAATTACAATTTAATGCATCATATCCGTTAATACTTTTATGGGAGGTCTTACCGTGGTGTTGAAGCATGCACCTGTCATGAGGATAAAAATTTAATGAATCTTTCATAAAGACAGGACACACATCTGTCCAGTTTTGGACACTTCTCTTTATTTTGATCTTTACCTGGACAGGAAATTTAGAAAGTATTTGTTCTAGTAATTGGGTTTAAGCAGCCTATGGTTAATAGAAGATTGGATTCTTAAAGAAGGTCCCCCAGTTCAAGATATAAGTCAACAAATGGCGGGATATGTATTGAAAGGGATAAATGTAACAAAGTAATCAATTCTCTCAAGTTCCACAACTGTAAACAGTCTTTGTGAAACGTTTTCATTCATTTAGACAGATTAATTGAAGCATAGATAAAATATTTTGTTAGAAGTTGAAAGTCAAGAACATGAAAGAGCTTAAATTCTTAAGCAATGTAGGAGTTGATAAAAAAAATAGAATTTAAAGTTTAAAATCTCAGAAATAGAGTCATTAAATGGAAGATGAACAATATTTTTATGTTAATGAAATTTTTAAAAATTTGTATCATTAATATTTTATTTCTTTTCCAACTTTGAAAAAAAATTATAAAATTATGAAAAATATTTATATCTAGCCTGTAATTACCAGATATTCAAAAGTTAATTAATATGTGATCTGTCTACAGTTAATAAGTCTATTTTGGGGTGGATACAGCATGGTACTTGGTGGATATTAACTGAAAAATGACTGATACATCAGTATTTTACTTTTGAAAAACTCAGTTTTCTCTCAGTAAAAATGAACAGAAAAGGAGTAAAGAGATTGCGTGCATGGACTAATTGTTAAACTGGAGGAAATTTTGATGTACATGTTTGCTTTTATGAAAAATAAATAGCTGAGATACCTGATATAGCAAATAAATCAATAAGTTTCTTTTACTAAATCTGTTACTATAGAAACCTTTTTCTTCAGAATTCTGTTTTTCCCCTTGCGGAGAACGACCTTATAGTAAATGGTATATAATTTCTAAAGACGTTTTTTAAAAAAAAATTTAAGGCATTTCCCTCAGTGTTCTAATAAAATGTTATAATATACCCAATCTGTTATTGGACTCCAGCCGCTTCCTCTGTTTAACCACTGTTTTAGCTGTATAAAGGAGAGGGGTTGCTTTGCTTATTGATTTTGCATGAATTAAATCCATTAGACTATAGTCGCGTGTGTGCTGTACAGTGACTGTGTTGTGTGGAAGCTTGTTAAAGCTACAAATTGTCCAGGTGTGTTGAGTGAAAAACCATTCTTTATTATAATGGAAGAGTTTAATTGACTTGAATTTGTTCATCATGGATTAAAGGAACTTCTGAACAATGGTGGGTCCATTGTGATTTTTCTGATATTCGGCCAAAATAAAATACAGGTATGTGCATCAAATTCAGGTGTGGAGTTCTCCAGGTTCTATGTTTCAGCAATTCATTATGTTGGTTTGTGATCTTTAAATGTTTAACAGTAAGTCATTGTTAAGGGGTATATATTGCTAGACATGTTTCAGTAGACACTGTACTGTGGGCATCTCATCAAAATCCAAACTGATTTGCAATTGAAATAGGATGGAATTAAACTGACCAGGCCTATGGGCCAAATATTCACACTATTCAATAAGGTATGAATTTAACGTTGACAAGGAAAATATTGTTGTAGCTTGCTTATAAAATTTGTTCCTGTGCAAACATAATATACTAACTATACATGTTTTGAAAAAACAGCTTGTAAAAGGGTGTGTCACATCATAAGTTAGACTTCTGCAGTCATCTGTTAATCGATGTATGGTAGATTCTTATAAGCTGGCTGGATTAATATTTCATCATATTCTGTAACTCTTTGACACAATGTCCATGTAGTGGTAATAGTTTTATATAAGTATTACTCATTATAGTCGGCAGCTTAATTAAATGTATTCAATCAGTTTGGTGTTTTTGCCCTCTCTCTCTCCCTCTCTCTTTATCTTTCTCTCCCATATTTTCTTCAGTTATATGTAATAAAACACATGGCTGCTCAATAAGATTAGAGGGCTATAAATGCCAATGATAAACCAATATCATTATAATTATGACAGTCCCTTTCTGGATTTGTAATTGGGTTTTAAAGTTGACCGATGAAAGCAAATCATTTAAGCAGAAAAAAGGGTTAGAGATACCAATCTTAGCACAGTGAAGCTTGCATGAAGCATTTTGACAAATTGAAATAAGGAAATATTTTCATTTCTGCAGTACAAAAAATATCACATTTACATTTGTTTAATAAAATCATTTGAAATTTACTTAGAATTTTTAAGGAAGTTAATGATTTTATTTTTGTTTCCATTTTTTTCTTTTTACTTTAAAATTGCATAGTAGAAAAAAATGTAATATTAAATGTAATGTGATGAATTCCATAATAATTCACTCTTAAAAATCCTTCTCAATTTTGAGAATATTTTATTTTTAACTATTCCTTTTGTAAACAGTTTCATTGAGAATATTTTATTTTTAATTATTCCTTTTGTAAACAGTTTCATTCATTATAAAACTTGCTCAATTTCAAGAACTTTTTTTAAATTATGACGATTTAAACAGTTTCATTTGTAATGAAACTTTCTCAATTTTGAAAATGTGATTCTTCTTTTTAATTATAAAGATTTTAGGCAGTTTGGTTCATTAAAAGGTCCCCCTTTTGCTCAGTATTAAACAGTGGTTCCCTTTTTTATTGAATATCATAAAAGATTGTACTGAATCCAGCATTACTGAAAAGCAAAAATTTCAAATGAAGGTTAAAGGGTCAGGTGTAGATTGAGTACAAGTCTGTAAAAGTTTGTCTGGAAATGTTGTTTATTGGTAATATTAATGTTAACCATGAAGTGATAATTAGTCTGCTGGAAGCTTTCATATTGGGCCTCATGGTTTGTGATCAGCTGTTAAATACCTCCTATTAATTATGGACATTTGTATAATGGGGAATCCAGATTTATCCAATATTGCCTGTATTTCATATATGCAACTTGGGAAAAATATTATAAATTAAGATGCTAGCTATCAAAATATTTGATAGATTTTCAATATAAGTATATGGCAAAATTCTTTTGATTCATATTATAAGAGGGAAAAAAATACTACCTCATTTATATTTCCTTCCAGTGTCTGGATTGTTTAACTGTTATAAAATGAAAGATGTTGGGGATGACCATACATATTATACTCTCTGATCCGTAGTAATTTTTTTTTTTTTTTATTTGTCTGGAGGTCATAATGAAGTTATCACTGATCTCTGTGACAATGAAGCTACATACCTGATCATTTTACTATAAAGCAAAGATAAATTTACTCTCGGTTGCTCAGAGAGGTTTGTAAGTAATATTTATTGTAATTGAGACTCTTAGTTTAGAGTAGAATATACATCTAGTGTACATTTTCATTGTACATGTACTACTAGCTATTTTAATGACTATCACTTCCAATTTTTACTTTTTTTCAGATGAGCTGTCTTATTAAGTGAACAAAAATATGACCAGACTGAAGGAGATGAAGTCAGCTGCTCTGAGGTTGTTACTGGTCCTAGGATTTCTCTGTTTAGGTATTTCTCATTTAAATAAAAATCTTTTATAATTTTTATAATTTCTTTTCAACATTTTTGAAATTTTAAATTACTTCAAATATAATTCAGGTAATTTTAAGATGTAAACTACATTTTTTGTAAATAATATTTTGCTGCAATATTCAAATCCTGTATAATCTTGAATAGTTGTACCCCTTCCTTTTAAGATCACCTAAGTAATTCATGTGACCTAGCTACTACTATTCTTGTGTGATGTGCATCCTCTGTCAGTTGTAAACTTTTGAACAATTTCAGCTTCTTCCTAGTCTTCTCTGTTTAACCACTTTCAAACAATTTTGATATAAAGCATCTATCAGATAAAAGGGAACAAATATTGTAAATTCCATGGTCTCTGCCTCCCTGAGACTTGAGGGGTGTCATCAAAACCATTAAAATTAATGCAATCTTTAAAAATCTTCTTTACTCTTAGAATCAAGAAGACACATTTTTGGCATGGTTATATTAAGCAGTGAGCCCTGTACCAAAAATTGTAAAATTATGAGGTTCAGGTTCTGGATGGGATTGAATTTAGTTATACAATGAAATGCATTATATATTGTATCTAATGAAATTTTCTTCTTTACTCATGGAAATCTAGCAGGCAAACTATTTGCACGATTATAATAAATACTTAAACTTTTACCAAAATTGAGAAACATACCCTGTGGGTCCATGGTTCGATCAGGCCAGTGAATGGGGGCTTAGTTGATCATATACTGAAAATATGTGTTTGAAAATCTCTTCTCATGGAGAATTAGCAGGAAAATTGCTTACATGAATTAATTAGCACTTGGCCCTGTATCAAAATTGTGAAATTTATGGCCCTGATCCCATGGCTCAGGCCCCAGGATGGGACTGAGTTGGTCAATCATTGTATATAAATCACACTTTGAAAATCTTATTTACTCATGGACATCTGATGGACAAACTACAGTCAAACCTCATTATCTCAAACTCAGTGGGACCAAAAAAAACTTTGGGATATCTGAGGGTAAAAAACTTTTAAGAATAAGGGGTTAGGACTTCCAAATCACTTTGACATATCCGTTGTATTCGAGATATCAGTGCTGTATTTGCATGATTATAATAAACACAATGTCCTGTACCAGAATTTGTAAATTAATGCCCCCCCTGGCCCATATGGTGTGGTCTAAGGCTGGGACAAAGTTGGTCATATATTATGAGTAAACTACATCTTTGAAAATCTTCATTACTCAAGGTCATGTAGCAGGCAAATTTGTTTCCTTAATTATAATAAGCAGCTAGCCCTCTACATTAAAATAAATCTGAATATTAATAAAAAAAAAATTGTCTCCATGGACCAGGGATCAGGCTCCAGGATGGGGTTTAGCTGGTTATATATGAAATTTATTAAACAATGTGCTTTATCTTCTTTACACCTGAACTTCTAGGAAACATGCTACATAAATATGATAATGATTATAGAGTCCCACCAAACTGTAATTTTTTTGTCACATAAATGCAGAGACCAATTCCAAGTGGAGCCAGATTGGTCATAGCCTAAGAAAATTATCATTCTCAGGTGATTGTCAAGGCACATGGGCATCTTGATTAATTTCAGTTAAAATTTTGCAAACTCATTGTACAATTACAGAAATTTAAGAAAAATTAAAAATAAGTGACCTGTTTTTATATTCTATCCCAGTTTAAAATCAAAATAAAAAAAAATCAACTGATGCAAAACCCTACTTAAGAATTCATGTATAAGCACAGTACAAGGCTTGTTTTATTGTTATTTTCCCACTCTCAGTTAAATGTTTTAAGCCATAAAAGAAACTGTCATTTTTTCCCCATCTTGTGAGAATGTGCCATAATTGTTGGCCTATACAGTATAAAATTCACATTTCTAAGATATCCTCAATTTGTCATGTTATCAACCTAGCTCATATTAAAAAAAAATGCAGCTTGATCTGCTTAGCAATGGGTGATGTAATATTGGTATGTTTGATGAACTATGTTGACAGTTCAGTACTGACAATGTTAATGTGACAGGAAAAGAATTTTTTTTATTGGATAACATTTTTTTCATAGGATTTTGAAATATTTCATGTAACTTTTATGTTGTTGAATTATATGAGAGCTTAGTGCGCATGTTGGTTAATGGTTAAATAACTTCCTTCTCTGTGTGAATTGTCAATGTAAGACAATATTTGAAGATAATTGGTGGAGAGTGATACTGACACTGAATTTTTTGCTCATAACTATTCCCCAGAAGTCACATAAATCATCCATAAAAAGATGCCAAGCAAACAAAAATGATCATATAACCATATTTTTTGCCTATCAACATGTAGTTTTTCTTATTAGATGAAAATTTATTAAAATAATCAAGCATCATAAAGTTATTGGATGCAATAAACATATACTTGTATTAAGGCATAAAATGATCATTTATTGCAACATAAATTGTAAATGAAATTTGCAGTCAAACATATCAAGTTCTAGAAATCTCTGCCAAAACTGGAAAATGCAATTGCCTTCAGAATTGATTCATTTTGCTTTAACCAAGGGAAGAACAGTTTATAGTCAGAGAAATAATAAGTTCTGTTGAAAACTGTCTTCAGTTCATTTTCAGGGCATAACTGGATTACCCTAAAAAAATTGTTTAGAGAGAAAACTAGTATGCTAGCAGGCATGACCTTTCTTTTTGATCATAGGGCCTCTATCTGGAAATTTGGTCTCACATTGCAATAAATGGCCAATTATTCAGACTCTATTCAATTCTATTTTTCAGGCCTAAATGCAACCAATAATCCACCGACCCTGCTGAATTTCAACAGATACATCTTTGTCAAGGAAAATTTTCCAATAAGTAAGGGATTTCTAAATGTCAGTTGCTACCAATAGTATTTGATGTAGGTGATTTTTTTTTATTCTTACTAAATGTAATATGTACTATAGCAGATAATTAGAAAAGAAAGTTGAGAGCATGTCGAAATACATGTACATTTATTTCTATTCACATATATTAAAAAAAAAAATTCAGACATTGTTTTTGAAATAAGACGTTGCTTGTAAATTGCAATTTTTCTTTCAATGTTGACTTATGATAACTGATAGAAATATGGTATAGTAATTTTTTAATTGCAGTTAATGAATTTAAAAGAAAAATTGTATGTCTAAGAAACCAGAGCTAAGATTTTCAGTAACTCCTTTTCTGATTAGATGGTAGCCTCGGAATTCTGTCCGCTAGGGATCAAGATGGACCTGACGACATCACATTTACAATTAAAGATGATGTTACAAGAGATCTGGTGCGCTTGAGTGAGCATTTTGGAGACAGCACAGTGAATAGATCGGTGGAGATTATTTTAATCAAACAACTTGATAGGGACCATGTAAGTATATTGATTGACACAAAGCTTCTCTGAGAACTAAGAATATTTCCCAAAGGATAAAATGCCCCAATGCATATCTTGTGTGAATTAAGTCAGAAAGCTTTGTAATATGCTAGGAAAACAAGTGTTGTGTGCTCTATTGTAAAAATAATACATGTATAATTAAAAGCTAAGATTTTTCTTAAATTAATTGCTTTGTGATTAAAAATCGTCCAGCTGTATCATAAATCCAAAATTGATTTTTAGCACAAAAATGTAGTTTTTAATAGCTCTGACCTCTAAAAATTAGTCACAGTACATGAATTTTAAAATGTCATAATTTTTGTTCATTTTCAAAAATTAAAGTTGAAAACAGATTTTAAAAAAATATATAGTAATGGTACTTGCATTTTTAATTCTTCAATTTATAATTTTCAAATGTCAATGAACACAGTGATAGTCATATAATCTATAGAAGATTATTAATAACTGAGTGAAGGAAGTCCTTGTTATTAGTCCTTGGAATGGATGTTTACTTACTCTCTGAATATCTATTTTCATTAAAAGCTAATGTTCATTGTTGAAAATTGAAAACTAGATCAAGCTATCAAGCTGAATCACTATCATGTTCACTGTAACTACTTGTTTGTATGATGTAGACAAATAAATCAGTAAACAAGTGTGTTATCCAATTACCAGGACCTTCACTGTGATGAATATGTACTGTGTTTCAGGAACCATCAGACAGAAAGCTGTACTTCAATCTGGCGGATGGACAAGGCTCCAGTGCTAACAATGTGAGAATTAGATTTGTGACTGGCAAGTCACTTCATTTACAAGGCCATTACCACTATAATAGGGAATCCCCAATCCATTTTGTGTGGCACACTTCAGTTCCCTTATGGGAGTAGCATATTTCTTCACTGCCATAACTTATGACTGATGGTCAATATTTTGCCTCCAAAATTCTATATAGAATGAATTATTCAACATAGAGTGATAAGGGGGAGTGTAATTACTTCTTCTAAATAACAGTACTAATGTACTATACTGAAAATGATGCAGTCAGTGATTCATAAAATGTATTAATTAACTCATATTTTACCAAAACACTGCAGCACATACATTCATTATGGAAGCTAATGATTTTACGTAATTGCTTATACTGATTAAAATTGAATATAAAGTAATTTTTATGCTCCTGCCATAAAATGGCCTAGGCTTATAGTGTTTCCCATTTCTGTCTGTCATTCCATCATAATTATAGTTTTTCAGACTTTTTCAAGTGCTTGTAGATAAAGAACAATTCTAAAAATGTCACTTTCTGTTGACAACTCACAGATGAAATTTGAGTTTCATGTGGATAAATCCCTATTCATGAAAGTTATTGACCTTAGAATTTGAACATTTCCAATTGTTCAGTTTTCCGGACTTTTAGGTTGTGCTTGTAGATAATGGGCTGATTTTTAAAATGTCAGTTATATTGATGACTGACAGATCACTGTGATGGACACACTTTTCACAAAAGTTATTGCCCTTTGACTTTGAAATACAGAAAGGATGACTGCACTTAACGCCTGTTTTTGGGTCTTTTTCGGTTGCTTGTGCTGCTTTTATGTCTAAACCTTATCTCACTTTTGTATGTTTATGAAAGAATACTGTCAATTTGGAAGCACATTTTAATCTTAAAATGATTTTAGACTGTGATACAATAAAATGATTCAATGTTTTTTGTCCTTACTGCTTTCCAAATATAGTGAATTTACACTTACCTGCCCTTGATTGAACATTAGATATGCATGAGAGGTGGAGCTAACATCGTAAGAATGGCTCTAAAATTAGACTACATAAACAGCTGATAAATAACAATGACATGTTTGAAAAAGCGAATGTGATCACTCTTTCCAATCTCCTCTCCATTCTGTATGGCATAAATACACTTCTGACAAAGGTTTCAAAACGAAATTAACAATATGAGCACGTCAATGTAATTAAAGCAGATTTTATATCAATGCCAGATGACTTAATGTGTTCGAACACAATGTCCTAGTTAGCACAAAACATGCTTCCTTACAAGTCACGTGTCGGAATTTAGTATTCACAAAGTTACCTGAAGTAAGAAATCACGTGGTGAATTATAATATTCAACATGTCACAATCCTTGGTTACAACACAGAGAGCGAATGTAAGAAGAAGCATTTTTTTCTCTTTTTAACCATGAGCGCATGTTTGTCTATTAATCTCCTTTTGATACATTATTATTTATGCAAATATACAACTACTGTTAAACGGCGAACAATAGACAAACATGCGCTGACTATGTATAAAGTCAGTAAAAAAGTGGGCGTCCTCATTATTGAACGGAGATTCAAGAAATTGTGATGACCCCTGCCTTTGAAAACAGATTCGAACTTCGTAAATACACACTTTTATTAAGCGTAATTACATAAAGTTGTAGATTGGATGTTGATCATTCTTGCAATGAAAAGAAAAATGCTTGTTTTGAAAGATTATTTTGTCGCAAATTCCGCATGTCCTTAAGTGCAGTCATCCTTTGTAAAAAGCTTACAGAATGAACACCATTTTGAGGCTTATATATCCACCATTTTCAGGCAGCTAAAATATGATATTGACAACTGATTCAAGAAAACAAAAGCAACAATATGATTCCTATTTTATTTTTATCCATTGTTATTTCATGTCATATTGGACTTTCAAATTTTTAAAACTAACATGTTGGCAGGGACATTTTGTCACGCTGACAATTTTTTTTCATCTTAGTTTTTTTTATTTAATTTCATACACAATGCAATTCATTATCCCTAAACATGTGAACCAATTAATTAACATGTAGCCTTTATTTTTGTAGTTGGCAGTTCAAGTGACGCTATTTATTAGTGATGTCAATGATGAAGTGCCAGAGTTTGTCAATCTTCGTTATAAAGAGTCTGTATATGAGGTAAATAGTCACAATAAAAAAAAATTAGAAATAAATATAGGGAACATATATGTTCAAACTGAATGTGTTACAGGTATGCCTAGAAATAAGAGAGAGACATTGATTGTCTTATCAATTACACTTGTGTGAAAGTATTTTTATTTGATATGGTGTTTTAAAATTTCACAAAAGCATAAATTTTTCATGAGATATGAGTCTGTTGGGTTGTTTTATCAATGAAATAACCATAAGATTAGAGAATCAAGTTCGTAAAAAAAAATTCTGTCACATTATGTACAAGCTGGGCTAATTTTACTAAAACATGGTTAAAAAAAATATTCATGAACTAGAGGTCATGTGCACCAGAGATAGTATTTTAATTCAAATTTTTTTTAGTCTAACCACTTTAATGTGTTATTCTGTAGAATGCTACAGTTGGAACAACAGTGATAAGAGTATCAGCCCAGGACCCTGACAATGGTCTAGGTGGCACCGTGTCTTACTCAATGGAGGTATGAATTCAAATTTCACTGAAATGTTAGGAGAAAGTTATCTAGACCTCTTATCAAATAAGAGATAGAAGCATGTTATTTCATTGAGCTCAATACAAGTGTACATTACCAGGTAAAAAATATCAATTATTTACCCAGCCAGATAAATATTATATAATTTTAAAGATTAAGTTGTAAATTTAAAAGATACAGTCATTTGATATGGACTTTTTGTCCTAATAATATAATGATACTGTTAAATCAATATTTTTGATGTTCTTTTATATTATCATTTTTATTATCTCTTAAATATTTTTCAGCCTGTAGCCCAGGTAATCATTTACTCTCACTATCACAAAAATCTGCCAAGCCTAATGTATAGTGTATATCTTAAATTGATTAAATCATTTATGAAAAGCTTAAATTTAACATTTATTTTTATCCTTGTTAGTAAGTGCAACCTATTTTTTATGTGGATATAGTTTCTAATCAATTGAAATCTGAGAACATATATGGAGTATCTTTTTCATTTAAAGTTTAATATTAAGTTTAATAACACGTAATAATAGAATCAACTATACTGATAAAATGAAACTCTCTGCATACATTGTGAATTGATCAGTTAATAAAGATACACTAGTAGATAAAATGTTAATTAATATGTTGTCATTAATTCCTCCTACACAGTTTGTGTAATATTTCAGGCTGCTGATGAACTGTATAAAAATGCCTTCCGTATTGATGGAGACACGGGAGATATCATCATTAACTCTTCCCTGGACTTTGAAAAGCACAATTTTTATGAATTTGTTATTAAGGCAAAAGTATGTACTAATAAATGGTTTAGCTATGTAGAAAAATGTACAGGACAGTATGAGATATAATTGCTAAAGGCTTTGGTTTTTCAAATGATGAATAACTTAGGCTATCTATCTGTCTGGAAACCTTGTGTGAATTTTTGAATTTGCAGCTGAATGAACATTTATAATATTGAATTTTAAAAACAACTTAAAATGCTGATTTTGTTAGGATGGCTTTGGGAACGAGAGTACCAACAATGCTGACTTTGTATTAACTGTCCTTGATGTACAAGACACTCCCCCATCCTTCTTCAATCTACCATACAGTGTTGTGGTGCAAGAGGATAAAGCTGTGGTGAGTACAAATAATTTTTCTCTCAACAATATGTACAAAATGTTTTTCTCAGTATTCCGGCACATCGAACAGGTTATGTGCTGTGCAATTAAGTTTACAAATTCATGAGAAAATTTTTTGTAAGATTTTCATTGGTGATCTCTTTTCATCTGAAATTTGTGTGAACAATGATGAAGCTTATTTGCCTATATATTACATTATTACAACACATAATTTTATCATTACAATTTTATATGGATTTAATTTTAGGGTTCACAAGTTCTACAAGTCACAGCATTAGATGGAGATAGAGGTGTTCCAAATGGTATCAGATACACATTTGTTTCAGGTAATTGATATTTGTAATTACATGTATATTGCATGTAGAAAATTTCACACTCAGGAAGGTACAATTATGGAGCAAAATTTTTTATTTTGAAAAGAATAAAGCAACTTTTACAGCTTAATTCTTTAACTGTGCTTTAAAATATTGATCATTGTTAGTCACAAGCTTTGCATCTGTTTTCTTTTAAATGTTTGCAATTTTAAAACATTTTTCATCCTCATTTTACATAGTTGATCTCTGTGTTGTAGACCCAGGATTTTAATGCAGCATAAAATGCTGCATTAAACTTCGGAGTTATTTCCATTAATTCCCATTCTCTTCAAAATCATAAGACTATAATCAGTATGGGCATATTTCCTCTATTTCAGGTGACTATGAGAATTTTGATATTGATTCAAACACAGGATGGATTACTATAAAAACAGAACTAGATAGGGATGCTGCCTCTGTACAAAACAGTGGTGGAGTGTATGCAATGTATGTCAAGGTATGATCAGATTTTTAAATAATGATTGTAATATTACTTCTTTACACAAGGTGTTTCGTTTTTTTCTTCTGAAGTTCTTGTATGTATAAATGCTGTTTAATATTGAAGTAACAATTGTTACTTATTTTATGGTGTTTTGTGCCAATAAGGTCATCAAAAGTTTTGAAATTGCATAGAATGCTTCAGGTTAGCCATGAAACAAAATGGACCAGCAATTGGAACTTTTGGTTCTACATTAATTTTACTCCATGGATACTTTGGCATTTTCTGTACAATGTTTTTTTTTCCTCTTTAATTTCATGATTTTCTTTCCCTTTTATTGACTATTTCATTATCCAAATTCATTTCACTTCAGAGTTATTTCCATGGTATTATACATGTATTGCCAAAAAAAAGAAGCAAAAATAAAACAACATTTTAAAAAATGCATACAATCATTTCCATGTGCCATGGAAGCATTACATTATGTTTTAATATACCCGGTACGTATGTATTTTTATTATAGGCTGAAGAGGTGATGTCTGGGGTTAATTATGGGAACACCACTGCCACTACACTGGTGACAATTTCTGTGTCAGATGTCAACGACAACACACCCACCTTCAACCACATCAACTACACAGCTACCATTCAGGAGAACATGCAGAATGGTGTCCCTGTCATCTTTACAGCTAATACCATCATGTCTGTCAACGACATTGATCAGGTGAGTCAACAATGAGGTATCTCATGATCTACTGTTTACATGCACTCTAAGCTGAAATAAAAAATGAATGAACAGATAAAGGATGTGCAACAGCTGGGAGGAAACAAATTGGGCATAGTCAGCATAACATGAAGGTGAATAATCAGACATCAGTACATGTATAACATATGTTTAAACTATTAAGTGACAGATGTCAGTTATATATGTGTTCATAATTGAAAAAGCCTGATACTAGATATTTCTGTTGTTGCCCTTTGACCCCCAGCATTAGAACTTATTTTAATTACAATAAAAAAAATCTTCAGATTGTAAAACACAAGATGATGGCTAGATTGCAGGACTGATTGAGGACAGTTCGATATTTGTTTAACAATATTTATATGCATGTTAACTTTGCATTTTATTTCAGGGACTTAATAGTTACTTTGAAATCACTTTGGAGAAAGATGGCCAACCATATTATGACTTTTCTCCTTTACCGAAAGAAGTTTTTTCCGAGTCTTCCATTTTGATAAGGGTTAATAATTCTGTGGATCTGGATTATGAGAAGAAGAGAACAGCCACCTTTGATGTGAGTTTGCCCTCTATATTCTCCCTTAAATTTCACATTTATACATGGTTGTATTATTTATGAGAATGTAACAATATACTACAGTTCCTTTGATAATTTTTTATGATAGGTAATTGCAAGAGAACTAAAGACCAATCCAAGGAGAAGTAGCTCTGTTAAGATGACAGTCCACATTCTTGATGTCAATGATAATCAACCACAGTTTGAAAACTCCTCTTATTCAGCAGAGATTCCAGAAAATTCTCCACCAGGGACAACTTTTAAAACATTAAAGGTAAGTTTCTAGATTATTCTCAGGTAAAGACAAATTTAGTGTTTGTTAATTTCAAAATCTCAGTGAGTGTGTGTGTGAATTAGTGAAATAAAATTAAGAGGTGGGTATTTTCTGAAATATTACAGTGTATTTGTATGATAGAGAATTTGTAAAATTGAGCATCATATTATATATATATCAATGTAGGCAACAGACCAGGACTCTGGAGTCTTTGGAGATATCACATATTCAGTCAGAGGGGGGAATGGAAGGTTGGTATATCTTGGTCACTACAGAGAAAATTCTTCGAGTAAAGTAAATATGCCTTACAGTGCCTTTTTTTTGCTACAGTACATCCACATTTCCTTTTTTTCTTGCATTTTTATGTTGCCTATATTACTTTAGATTTGGAATCAACAATATAACAGGAGAGGTGTATAATACAGAGGTTCTAGACAGAGAAAAGATTGGTGAATATTACATTACAGTAGAGGCCAAGGACGGGGGAGGATTCAGAACCACTGTAGAACTGTATGTCAAAGTCACTGATACAAATGACAACAGACCACTGTTCACCAGGGATGCTTACTTTGCTTCACTGAAGGAAGGGGCAATGTCATTTATAAGAGAACTAAAGTTGGAGGTAAGTATTATCATTGCAATAAGCAGTATGAGAGACCATTTGCATATACCGGTACATGTGCTTAGGATTTAATTCACATTCCTTTAAATCCTTAATTCATGCACATGTTTTGCGTTACACATTTAAAATTTTCTAACTCATCAAGGATGAAGCCTTCATTTATGGTATTTAGAATAGGTCAAATTTCAAGATGAAACAATGATAAATGCTTCAAACTTTTTGCAGTGTTCGTTTTCATCAGAGAAATGATTGATAATTAATTTTTGTGGCTTTAGTTTATTTGATAAATCTTTAATGTATTTTTAGGCTACAGATCTGGATGAGGGTATCAACAGCCATGTCCTGTACTCTGTATACCACATAGAACCACCTGTCCTTAACATCTTTACAATACACAACACTACAGGTGTGGTCAATCTGACCAGGGTACTGGACTATGAACTGGTCAGTCGTGATCAGGTTCTGCTTGAGGTCCAGGCTTGTGACCAAGGATCACCTCGTCTATGTTCCAACATTAATGTTACGATTGATCTAGAGGTATTAATTTTATCGATTGAAAGCTATAATAAAAGCTTTCATAATAGATAATACCATGTGTACCATTACTGAACCTGTAAACCAATGTGCTTTTACAAGCAAAAGGCTAAGCTTAATATAGACTGTAGTGCAGACAGATTGTGGAAATTTGCAGCCATGAATAGGAATATTATTTTGTATCTTGATTCAAGTATTTTGGATAGATAGAGGAAAAGGTAGAGGTTTGCAAAGGAAAATAGTTTATGTTTATACATGTACATGTATGACAAAATACAAAATAAGGTAGCAGGGAAAGTTGGTTGATAGTATATATAACTTTGATTTACTACCTTTCTAAAAAACACTTAGGCATATTGTTACTATTCTCATCCATCCATCCATTACACTTTATTGTATTTAAAGAGTAATGAAGCATTGTCAAGATCAGAGTCTCACCTCACCAATACAAGTATTAAGACATGTTTTTTTTTAAAAATTTTCAGGATGAAAATGACAATGCACCTATATTTAATCAATCCATATATCATGTTGATATTTATGAAAATGCAACAATAGGATCTCAGGTGATGAAAGTACATGCATATGATTTGGATGGAACAGCCCCAAATAATGAGTTTGTTTTCCGCATTGAAAGCACAGCACAGGACAAATTCATAGTAAACTTCCGAACAGGAGAAGTCACTGTGGAATCGGAACTAGATCACGAAGTAAGGTCTTCATATACCCTGAATATTTCTGCAACAGATAGAGGTTCAGTGTCATTAGAGGGATTTTGTCTGGTGCAGATTAATGTACTGGACGTAAATGATGAAGTACCGTTCTTTGTGCCAAGCTCATACTCTAAATCTGTCCAAGAAAACATGGTTTTAGGTTCCTCCATTGTAACAATAACAGCTGTAGATACAGACAGCAACCCAAGACTCAGATATCAAATTCTGAAGGACTCTATATTAGCTGTTGATGAAGAGGGCAGGGATGTCAATGTTACAGCAAATCATATACAAGTAAGTTTATTAGGCGTCTGTCTTAAGAACTGGTCAATATCTCCTATCGTTTTCCTAAATATAAAATAAATGTTTGTTTATAAACAATAAGAAGTTTGTTCAGTCAAACCTCACTATTTCAAAGTAGATGGGACAGAGAAAAAAAATATCAAAGGAATCGAGATATAGTCAAACCTCATTATCTCGAATCCGATGGGACCAATAAAATACTTCAAGATATCTGAGGGTTTGAGATATCCAGAGTAAAATTCTTAAGGAATAAGCAATTTGGACTTCAAAATCCATGTCCATATCCATGGTATTCGAGATATCGGTGTTTAAGATACCTAAGTTTAACTGTATCTAGGTTAAAATACATAGAGAAAGAGTATTTGGGACTTAAACTCACTTTGACATATGATCACATATCCATGGTATTCAAAATATTGATGTTGGAAATACTGAAGTTCACCTGAATGTGATTTTTATTTTATAGGATTATTTTGATATACAAACCACCAATGGAACAGTGTATGTTAAATCAGCAATAGACAGAGAAACAGCAGAAAGAGTAGAACTGAAAATCCTTGTTCAAGATCTCAATGGATGGCAGCCATCAGCAGATCTACAAACAGCTACTGGTAAACAATTATCCCAGGCTTTAAAGTTGTCATTTTTAGCTCAAGTGAGCTTTTCTGATCACCCGTCGTCCGTCGTCCGTCCGTCTGTAAACTTTTCACATTTTCAACTTCTTCTCAAGAACCACTGGGCCAATTTTACCAAAGTTTGTACAAAGCATCCTTGGGTAAAGGGGAAATTAAATTGTTAAAATTAAGGGCCAAGCCCACCTACAAGGGGAGATAATCAAGAAAAGGCAAAAATAGGGTGGGGTCATTAAAAAATGTTCTTCTCAAGAAAAGCTGAAACTCATGTGGAAACATGCAGGGGTAGTGTAGATTCTAAATTGTTAAAATCATGACCCCTGTGGGTAGGACAAGGCCACAATAAAGAATCCAAGTTTTACATTGAAATATATAGAGCAAATATTTAAAAATCTTCTTCTCAAGAAGTATTTGGCCAGAAAAGCTGAAACTCATATGGAAGCATAATGGGGTAGTGTAGATTCTGAATTGTAAAAATCATGACCCCCAGGGGTAGGGTGGGGCCACACTAGGAATCCAAGTTTTACATTGAAATATATAGAAAAAATCTTCTTCTCAAGAACCACTAGGCAGAAAAGCTGAAACTTATGTGGAAGCATCCTTGGGTAGTGTAGATTCTAAATTGTTCAAATCATGACCCCTGGGGTAGGTCGGGGCCACAATAGGGAATCCAGTTTTACATTGAAATATACAGAAAAAATATTAAAAATCTTCTTCTCAAGAACCACTGGGCCAGAAAAGCTGCAACTTATATGGAAGCATCTTGGGGTAGTGTAGATTCAAAATAGTTAAAATCACGACCCCGGGAGTAAGGCAGGGCCAAAACAGGGAATCCAAGTTTCACATTGAAATGTATAGAAAAAAAATCTTTAAAAATCTTCTTCTCAAGAACCACTGGGCTAGAATAACTGAAACTTATGTGGAATCATCCTGGGTTAGTGTAGATTCCAAATTGTTAAAATCATGATCCCTGGGGCTAGGGCGGGGCCACAATAGAGAATCTAATTTTTAAATTGAAATATATACAAAAAATTCTTGAAGATCTCCTTTTCAAGAACCACTGGGCCAGACATGCTGAAATTTATGTGGAATCATCTTGGAGTAGTGAAAATTACAAATTATTAAAATCATGACCCCTGGGGGTAGGCTGGGGCCACAATAGGTATTACATTAGGGAAAGTCTGGTGAAGAACAGCAGGGCCAAAGCTACTCAGGTGAGCGTTGTGGCTCATGGGCCTCTTGTTAGCTCACCTGAGCTGAAAGCTCAAGTGAGTTTTTCTGATCACATATTGTCTGTAGTGCATCTGTCTGTTAACTTTTCACATTTTCGACTTCTTCTCCAGAACCACTGGGCCAATATCAACTAAACTTGCCACAAAGCATTCTTGGGTGAAGGGAATTCAAATTTGTTCAAATGAAGGGCCACATCCTCATTCAAGGGGAGATAATTTAGAAATTGTGAAAATTTGGTGGCATGTTTTAAAAACCTTCTCAAGAACCACTATGCAAAAAAAGTTGAAATTTTTATGAAACCTTCTTTACTTCAAGATTCAAGTTTGTTCAAATGATGACCCCTGGGGGTAGGATGGGGTCACAATGGGGGATCAGAGTTTTACATAGGAATATATAGGAAAAAACTTTAAAAATCTTCTTCTCAAAAACAGAAAAACCATGTTTAGTCATATTGATATGGAAGCATCCTCAGGTAGTTTAGATTCAATTTTGTTCAAATGACGACCCCCAGGTGTTGGGAGGAGCCACAATTGGGGATCAAATTTTTACAAGGAATATATAGGAAAAAATGTTTAATAAAATCTTCTGCTCAAGAACAGCAAAGCATCCTCAGGTAGTTTAAAATTCAAGCCCCCCCCCACCCCTGTAAACTTTTCAGTACTGAACTGATTTGTGTTTTTTCCTAGCCATTGTGATCAGGTGAGCAATGTGACCAATGGTTTCTTCCTCCTATCATTGCAAACTTGAATTGTTGTCAAATTGATGCATTTCATTTTATCTTTACAGCCACATTGACAGTGACCTTAATAGATGTCAATGACAACGCCCCTCAATTCCTGGGAGGCCCTCAGTACCAAGTGAATGTCTCTGAGGGGAGGGAGGTGAATGACTTAGTTATAAGTGTATCAGCTGTAGACCGGGATAAGAAACAAACCATAACCTACAGTATAGGGCAGGACTCCATCAATTCCTTCCAGATCCCTGATTCCAGTGTTGGTGAGGGAAAGCTATGTCATATCATATTATTGTAATATTATACACATACATGTGTGATATGTACCGGCTGTACACAAAATGTAACGTTTTTTCGAGCCCTTTCATCGTGTACCGGCGGGACACCAAAATTCACGGATAATGAAAATTTGTACAGTATTTTGAATTTCTCGCTAAATGCCGCCATTTTCCTCTCATTCTTGCTCGTGAGACACTGGAAAACGTCACCTGTGTTTGACACTTGACCTGATGATAATTGTGTAGTGTACACAAACCATCCCGCGTGAAGGTGTGAACTGCCAATTGGGATAATTATCTTGCTATAAATCCGTATCAAGATACCCCTTTAGGTAGCTTTTTTTTTAAAGGGGTACTTAATTATAACTGTTAATGTTTCGTAACTTGATTGAAAAAAATTAAGCCAACTTCTAAAGTTGATATACATGACTTAATATACATGAATCTGACCCAGATCTTTGTAGGTATAAAATATACGATATTTATTGCCACGATTACGATGAAATAAATTAAAGGATATAGTTTTAAGTTTTTATGTGCTGAAATTTATGTATGATTGTATTTGCTGCTGTTATTTAGCATTGCTGATGAATATATCAGTAATATGAACAAGATGCAAATTGGAGACATTGACTCTCACGTTAATACTATATAAAGCTGGCAAACAAACTATCATCTAAACTAGCTTAATTTATTGTCGATTTATAAGAACATTGTGATTATAAATCACAATATATGAAATTTTAAAGCATTCAGATCTCCATTACAACTTTTAAAATAAGACATTTGCAACAATATATATTTGCTGGTTTAGAAATAAGGTGCCTTATCAGAAGAATTTAAGCGATATTTTATCCCGTTTTTTGAAAGGCAGTGTACAGGTTTTTCACCAAAATTCCAGTTTTTTTATGGCTCCTGTACAGTTTTGTGGTCTTTGACTTATCACATGTATGTATACAGATGAACTTCAGTATCTTGAACACTGATATATCAAATACATGGTATTTGTCAAAGTGATTTAGAAGTCCCAACTACTATTCTTTAAGTATTTCACCTGCGATATCTTGAATCCTTGGATATCTCAAAGTTTTTTTTTTGGTCCCCTTGAGCTCAAAATAACAAGGTTTGACTGTAATTGAATGGCTGAAAGTTTTAAGATCTAAAATTCAAACAAACACCAGAAAACACTCATTTGAATTACTATATGTGCTCTTATTTTGGCATGATTATATGTTTTATATAAATGCAGTAAAAGTCTGCTTTAGCGAAGTTCTTGGGACTAGCGAATCTACTTTGCTATATCCGTAATTCGTTATATCCATATAACGAATTTGTTAAAGTATACTTAGCGAATTCGCAATATAGAATTTTTCCTTCAAGTATGACTATAGAATGTATTTAGGGAAGAATAAGATACAAAATTTACTGCGGTGTTCAAGTGTTTTCCGAAAATAGAGTTTCAAATATATATACTTACAAAATTAATGTCAGTTCAATATTTTAAAAATTGACATTTTTGAAAATTCACTATAAAAGATATAAATTTCGTTATTTTAACTTCCAGAGGACAGAGAATCACTAAGCTATAACTGTAAATTCGCTATATTCGAGTTCATTATATCCGTAAAATTTTATGAGGAATTGTAAAGAAATTCACCAGAGATTGCAAAAAACTTTGCTATATCCATAAATTCGCTATATCCATGTTCATACTTGACAAAGAAAGAATCCAAATCAATACTAATACTACTTATAATAATTCTTAATTGCACCAAATAATCCTTGTCCTATGTTTGTTTTTAATTTTAGATAAGCTACATATAAGTACAAAGTCCAAATTACAAATTTATGTAAAAAAAAAAATGGAGATGTACGTTTTCAAATATTTCAATTTTCTTTTTCAGGTACTGTGACATTAAAACAACAGCTGGATTATGAAAGCAATCATGTCGTGAGCTTCACCGTGATAGCCACAGATTCTGGTTACCCTGCCTCACGATTAACATCAATCGCCACTGTCTTAGTCTCACTGACTGACATCAATGATAACACGCCTATTTTTCAACCATATTCTACCCAGTACTCTGTAGAAGAAAACAAGCCCAATGGAACCTTTGTAGGGACTATTAATGCAACAGATAGAGATAGTGGGAGATTTGGAGAGATTTTCTATTCTATGCAAGTTACAAATGATGATCATAGTCTTACTATTGACTCCAATACTGTAAGTCTGTCTCTCAGTCATAAGTTAAGAATTTTATGCATGCTGAATAATTTTATTCCCCCATATAAGCTATGATAATGAATCAAAATGAAAATGATTTTTTAAAAGAAAAGTTAATTAACGGTTTAATAATTTCCCTTGAATGGTTATTTGAACTCCAGTGAGTAAAAAGGGAATTTGGAAAAAGCATGTTGGGAATTCAAAAATGGGAAGTTAATGAATTTTACAAACATAAAGACATTTCAGTTTTTGAAAGTTTGAAGAAAGTTGTGTACTGATAAACAGAAATGCCTAAGATAGTAAGAATTTAGACATGCATAATTTGCAGGGAACTATCACTGTCTTGAAGCCCTTGGACAGAGAAGTTAGAGATGAATATATTTTGTATGTCACTGCAACAGACAATATCAATGGCAACTCAAACCAGCAACGCTCAGAAAGAACACAGGCCATATTTATCAAAGTAACGGATGTGAACGACAATAATCCAGTCATAACTAATGTTGGGAATATTCCAAAAACAGTTGTTGAGAATTCTCAAAATAACACCATTGTAGAAGTTATATCTGCCAGTGATGCTGACATAGGAGTAAATGCTGAGTTGGAGTTCTCCCTGGTTTCTGGTCATACTAATGCCAGTGACAGCTGGTTTTATATTACTACAAGGTACAACAATGATATTAAGAATAATGAAGGAGTCATTCGTACTAGACAGTCCTTGCTAGGCCATGTTGGGATGTACTATCTTACTGTGAAAGTTCAGGACAAAGGCTCACCCTCTCGTCTGGCCTCCAACCAAACTTTTTTGATAGAAATAATTGAATCCAATGAAAATTTAAATCAGCCACAATTTGTTGTTCCTAAGGGACCCATTGCCACACTACAAATTAAGGAGGTATTTAATTAATTTGTTAATTAAATTTGATTAACTCAAAAACTCAAGTCATTGTCTGTGTTTGAAAAGTCATTTTTTTTCCCACATTGAGAAAGATTATATGAATTTTTCGTATCCCCATTATTTAAATATGTCTGATGAATGTTTTGACCAGCAACAACCAGTGGGTACCACAGTGATACAGGTCAGTGCCACAGATGCAGATCATGGTAAAAATGCTGAGGTCCACTACTACCTGGCTCCAGAAAAAGACTACAGGAAGTTCCAGATCCACAAAGACACTGGACTATTGACCACCAAGGAAATACTAGACAGGGAGCAGCAAGCAGTTTATGAGGTTAGCATGGGAATTCTTTGTTCATTCATTTTTCTTCCTTACTTGTTTTCCTGTTCCCATGCGGCAAGATTCAGTGAACTACTTGTCATGTATGTTGTACATTTTAAATGTTACATTTTGCCAACTGTACATGTATGTTAACTTTTTATTGGTTATCAAATTTAGATCAAAGTGATTGCCAATGATAGTGGTATCATCAATGTCCTGGAAAACTCCATCGCAATTTTTGTACAACTGCTGGACATTGATGACCAGGAACCAGAGTTTCCACGAAGGCCAGACATGGAGCCATACATCCTGGGACCAGTCCCAGAGGAACATTCAATGGAATACTGTGGTTCAGTGGATGTAGCAGTGGATAGAGATAGCCATGTCAACAATAGTCTTATCTTCTATTACATCATAGGTAAAAGCTTAAACATACAGAGAACTTTAATAACTTTCCTGATTCCCTTTAATAACTCATCCTGGTTGTTGTGAATGGAATTTTAAAATAAGTAATATAGTTATGTAACTATATATATTTATCATAGATGGGCATTTAACTATGATGTTGATTTGTTTATTTCATTTTTATGCAGGTGGAGATATGATAGACCATTTTTACCTTAATCAGACAGGAGAGTTGTACTTAATGAAAGCTGTAGATAGAGATGGAGATGTAACAGGCACACCCATCAACTTCATCAACCTGGTGATTTGGGCCACTCCACTGGGATACCTTAACATAGACAAATACTCAACACCACCTGGGACCAACAGATTATTGGCACCAAAAATAGAAATGAGACCACCAGATGATTATGATACAAGCAACACAACTCTATTATGGGTTCAAATAACCATTAATGATATTAATGACCACCCACCCAAATTCAGGACCCAGAACTTAAGTGTAGGAATCACTAGAAAAACTCAGTTCCAGGAAACCATATTTACACTCAGTGTAAGACATTATTTGAAAAGTTGTGTTTTTTAACATGAATGTTGAGTCGCATGCTTGAAGTTGCGTGGTCAAAGCTCTCTGAAATAAATTTTAAAAATCACAGAAATGAAGTGATGGAATCACTCAAATATCAGAAATTAGAACCTAATATATCCTCAAATGAAATAAAGAGTCGGAAAGTGCATTTCTACATAAAATTTTTATTGCCTTTGATTATTAGGATGAAGTGACAGATTTGGACTTGGGGAACAATTCTGCCCATACCTTTCATCTGATGTCCTTGACTATTATCCCCGAGGCTCTAAAGAATGCTCTACCCAATGCCCCGGTTAGTCTGTCTAGTGATGGGGTAGTCAGGACCAACACAATATTCCAGTCTGACATGTCAGGTTACATTCTGATGGATGTCAGTGCCATGGATCAGGATGGCAAAATGGCTAATGCTTCACTAAGGGTACTAAATGTTAACTATTTATTATACATTGTAATATCCCCAACTCTGATAACTTTTTGTTGGTATGACTGTACTTATTCTGTATATATTGAAGAATTTCATATACACAAAATGTTTTTTGGTACCTATAGTGTATAAAGGGAATAAGGGCGTTCTCGACAATAAAACGTAGTTTTCTTATTTAAATATAATAGTTTTCTTGAAAAGTTTAAGCTTCAGTCAGATGGCTTTAGTATTTCATTCCAGAACTTTAAAGAGTTGTTCTTAAACATGGACATTTTATGAAGAAAAAAGTGATTTTTGTTATTTACATCTATTTTGTTGGAGGGAAATTTGACTTGATACATCTTTGTCTACAGATATCTCTTATCAATGATGATCAAAGAGTGAAAGTCATATTTAGGATGATGCCTAATCAAGTGAGAAACTTCTCAGAGGCTTTCAGAAGGTAATTGATATTGTAAAATACAGTATATATGTAGTCAGGATAAAAGTATTGATGCAATGAAACTGAAATAATCCAAATTCTAACAAATAGTTGAAAATAATCTTTTCTTTCAGTAAACTGGAGAAAATCACAGGATACCATATTGTAGTGGACAAGATACAGACCCATGAGAATGCTCAGGGAAAGCCCGAGACTGATAAGTAGGAGTTTCTGCTTATGCTCCATTTAAATGAAACTTTTCATCAATATTTTATTAACCCAATGATTTAAACCATGCACTTAATGTTGTGATGAAAATATATTTGATGTTTCACTGCATTGTATATTTTCTCTTTATATAGAACTGATATGTTCATACATGGAGAAATCCTAAAGCCATTCAGTATTGTTTCTGCTGCCGATCTATTGAGGTAAAGTCTAGTTTCTAAATTTGTTAACCATTATTTTTAATGGTTTTTTGGATGTTTCTGGAAAATATGTAACAGTCTATTTAAGGAATAAATATCTATTTTGGGGAGTTTCTGGGGATGATAAGTCAAATCCATTTATATAATACATGTACATGTATTTAATGTTGCTTACATTAACTTATAATCCAGAAGGATCTCAAATACTGAAGTAGATGGTTGTGAATGTAAATATTTAATTAGATGTATTTTTCTGTTTAAAGTAAAATTGATGGAGAAGCCTCAGCACTGGTGCCTGTTTTGAATGAATACAATATTCTACAAATTGTGGTAAGATACTAGAAAAAAGTACTACCTAGGTACCTGTTCATATATATATATATATATATATATACCAGGGTATATATATATATATATATATATATATATATATATATATATATATATATATATATATATATATATATATATATATATATATATATATATATATATATAAGAATCAATTAAATGTTAAAGTTATCTTCCTTACCTCTTTTTTTTTACCTATATATTTTTTTAATATTTAATGTTTTGTTTAAGTCTGCCATTCAACAAGAAGAGGAAAAAGATTCCAACAGATTGTTGGTCATGGGGCTGATTCTACTAGGCATCATTTTAGGAATTCCCTGTATTGTCATGGCGATAGTTATATTCCTAATTACTAAATCGTAAGTATCAATTTATGTTTGTGTTTGATCATCAGGCAGCAAATTTACATATAGATCCATCAGAGATCCAACAAATTTTTATCTTACATCCTCTTATTACAAGAATACAAATCAAGAGTTTGAGACATGATTTTATGCCTCTCATATTTGTATATACCGTATATACTCACCTATAAGTCGGTTTTATGGGAGTTAAACTTTGGTCCAAAACTCTTTATCCGACTTATATGCAAGTTATAAGAAGATTAGTATTTTAGCAGGTCAATCCCTCTAATTTAAGCTTTAAAAATACAATGGACTTATAGGCGGACCGACTTATAGGCAAGTATATACGGTATGCCATTTAATTGGTTAGCAAAATAAGTTCATATTGTATAATCTGCCATGCTTAAGTCACATTTAACTTCTGTCAGAAAAGTATCGATCCACTTGATGTTATACATTCAAATTTTGTACAATTTGTAGTCATTATTTCAGAGATTATCTAATTTTTTACACTTTATGACAGAATATTAAATCATAAGGAGTGAATTTTATATCTGCACAATATTAATAACAGAACTGCTTTATATTGATTGACTTGTTTTATCAGGTATCAGAGGAAACTGAAAGCAGCCACAGCCATGGTATACGGTAAGTGTAAAGGTCTTCATAACATTCTCTGATGAACATTTACTGAAAATAATAATAATGCTTGGAAATAGTGTTGAAATTAAAAAGTAAACATAAAGAAATCAATTTATATTGAAGGTCAAGATAATGATATGCAAAAGAATCAACTTCCTGGTACAAACCTACATGCCTATGAGAAGTAAGTGATATTTCTGACCGACATAATTGTTTAATCTGTAGAGACGTTTCTCAGGTATGCACTGGTACCTACATGTTTTTAATAATTTACCTTCAGAAATCTAGAACTGCACTGAAAATGAAGGTTGGTCTTTTGTTTTGTAGCAATGCTGTATTTGAGACCCAAACAAGATTTTAGGTTTGCTGATGTGAACCTTGCTTAGTTGTTGTGTGCATGTTTAATTTGTTTCATGCACCCTGAATGAAAAAAAAAAACAACAAAAATTTTTTTACCTCAAAATGTGAGCACTTCATCACCAGTCTGGCTATGTTAATATTCATGTATGATGATTTTAACTCGTATAGCTCTTAATTTCCTGCATGTCTCGGTCAATGTTAAATATTCCTAAACAGATTTGAAAATTTTTAAAAGGATTTTACATTTTAGCCTTCAAAATTATTCCATTAGTGTTGCAGTTATTGTTGTCTCGTAATTTTCAGTTCTTCGTTTTGTAGATTATTTGTAATCATACTATTTTTTGACTGTGTCTGAAATCCACCTCTGTCTTCATGTTTCAGTGCCAATCCTATTTTCTTGGAGAAAGTATTATCACAAGAATCCCAAGACTTTGAGTAAGTCAACTGTCAAAAGGTTTCTTATTGTACATGAACATTCATATCAAATCGACACTTTAGGAATATAAAGTTACATATATTAAATGAAGGGTTTTTATAAGTCTTCAGAATTTTATTTGATGTATGTGGAATAACCCAATTTTCACTGCACAATAATTTAGGGATTATTATACTACATGTTTGCCTCCATCATCCATTAAGATAGGGATTGTTTGCTATATATTTAAAAAAAAACTTACTCATAAGACCATTCCAAAATAAAGAAATGTTATTCCATTATAATGTACAATTTTTCAAAAGTTCAAAAGCATGCAAGGATTGTTGATGTCATTTGATTTTAATTTCAGAGACAATGATTCAGTTGATGACAATGCTGTAGATGCCGCTGTCCCACAGACTGTGGATACACAAGAAGTGTCCATGACATTTACATCAGACAGCAGTAAAGTTCCTCCTAGCTACTCAGAAGTAAAAACTATTGGGGCTGTGATTGGCACACAGGAAAATAGCTTTGGTCACAAGAATCCACTTTTCTCAACATTCAATGGAGATACTCCAAGAACTCATCTCATTAATGGTCTCCAAGCTTCCGACATTTAACGAGGCTTAAAGAGATCTGGGTGATTGCAGAATGTTCACCTATTCATTGTGATATTATAACTTATTTAAAGCATGGTGTGATATGACAAGGAATTTCTTGTCACAAGTGTTTCAAGTATTGTCAGAGTGAGAAATGATGCAGGTTATGTTTCTGTGACTTTTTTTTTGTTTTATAAGTGAATGTTTGTACACAGTTCTACAAGTGCTCTTGCAGCAACATGAAACTAGAATTACCTCATTTTTTTCACGATTGTTGTTCATGCAGAGTACATTTGACATTTTGTTAATCTAAATGGAGAATGTGAGAATCATTAAAATGTGCATATAGCCATATAAATATTTTGATTAAAATACTATTGGTTTTCTACATATTCTAATCCTTGCATTTATATTACCCTGATGCCATATACATGTTGATGTTTAGGAACTTCGTTTTTTCTGAGATTGTATGAATTAATTAACTATTCCTACCTGTACAGAAGAAGCTTTACGAATTCCACACACAGTATTTTTCTACCCGTACATGCTCTTTTTTATCACTTGATGTTATATAGACATAATTTATTATGTATTATTCACAGCCTGCAGATACCAAATGTATTTGTGTGAAATTATTGTGCATGCAAATTCCAAGGACCATATAATTTTTATTTCCAGTTATTTTTAGGAGAGGTGGAAATACATGAACAGTATACCCAGTATATATTCACAGTAATTATTTTGGGCAGAAGTGTGGTTTAATGGACACTTGTCAATTAACCTCTCAGAAAATGTATGAAATTATAAAATGACTGTCAAATGCAAGTTGGTGCAAAAACTAATGGCTTTGTATGGTAGTTGAATTCCATTGACAATCACTTTGAAAGTACTCACTACTCACAAAATGCATTCATAATTCATGTGCATTTTTTATATTTTAGCTTTAGAGATTCAATATTTTGATATTAAAAATTTTTCACTGACATTGAACAGTTTTAGGGATCAATTTTAAGGTTGTGACAGCTGATAATATTTGTAGAATTGAAAGTACCAAAGTAATAGAAAGCTAGTTGATGATATATATTTTTTAGAATGTATAGAGATAAGAAATTGTTGTCTGTGTGAAAAGATACTGTATATGTTGTCTATTTCTGAAGTGTTTAGCCAAGTTTTAGAGCTATAAAGTCCTATAACTCTTGCCAAAGAATTAAGTCCCAGCTTACAAAGTGCAATTAGTGAGTTGGATATGTGTAATTTCCATGCCTTTTTCCCCAGAGCAAAAGAAGCAAACATAAAGCTTGCCATATATATTTATATAATTTTAAGGTTGCATGCTGTGTAATTTTTTTTTTTAAATTTTGCATATGTGAAGGGGGGGGGGGGTCAATCAAATAGTTTAAGGTTCTGAAGACTGTCTCCAATTTCATTTGATTTTACAGTCTTGTCTCTTTGTAAGTTGTATTGTACTTGTGTCTTTAATTGTCTTGTTTGTTTGTTTTTTTCAAATGGAATCAAAATGTGTTGCAAATTTATGTGTTATTTATTAAAATGCTAAGTATTTTTTGCATGATAGTTTTTATTAAAGACTGTCTGTGGAGTTGGGGGACTATGGTTTAACCTCTATCCACTTGTCACTTTAGTTTTACTAAACTTTGAGATTTTTGTGAGATTTGGTACATTTCTAGGTAAATAAAAGTTTGGAGATGGATTTGTAGAGCAGATACTGACCAGTTTTATATACATAATAGTCTTTATTGACTGAAAAAGAAAATTCTTTTCTACAGATTGAATTTTGGGATACGGTATTTCATCATGATTTGGTTCACTTCTGAGCAAAGCAGAAATAAGATTTGAGTTTGTACTTTGCTGAATTTGACCAAGTTAGAACCCTTTTCAAGGAAAATAGAATGGAATTTTTTTTCAGAATCTATTGAGATCATTGGAATTGCAATTGGTTTTGAAACTTTGATTACTGCTTACATTAAGGATAATTAAATACTGTACGTGTACATAAATTGGTGTATTCAAAATTTAGCGCAATCACTGGGTATGGAGTTACTGGTGAAATCATGAATTAGCGCTATACATGTCCTTGCCGTATATTGTATTTATGATTTCTCAGCGGTATTCATGAATTAGCGCAATGTCTGCGCCAAAGCCACTAAAATATGAAGCCCGGTTTTTAAAGTACATATACAGTATTAAATCTGTGATTTAAAACATATTTACAAATTTATCACAGAATAATTGAGAGGTTTTCTTTAGTCTATCTGACTGACTACCTGTGAGCTGTTTGACTGACTACCCGTCTTTCTCTAGTCTCTCTCTGACTGACTACCTGTCTTTCTCTAGTCTCTCTCTGTTTGACTGACTACATGTGATCTTTCTCTAATCTCTCTCTGTTTGACTGACTACCTGTGATCTTTCTCTAGTCTCTCTGTTTGACTGACTACCTGTCTTTCTCTAGTCTCTCTGTTTGACTGACTACCTGTGATCTTTACTGTGTGACTGTGATCTCTGACTTCTCCACAGATGCACTCTAGCAAACATAACCATTTACTTCCTTAAGCATCAACATTTAAATTTTATCCCACAGAAGGCATGATAACTAGTAATATTGCAGTCTAAATTCTTGGTAATTCATATTTCAGCCTCTATAAATGCCTGTATGGGACGTACATTGTTTTTACTGAAAACAGTCCTATTTACTCCAATTTGAAAGTTAATGTTACACTTAAAGGAACCTGGACACAGTTGCATTGTTTACATTTTAAATTTCTATGATTATTCAAAAAATAAGTTCAGTTTAATGAATTGATCTTACATGAATATTCTTAGAATTCGATGACACCAACATTCTTCATAACATCACTTCAAACTCCTGTGTTTGTAAACGGGGCATGAGCTGTGTTATTGTTAGTGTTTACGTTTTACCGGGTATGTTCAATTTGTTTAGTCTGCACACTTCACGGAGCACGGACTGACAATACTGGTGAGTTGGTTTTGCCTTCTCGCATTTCTATTCTGAACTTTCTGGATTATAGTTTTCGTACTTTTCATTAATACACAACAGAATGTGTACTTTTCTTCAGTACTATGGATAAAATTTACTTGGTGAAAGTGCATGGATATGTGTCAATCAAACGCGTCCCGAAATTTGTAGTTTGAATAATTTCCAGACAAAAGAAGTTTTTAAACACACTTTTAATATATTGCGGTATGAAATGCTCTAGCAACATACAAGTCAAGATATTACTTGGAAAATTTTAGAAAATATAAGCTTAAAATCTGTGTCCCAGCTTCTTTAAGAAATATTACATGCCCATATCAAATGAACATCCATCAAAACTTTTTTGAAACTTGTGTAGTGGTTTTAGGTAATCCCTAAGCATGTGGCAAGGTATGTCACCATCGGTCACATGCAAGGGAGTTCAGCAGATAGCCTCTGTGGAGTGTATGCTACAGTTATGACTATTTCTAAGGCTCTATCCAAAACTGGTAGTGAAGGCTAAATCATCCATTCAGGTACATGTAAGCCATGCACAGCAGATATGACAAAAACTGCTAATCCTTGTGAAGAAGTTGTGAGAGTAAATAAGATGCAGATAAATTGTGTCTTATTTTGTGCTAGTCAAGGTTATGCAGCAGCACTTCTCAAAGAAAAAAAAATTATAAGTATGCTTAAAATATTTTATTTTTTGCATAAAAATATCAACAACTTTGATTTGCATAATGGATTTCCCATTAAATAACTTTTGACACATTGAATTATTGTACAAAAAATAAAAGCATGTGATACTTTATAACCATCACAGGCAGTCATCTTTGATAGTTAGACTGAGATCACAAGCCCCAATATTGTAGTACAAGAGACATGTATGTAAATATTTCCTAACCAACAATGAACATTCACTACAAAAAATCTTCAACCAGAGTAATAAATGCATGTTTCAAAATTGCTGAATCTGCAACAATATCCAGTAAAAAATACTTTATATATGTTGTGCAAGATTGAGAAATGTTATGGCATCTTTAATCACAGGCATAATGAGGATAAAAGGGTTATATATTTGGTCCTTATTAATTCCTTTTGTTAAAAATTCACTTGTCTTCCATTGGACTTGATTCCTTTGATCCATAATAGTCAGTAATTAATTTTGCACCATTGATGCCACGGACAGTTATTTTACTGGGTCTGACTAGCAGTCCATGATCGGGACGACAAGTAAAGTACCGCCTGTCATGTACACTGCCATCATTCTTTCCTTTTGCAGTTCTTAGTTCCACGCCCACCCATACGCCTTCACCAAACTCAGCTGGACCAATGTATCTGACAACACCTGTTGGAAGAAATCTTTTATGTCTTAATGCATTGCAATACTTTCTACATTTAAGCTGTCTTTATGCTACTTGAAAGCTTCATAAGTCAGTATTTTAGAAAAATGCTTGTTGCTCCACATGCAAACAAAAGTCAAAGAGTACAGAGAGAACATTTTTAAAGATTTTTAAATTTAATGTGTGACATGGAAAATTTTCCTGCCCCCTTTTCCAAAAATTTTATATATCAGTACAGATAAGCATGGAAATAATCTAAAAATTTGAAAATGCAAGTAAATATATAAATGTAATCTGGCTTGCTTTCACCATTAGTGTAGTACATGTAGTATTTGAGGTTGAAAAGTGTATGATCAATGAAGGTGATAACTCAGACAGAAGAAATTCATTTCAAATTTAATTGCAATTCAATATTGCTAGACATTCAGTAGTCAAGAAGAAAATTTATACAGATGTGAGATATTTCCCTTTAATCATGATCAATTTGCCCTGTCAGGAGACTTGAGAACCTGAATCCATGGGAGAAAACACAATTTTTGGTAAAGTTTACAGTTCATTGTAACCATGTTTGGTATTTAGGAGTACAGAATTTTTTTTTAATACTTTAAGATTTTGATTCCACCCATAAGGCCCCACAGGATTCCACAGTAAGATCTACTTACCTAGTTCATTATTACAGAAGACACTCATTCCTACTTCTAGCTTAAAATCATTGGTGGATCCAGGAGTTCTTGAGATCCTTTGAGAATTACTAGTAGGTGTTCTGGCTGAACTCTGTCCCATACTTTTTGGCCTGAAATTCAAAGACAAAGAAATTCATGCATTTTTAACCTGAATTTATATTTTTGAACAAATTAGAGAAACATGTCATTATGAAAAGTAACCTAGATATTGCTGAAAGGTACCAATTTAAAAAGGAAACTGAAATAAAAAACAATCTTCAAAAAAAGGTAATTATGAAGAATTCTGTTTTTACATTGGGCTACATTCTTTTGTCAAGAATTTCGAAAACCCTTGTGACGGTACATATTGTCGTTTTGTACATATTGTCGTCGGCGACAATATGTACCTACCCTCACTGCACATATTGTCGTCCATCGGTACATATTGTCGCTGGCTGAAAAGTTACACTTGTACATATTGTCGCTGGCGACATTATGTGCCTCACCCTCACTGTACAAATTGTCGCCCCACAGATATTGTTCTCTAAAGATTTCTTTTGTTGGGTTTTGGTAGTTTTGTGAATGTAACTGGTGTGTGAATCACACTGACGTGTCTCGTATGTTATTTCATGCAGCGTGATTGTGACGGTACATTTTGTCTTCCTGTTCATATTGTCGCCGGCGACAATGTGTACCTACCCTCACTGCGCAAATTGTCGTCTTATCACAACATGTTGCAAAACAATGCACGGCAATGCTCTATATTAATATGACTAATCATTGCTTTGCTGTTTTTGAGAAGATAATTTTTAAAGAATTTTCCCTTTATTCCTATGTAAAATTTTGATCGCCCATTCTGGCCCCACCCTAGGCCCGGTTTGATTTAAAGATACTTGAGTCTGCGCTACCTGAGGATGCTTCCATTTAAACATTGCTAATCACGGGCCTACTGCTGTTCCTCAGTGGTGGATCAAGAAATTTCATAATGGTGCCTATACTTGGCACTCAGGGTCATAGAGCAGAAAGGGATCTTTTTCGTGCCACCTAGCACATCAAAATTGAACGTACGCTATGTATTAAAGCTTTCAAATAAGTATCATCTCTTCTGACCCAGTAGTTCTTGAAAAAAAAAAAAAATAAAAGAATTTTTTTTCTAAATATTCTATGAAAAACTTTGATCACCTTTTGTAGCCACATCCTTCCCCCGATTGACATGATCTGAATAAAACTGAATCTACACTTCATAATGAAGCTTTCACATAAGCTTCAACTTTACTGACACAGTGTTCTTACTTACTTCCCTTGAAGGAGGGCTTGGCCCTTCATTTGAACAAACTTGAATCCCCCTTATCCACAGCTGCTTTGTGGCAAGATTGGTTGAAATTGTCCCAGTAGTTCTTGAGAAGAAGCTTAAATTGTGAAAAGTTTACAGACAGATGGACAGTCAGACAAAATGTGATCAGAAAAGCTCACTTGAATTTCCAGTTCAGGTAATCTAAAAATATCAACGCCAACACCAATTATATCGGCACATGATTTTATATAAGAATAACGCAAAAAATGATTTCCATATACTACTGAACAAAAAACTAATACATGTATTCAATCTCCAGTATATAGTACAAGAAAAAAAGAATAGGCAGATTTTTCAGATATCTCAAGAATTACGGTATCTTTGACATATCATAGTAAAGTATATCAATCCTGGACACAATTTTCTGACCAAAAATTTTTTTTTCCCTACAGTATTGTGAGTAATGCCGTCTGTCCCCCTCCGTGCGTTTGTGTGTGTTTGTCAATCTCTCTTTCCTTTCTGGAATAAATATTCGTCAAAACAATATATCGACGACAATATATGCCGACCTTGACTGTACATATTGTCGCCGACGACAATATGTGCTGGTGCTTGACTGTACATTTTGTTGCCCATTATGCAGGAGGAAAATAAGGCTCGTCTCGGTACATATTGTCGCCAACGACAATATGTACCGATGGACGACAATATGTGCCGTGAGGGTAGGTACTTATTGTCGCTGACGACAATATGTACAAAACGACAATATGTACCGTCACAACCCTTCACATGAAGATATTGTAAAAGTGAATCCCAGTGAATTTAGTCCAAGACTTAAGATGAGGAATTTCTGATGGCCACACAAACTATTGCAGGGTACATGACATAATAAGAGCTTTGCCAAGGGAAAAGAAAAAGAACAAACATACTTTAGAAGAAATGTGCACAACAATTTATTTGATCTTCTAGTATCTTAGGCCTGGATCACTTCATATCCTTCCAGAGAACTATGAAAGTTAAGTAAAGTGATCCACTGCAAGACATGTACAGCATGATACTATGTACTTGGTCAAACACAAAAATGTGTATGTGTGTCAAGTAGTGGTCTTTGATCAGACAAATTACAGAAACTGGGAAAAGAAGGAAGAAAACAGCTTCCAGAGTTCAAAAGTTTCAGGTTTTAAAAACAAATGGAAAAATTGATCACTATACTTTAGCAAGAAGATCAAGGTCAAAATGATTATTGCTAAATGTAGCATGATATAAGTTATGTATAGAATGTTTCCACAACAACAACAAAATCAATAATGTCTGGTATTCTGTAAATACATGTATTCCTACCTTTTGACAGGTGTTCTTGCTCTTCCTGGTGTAGAATTAACACCACCAGCTGCTGCAAGACAAATGAATGTAATTTTAATTTAATCACTGAATTCGGAGAACTCAGGAAAAAAACAACAACAAATGGTCCATGTGCCTTCATGGTCACATGAGTGTTACAATGTATGTTCTATTTTCTTAATATTTACTCCATTATAAAATCTGAGAAGTCTAACATATTCCACATATCCCATGAGGGTACTAAAGTGAACAAATTTGAAATTACACTATATGTACAATAAGTGAATTTGTAGCTATGTTCTTCTTTAGAAGATTTGTTTTTGGTAATTCCCTTAAAATATCAATACACTGGACTACCCCAAGCCCCCTCCATTCCAACACTTATCGGTAACTGCCTTAAGGGCAATGATTTCAACAAGCTATAATCTACACTGCATGATAATGCCTGCATGAAAATTTGATAAATCTTAGCCCTGTACTTCTTGAAAAGATTTTTTAAAATGTATTTTTATGTAAAAAGGACCCTTTCAGCCCCATAACTATATAAGCATTCTTTTGTAACCAACGAGGGAGAAAATATATTGGACCAAATCAGGACTTGTACCTGAGCCCCCTGAATCACTAGACATGTCCTCTAGCAACTGAGCTATCTGGCCACTGGTGGTGAAACCTGCCTATATGCCACATTTCTCCCTTAAAGGTCTTCGCCCATCATAGTAACCCAGGCTCTTCTCTGGTAGCACACTTCCAGGGCTTGTTCAAGGCACCCAGTGTAACCAACAAGAGAGAAAAATGCAATGGACCAGACTGGGATTCGAACCTGGGCCCCCTGAATCACTAGACAGGAGCTCAACCAACTGAACTATCTGGCCATCAAACTGGCTATCAGCAATCAAACCTGCCTTACTGCCACACTTGCAATAAACTGACAATTTGTAGCCTTATTCTCCTTGAGAAGATTTTCGAAGATTTTTCTTATATACTTCAATATAAAGCTATGAATCTCCTTTGTGGTCCTTCATGGCCCAGCCATGATTTGAATAAATCTGAATCCACACATGATAATACTTGCATATAAGGTTGGAAATTTTCAACCTTGCTGTTTTGGATATTTTTAAAGATATTCCCCTTTATATTTCTCTGTAAAACTTTGGACTCCTTTGAGGTTCTTTCCTTGCCTCAAGAACCATGGATTGAACAAACTAAATGATGAACCTTTCATGAAAGTTTGACAATATATAGTATTTTAAGATCTTCTAAAAATATTTCCTGAATTTTTTGTTTTTTAAATGAGCCCATCCAATTTTACTTTTTTAAAATTATCTCTCTTTGGAAAGGAGCATGCATGTTCCTTCATTTGAACAAATATGAATCACAAACTAGATTGAAATAAACCTTTTGGTCCTGGAGAAGTAGTTGAACCTGTAACCTTATGCAAGATTGAAGACAAAAGACAATAATAAGAGCTGTTCAGATGACTTAAAAATCAATGAGTAGAAAAAGAAAATTCTCTCCTAGAATCAGTAGTTAGTACACGTCTACATAGAGAACTTACACTGAGGTTTGTGTTCCCTCTCTGAAACAGCCCCCCAACTAATGGCTTCCAATGACTCACTGGAACTAAATCTTCTATCTCCCAATCTAGTCAAGTGTAACAATATAAAAAAAATATTACTTAAATAAATATCTCATAAAATTTACAACAAAATGAATTTAATGTCCATTTCTGAGTAATAACCGAATCGTACTCCGACAGGATTTACAGACAAGTTCATAAACACAAAAATCCTTTGATTTACAGTATAACAGGTAATTTCTGAATATTTTTTTTTTTTTGATAAGATACTTAAAAGTAGCACTAAGATTTCTGTATTTGCAATTCCATTCAAACTGTAATACTGTAGAAGATACAGGGTCTGAATAATTTTACAGCTTTGAAAGAACAAGAAAATTTAGCAAAGATTCAACAAACTCAGAAGAAAAAAAAAATATGCTGTATCACATCTATGAACATTGAAACTGAATGCTTTAATAGAATAAGTTGTATTCACAAAAATTAAATTGAACTTACTTTTGTATTCTTGATAAAGGAGCAAAGACACCATGTTTTGGTTTGCATGTGAAATATCTCTGACCATTAACAGATCCATCATTCTTTCCTGCTGGTTTGTCCAACTCTATTCCATACCAAATACCTACAAGACATTGTACTCTCATGCTAAACTGAACAACTCTATTCCATACCAAATACCTACAAAATAGTGTACTCTCATGCTAGACTGAACACCTCTATTCTGAACCAAATATCTACAAGACATTGTATTCTCATGCTAGACTGAACAACTCTATTCCATACCAAATACCTACAAGACATTGTACTCTCATGCTAAACTGAACAACTCTATTCCATACCAATTACCTACAAGACATTGTACTCTCACGCTAGCCTGAACAACTGTATTCCATACCAAATACCTACAAGACATTGTACTCTCATGCTAGACTGAAAACACATGTACTACAATTTGTTCATGCTATGATAATTTCTACAGGGAACTCAATACCTTTAAGGAAATACAAGGCTATAAAATTAAAACTTTATTTAATGAACACATGATATGATGTTAATGCACATAAATTCATTAATTACAGTAAAACTCGCTTATAAGGAAGTCATAGGACTTGCTGTCCTTTGAATAACAACTGAAATACTAGTACTGGTAAGTTGAGTCTGCAAAATTGATAACACTTTAAGCACATAATACAACAACATACACAACTAAATAGAGTGTGCAAACAAATCAATTAAAGGTAAAGAAAAGTCAGAAAAGTGACATTTAAATAAAGTCAACTCAAACAACATTCCAAGGGCAGTATTTGTATTGTAAAATGCGTTTAATACCAGGTGCAAACTGTGTGTTGCCCGCAAATCTAACTGTGCCTTTCCTCTGTCCTGCAACAATCACACGTTCCCCCACCTCCATCTCAGCCAAGTTAGATATGGAATTTGTTCTTGCCTTAAGACCTAAATAGAATTTGTATGTACATTTTTGTAACTGATAACATTATTTCATTTAAAGTAAAATTGTATACATAATTCCTTATTATAGATGGTATTTACTTGTTAGTACAATTTTTGAAACATTGTTCTGGAATGTATGAGGTATTTCTTTCTGACTATGAAATCCCCAACATAATAAACATAAAAAAAAATTTAAAAGGCTTTCTATACATCAAGTATGAATACTGATTAAAGGATATCATTTCAAAGTATAAAAATATTATTTCTTCTTCTTTACTGATATCTGATAATTACCTGTATCAACCCTGGCCTTGACATTTGACACATCCTCTGACCCTGCCTGATCATATTACCTGTATCAACCCTGGCCTTGACATTTGACACACATCCACTGACACTGCCTAAAAATTACCTGAATCAACCCCGGCCTTGACCTTTAACACATCCACTGACCCTGCCTGATAATTACCTGTATCAACCCTGGTCTTGACAATTGACACATCCACTGACCTGGCTGATGATATTACCTGTATCAACCCTGGCTTTAACATTTGACACATCCACTGACCCTGCCTGATAATTACCTGTATCAACCCTGGCCTTGACATTTGACACATCCACTGACCCTGTCTGATAATTACCTGTATCAACCCTGGCCTTGACCTCTAACACATCCACTGACCCTGTCTGATAATTACCTGTATCAACCCTGGCTTTAACATTTGACACATCCACTGACCCTGCCTGATGATTACCTGTATCAACCCTGGCCTTGACATTTGACACATCCACTGACCCTGCCCTCTGAACTGGGGACTTGTGAGGAGAAATGGCTGGAGACCGAGGTCGGGGAGCTGAGCCCGGTTTGGCTATCTTACTGACTGGAGCAAATATTCCTAAAATAATAGATAATATAGAAGTGATAATACCCAACAGTCTTTATACTCTTCAAAATACATGTTATCATTTTTTTTAACTTTGAATTTTTAAAAAAATATATTTTTAGAAGAATTTAGTTATAAAAATGTTAGGTTATACTGCATCAAAAAAAAATTTATTCTCATTATCTTTTCATTGTAAACCCTTGTTAAAGTCAAGTACATATGTATTTACATGAATAAATATGACAGCTTTATACATATATTTTAAGTACTGGAGTTTAAATTATTGTCTGTCATCTTTATGATCTAGTTTTACCATGATTCTTGGGACACTGAAAATAGGAGATGCCACCAATGCTCCCATCATTTTTGCCACCGGCATCATCCAATTCTATCCCTGCCCAAATCCCGGCAGCAAACTCTGCTGGTCCACAGTACCTCAGTGTTCCCATCTTTAATTACAGAACACATCAATTAAAAGTTAGGCTTATTACTCCCCTACAAAGGACATGTACACCTACCAAGCAGCTACTTATACTGGAGAGCTTGTTTCTTCTTCAGTTCATTTATCATGTCCTACTTATACACCTATATTTTTCAAAATTATTGCAAAGGATGTTATTTGAACATTACGGGACTAAAGATTTTAACTTTGACAATTTACCTTCAGGCCCCCGACCATGACTTTGTCACCGAGAGCCAGCCCCAGTGATTGTAGAGTGACCTTGCTCTGTACAAGGTCATAGTTAGGAGGGGGTTGTTTGGGTGCAGGCTGACACGCCTCCTGTAGAGTCTTTCTTAACTTGACCACAACCTTCGCCATTTCTGGATCTGAGTCCAGACTGGATGGATCAGGAATGCACTCTAAAGGGGAGAGAACTGGTGGTGAATAATCTTGTTTTGTAATACATGCAGTTAAGTATCAAAAGCTATGATTCAATTGCTCTCTTCATAAAAAATATTTACCCTAGAGAAAGAAACACACTGAAAGAAACCACATCAACCCATTTTACCTAAAGCTGTACGTCCTTGGTCATCTTTGAGTAAAGCATCAGCACCATTTTGTAAGAGTACCTTGACAGCTTCATAAGCCAGATTTGATGCCGCAATGTGTAATGATGAACCATTATCAAATTCTGAACAAACACTGTCGATATCTAAAAATTAAAATAAATCCAAAAAACTAAAACCTGAGGAAATCACACAAAAATGACTACTTATAGTCTGGACAGAGGTTTTGATAGCTGTATGGCATTATTTTGAAGTTTAAAATCCTATCTGACTAAAAGTAACTTAAATCTTAAGAGTTCTGTCATCTTGTCAAGAGACTTACCTAAGGCTTTTGTGTGCTTGAGTAGTACTTTGATCACAGGAACAACATCAAAATAGGCTGCATAGTGAAGTGCGGTCATGTTAGTCCACCGACAACGAATATTTGGATCCGCTCCCTGAGCCAGGAGCATAGTCACCATACGACATGCGAGGTCAGCATCGCCTATCCCCGCAGCTCCTGATTTACTTGCATAGTGCAATAAGGTCATGTCTGTGAGACCATCGCGGTCATTTATGTGAGCACCACGTTTTAAAATCTGCAAAACACACATTATTTATTGGTAATCTCTGAAAAAAATTGGTGTAAATTACTTTCAGAAAATTTAAGATGTATTTAAGAAGTGGCCATGTAATCATGAGACTTTGACAGATATGTTATCTTTGTTTCCATCTTGTATTTTTTTCCTGTGGCATATGTTTCAAATTAAGAAATTATTCTTAAAATAAATTAATAGATGTATTTCAAGAGGAAACAGGATCTGTCCATCTAGAAAAAAAATAACTTGTCAAGTCTTTGTATCTAACCATTAAACTTACCCCAACAAGTCCTCTTAGATGTAATTAAATTTTGACAGGATTCTCACCTCATCTATTAATAAATCTAAGTTCTGTTGAGTTTGGGGTGTCCATTGACGAAGGACTGAGAAGATTTCTGGCACAGTGGTGTTTGGGTTTTCTAAGATTGACCTACATCCTGGACACTCTGGGTCAAAGAAAGACAGTTCTAGTTTCTGACAGCTGGCACACACAGGTGGATCAACACAGGGGTGGATCATTGGTTTCTCTCGCTCCGGGTGGTAGCTGCGAGTCGGTATGGGAGAGGTGTCTTTTTCTTCTTCTAATGTCATTCTGAAAGTGTGAGCATTTATAAGAATTTTCACTTCTTAAAATGTCTCTATGGCCTGAATTCAATGCCAAAAAATGAAGAAAAATAAATTAACCTGACTCCACGTAATTTTTATAACTAATTGAACTACCCAACATTCAATGTCTTTTATCCAAAATCACCAACTCTATACAGATGATGATCATCACTAAACACAATGATAAAAGTTGGGTAAAAATATCCCAAAACTAGAGTAAGCTTGCTATCAGACAAACAAAACAAGCTGATGAAAGAATTTCTTTTTTTACAATTGTGTATGCTAAGAACAAGTTCTACATCCCAAAAAGAAAGCATATGGTTTAGATGTAAATCTTTGGAGTTACAGAAAACAATATCTCCAAAAGAACAAATTATATTTCATTTCAGAAATATGAATTGGATAGAAAATTTTTAATAAGAATTTTAGACAACAAATTGCAACATTGATAAATATATCCCCAGCGGTATATACACTAAAGGGTAGCCCTAAATCAATGTCAAACACTTGAATGTATTATGATTTAGCTATAGTGTCAATGGCCTTGGTGACACTCCCAATACACCACAGTAAATTACAATTCAATTCTACAGAGTATTACAAAATCAATAGGTTTATGTGAAAGATGTAACAAAAGTCAATCAACTCAAAAAAGATAATTGATATTTTACAGCTTTGTTATAAAGCTCTCAACATTTTTTTTCTGTGTTTGTGAATAATGCACAATATTTCAAACAAGCAGCTTTTTTTTCCATTTGCTCTTACCAGCTTCAGTTGTCATTCCATCTCTAAATAATTAATTTTCAACCTTTCTGAAGACTTACTGAAGGCAACAATGGGAATTAAATAGCACAAACTGTATATATACAATAGGAGAGGTCCGTGATAGTGATCTCATGAATTATTGAAATATGTATGTAACCCAGGCCATCTACAAACTAAGAAGTTTTGTTTAATTGAATTTAGCAAGGAGAGGGGTGGGCCTGAGGTCTTAAGTTAATTAACCCACTTGATCATAATCAAAATATACATAAAAGTCATCTATAATAAAGCGGGAATGAAAAGTGATATTCTGACATCCCTCTATCCAAAAATATCCTGAAAACACAGGCATGGAAAATTCTGAATTCTTCTAATCCCCAGAATCAGATATTATGCAGTGTACATTTCACAATTCACTCATGCAGATAAATATCTCTAATCCCAACAATAGCAAAATGTTTAAGCACTTCAAACTGCTTAGTTGCAGTTCGGGAATAATTTGTTCCATCCACAAACAGGAAAATAAAACACTATTTTAAACTTGCACTTTAAACACTAAAAGTTGGCAATACTCAGACACAACCAATAGATATTCAGTACCTGCATCTGGCACACAGTAACTGTCCAGAAAAGTTAGGTGTAGTTTTCATTTTGAATCAAAAATTGAATGTGGTAGTCACTCCATTTGTTTACACATATCAGCATAAAACCGCTATTCTCTGTTCTTAAATTTGTTACATTATTTCTTACTATGGTATTTAAAACAGTTCTTTTTGACCTAGTGAAAATATTAATCTTTTATTTAAAAAAACAGGGCTTTTGTTATGGCAGAATATTGAATGGAGGGGGGAAATACCTTAGTAATGATCTAATTAAAAAATCTTTAGACTGAAGTAACTTGCAAGTATTAGGAGATTTAGTCCTGAAAATTCTACTGGAACAAATCCAAGGCTAGGTCCGATAAAATTTTGAGTCAGTAAATAACTCAATGTAGAACAAAGGGAGGAATGATTTAATAAACACCCCAGCAGAATTAAATCTTCTCTGTTCAACCCCCAATGTGACTGACAGACCATTCTTTGTATCCAACTGACCTTGTGGTTTATAATCTGGTTATCATATCTTGTTCAACAGAGCTGTAGGAACAAAAGCCATAGAGGTCTTATGTATTTGCTAGTTGATCAAATTATTAAGCATAACTCAGTGACCTTTAATTTGACTATATATGGTTTCTCTTATTATGAAACAGAGGCAGTCAATTTCTAATCATAAATCTTCCCCAAAACAATATTTCTACTCCATTCCAAAGACTTACTCGAGCACCTTTCTCGGAAGCCCTATTTCTTAATGCAATATGCATCAAGTCCCAAAATATTGAATTGCAGCATGCTGTTAAAAAGGTTTATCCAATGAATGTAACAATTTCATATAAAAAACAAATCAACACACAGTATAACACATACATGCTTCTCCTTGTTAAAAATAGGTGACACCACAAGAAGAAGATGAACTCTTTAAGATTTCCCAGATTTAATTTGGTCTGTACAAATTAAAATTTAAATGACCATGATTTGAATACTTAAGTGGTACCTAGATAAAAATCTCTCAAATACTCAGCTAATTAAGGCAGTGTTGAAGCAGTTGAACCATTTTGTTGGATTTACAAAGATACTGTAAATCACTGCCTGTGAGGGGCAAAAATCTCAGCCATGCTTGGAGGCAAAGGACGTCATTAACACTATCTTTTGTGGTCCCTCTTAAGAAGTATGTACCCAACTTGGGGATAATACTAACTTTTGATAGGTTTAGTGTCATTTACTTGTTATCTACATATATATCTTACATATCAAACATAACTCTGGGCACTTGTATACTACAAATATCAGTGTAAAACTCTTTGATAAGATTGTGGGTACAGGTACAAAACAAAACCTTTATACAATCTTAACTATTGCTTCCTATCAAATGTTGCAAAAATTCTTGCCATTCTCAATATTGCATTTAGCATCAAAATATACTCTTGACCAGGCTTTGGATTTACAATCATAACAGTACAAAGGAAGTTCAAATATTAGAAACCATATTATCTTCCAGACACTCACTTGATTCATCATATAACCTTCCTTTGCACCAACAAGGGAACTAGCCAATAAAAAGTTGACCAAAGCTGTTTAAATACACTGCCCTATTACTGATGTTTGGCTATCCACATAATGTAATATCTATAGTTATATCTTTGATCAACATATGCTTAATGCACACAACTTGTGTTACTGATAATTGTAACTGCAGGCATTTTTTTTTTACATTCTTAATACTGATTGAACAAACTGTCTGGCAAGGAAATTCAACATCAATTTCACCAAAATAGAAATGACTTTGCACATTCACTAAATACAATACACTACATATGCCTAACTCTCATTCTGAAGGACATACTTGTGAAAAACTTATCAAAGTCATTTAACCTTAACAAAATTCCTAAGATATTATGAAAAAAAGAGACAACATACAAAAATAGGCTTACCAATGCCAATACTATCCATGTAAAAAATAACAGCGTAATATTTCTATGGGAAGTTGAAGCATTTCGTGACAGAAACACGACAGGAAGTGAAAAGGCCTGTGTTCCGGGGCCAGAGTAAGAACTCGCATCCTGAACCCTCTTGATCCCCCCAGTAAAGGAAAACTAGAGTTACTTATACACACAGGAAACACTGTCAACCAACGTGTTATTAACTGAATACTTCTTAGGAGACATTTTATAAACCTGGCATTATAGCTATTCTTTTGTTGATATTGTTTCTTCATCCTCATTACTTCCTATGTGAAATCTGTCCAGGTTTGTATCTTATTTTCTTTCTTTTTTCCCCCATCAATATCAGGACTCTAGCACTAGCTGTTATACATTCCAAGTATCGAAGTACTAGAATTTCCACACAGGTGGAGGCTGATGCCATTCTATAAATGTGAAGTATAAATATGTGGATAAGTCATTTAATACTAAGCTGCTTTTTTGTGTAACGTGTGTTGAATGATCTCAATAGGGCATGTACACAGATAACAAATCACAGACTATCTCTTATCAATACCTGATTTTATCAACAAAGAAAAGAGTTGAGTAAAATACAGTATAAATAAATGACATACATATAGTTTTGCTTGATGATCTTACCATAAATTTTATTATTGTTCACTGCAAGACATTACCAAGATTCATGCATATTTTCAACTGGCAATTCATTTCATATTGTGTTTTGTGATTTCATGTGACCAATGAAATTACATGTACCTACAATACTTTTTCACAAAATTACGTGCTTTTATTTCAAGTTAAAAGAATAACAATACTTAAAATAGCAAAATATATACTTTGTGATTATGGTAAAGGTCAATACACAAACAGAAGTTTATTAAAAGTTCTTAGCTAAGAGTTTTATTTTCTTTAGTTATTCCTGCATAAGATATAAAGTGTACCAAAGTGTTCAACCAATGTACCTCGTACATTTAAAACAAGCTACACACAAATTCACTATTATAGGGTTACATTCTAATATGTCAATGAAACAAAATGTCTTATGTATGCATTTCATAAATCTAAAAATATGTCAAAAATAATTGATTATATGTTTGAAATATTTACACTAGCTAGTAGATCATTGGTGTTTATATTTGCTTATTCTTTAAAGGAAGAGTTTGTTAAGTTAAAAAATCTGGTAAGCATAACTGAAAACATGACATGTACAAAACAAATACAATGGCCTCGGCTACCTTTTATAAATACAAAAATTTTCAAAATTTTAAATAACTCACATATACTCCAAAATTGTATGAAAAGGCAATCTAAAAACTTCAAACTTTTCCAAAGTAGATTTTCAATAAAAAGGATCTTTCAAGCCCTTTCTCTTAAATATATTATGTGCACCATAAACAAGAACCACACTAATACAGTTGAACTTTGGTATCTTGAACACTGATATCTTGTATAACAGGGATATGTCGAAGTGACTTGAAAGTCACAACTAATTATTCTTTATTTATTAGTATTTTACCCCTGATATCTCAAATCCTTGGATATCTCGAAGTTTTCTCTTGGTCCCATAGAGTTCGAGATAAAGAGGTTTGACTGTATATAATTACCGGTCAATTCGAACACCAAAAATGGAATATAGGCTGAAAGGGGAGTTTTTTGTCCCATCATGCAATGTGTAAGAACATTAACTCTTGCTGTAACCAATATGAAAAAAACCATACATCATCTCTTTCAACAAAAAAAATGATAATATTGTTATTTCTGCTACTGAATTAATAGAATTTCAACAGAAAAAAAAATGAACAGGTTATAAAAATTTCATAAACTTAATTCATGAAATACCCTCAATCATTTAATTAAATAATTAATTATTTTTGTGCAACATCTCATTTTGTTTTCTCATTACCAAATTTAAAACACAAAGAAAATATGCAAGGAATAAAGAAAATATATGATTTAAGAATCTAGGTTTTTAAAAAAAACATAAAATGATGGAGAGTTTTTTTTCAATTATTTCTATTTAAAAAAAAATTAAATGTCAAAACTTTTAATTTAATTCTTATAAGTTTAAAAACAATTAATTGCATTTGAATTTTTATTTTTACTTGTATTTTTTCCACTTTCTGAGCATGATTATAGTCTTTTAGATGTAAATGACCTTTAATTGGAAGTCCGAGCAAACGCAGACTGAAACCCATGATTATTAAATAAATTGATACAAACACATCATCATCTTTGTGCATTTTATTATGAAAAATATTATATAAAGTAGAATAATATTTTTCTTTTATAATTTTGATATATTAATCGTTTTTGTCTGTTTATATTAAAATAATTACAGTCAAACATCGTTATCTCAAAGTCAATGGAACCAAGAAAAAACTTCGAGATATATGAGGATTCGAGATATCCAGGCTAAAATTACTTAAAATATTAAGGGTCAGAACTTCCAAATCACTCTGACATATCCATCGTATTTGAGATATCAGTGTTCAAGATACTGAAGTTCAACTGTATCTGAAATACCTGGATGTCAAGAAACAAAAAAATCACCTACTTTGCGAGATTAAAAATCCCAATTTGTGACATAAATTAGATAAGTCATATTTTTGTAAAATACAATCTCTTATACAAGTAGTTCTGCATTTGAAAATAATCTGTTACTCACAACAGCTTTTTTTTTTTGGTAAACCTCTACTTTTTGCATGAAATAAGCATATTTTTAAGCTTTTAGGCATGTGTGTACTTGTTTTGGGGTTATGACTTTGCTACTTCAGATTACTTCATTTTAAGAGTTCCACTAATTACTACATAATATACTAAGGTGTATATATTTTTCTTAAATTCAAATCAGTTTTAATTTTTTTATTTTTTAGTTTTCTTTTTTATTCCAGTCCACAGACATCCTCGACATTACAGCATATCAGCTTCTATGTATTTTTACGATGCATGGTTAAATATTCTTTGACAAGTTTTGTGACCTTTTCATTAAATAAATTATGAATATCCTTTGTCATGTCTTGTAACTTTTTCAGCCATAAACTTTGAATGAAAATGCTTATGAAAAGCAAATACTGATGTCTTTGACATGCATGAAATAAAATCTTAAGAATGAAAGAATCATTCATAATTTACTATCAATCAAATTTTGACTACAGAAATTCTTTCTTTACAACAAATGTGTATGATTGCAGTACAGTATAAATGATGAAAACCATGCTAAATGGTCTGCACTCACAATATGTACCAATATTATCATGTATTAACCACAACATACAAACGAAGAGGAACGAAATAAAAATAAAACAAAAAACATAATAGCTTTGCTTAAAGAATCACACCACAGAGCTGATATTATCTTCTACTTAGGTCGTTTGAATGATTTATTCACTGTTTTTTCTTCCACAGATTGAGAGGGAAAGTTTAAAACAAGGAAATCTTTCATTTTAAGATTAAATTTTGATAGAATGCCTGATAATAACAACAAATACTGTAATTAAACTAACCTGTTTGTAAAAATATCAATTAAAACACCTGTTTGCATTTAATTCGACGAAACATTCTTAAAAACTTCTTTTCATTCTCCATCCTTTCTTCTCGGGGGCTCTTTTGTAATTTGAGGTAGAAAGAATCTTCAGATTGAAAATAAGTCGTTCGTAAAAGAAATTTTACGGCAATCAGTAGCTCGTACGTAGAACGCGCACCTGCAAACAATCACAGGAATATTACGGAATATGAAATATTGCTGAATTTTATGAGGAGAGGGGGTGTTTTTTATTCAGGAAAATATAATAACAGACTTCCTATCTTTATGTTCAGCACAACATACATGTATGGTATAATATAAACTGAATTTATAGTAGAGGGTATTCAATGTTTTGTAGTTGAAAATGGAATTTATTTCATGAGTGTGACAAGATTTTATTCATATTTTCACGAGTGCAAAGCACGAATGAATTTTATTAAAAGAAAACTGTCTCACGTGTGAAATGAATTCCATATTCGACTAAAAAATCATTGAATTTTCTCTTTATTACATTTCTTTTTGATTTTTTTTTATATATCTTCTTTTTGATATCGTTCTGATATCCTTTTACATTGATAAGATATCAGTTTATTTAAAAATGTGTCAGGTGCTGTGTGTGCTGCATTTTCTGGATGACAAAATATTCTAATTTAGTTCTGAGAGTACTTTTAGACCTACTTTCTGCACATGCACAAACAAGTCTGATAAGAATGAATAGTATTATGTGATGTATGTGCTGCATGTGATATTTATTTACTGGATGAATTATCAAATTAAAGCAATTTGATCACATTTATATTTATTGGATATAGTTTTTACAATGACCTACCTTGCATAAATGATACCAATATAAGGATCCAATTACTTTGCTTCAGGTGCTGGAATGTTTAGTTTTTTTAAGCTAGTATAAATTCCTTGACGACCAAACTTTCATAGACATAGCATTTGGGGATGCATATCAGTAATAATACTTCAGATACTGAGTGTGACCTAATGTTTTCAAGAAAAATAATGAGTTAGGTTGAAATTTCTTTAGGTTTATTTCTATTAAAGCGATTCCTATAAAAATGCAGGCTAAGTTATTTAGTCAATAATAAGCACATGTAGTACATTATATCGGTTATCTTACTTCTGGGTTTGAACTATGGTCAAGCCCATTCACCAGCTTCCATTATATTTCATTAGGCATCAGGTTCAACACCTGGAAATGAGAAGTATAAAAACCTACCTGGGGAGAACATGAGCTGGTATCTAATGACTATGATTGGAAAAGGAAAGCAGTGGATACATGTATAACTGGCTACATTAGAACGGTATACAACTGAATCTGCATAGCTAGTACCTGGTAGATGGTCCAGGGTTCAAATCCTATAATCACTTCCTACTTTTTCTAATATGCACTCTTTCTCTATACTTGCACTAGTCCAGAAGCAGGGCATTTGAGAAGGTCTCAAAAGTCTGTTCTATTTTATTACCAGCATTTTTGCCAACAGAAAGATTGGAAACTTCTGTCAAACAGCAGAAGAGAAAACAAGAGGCCCATGGGCCACAACCCTCACCTGAGTCACTTTGGTCCTGGTGTTTTTCATCAACAGATTTTTTTTTCATTAAATTTTCCTCTTTAAGGTATCACTCATGATATGAGTTATATCAAGGATTTTAAAATTGGGGATCAGCATGCATCTTACTGAGCAATAGTACAATTAACTTGACCTTTTTGCACTTAAATTGCAACTTTTAGGTTAATCACTTTAACCTTAATCATACTTTACCAAATGTAATCAAGAAAATATATAAAATCTTATTTCATGTAAAATAGTTTGAATAATATTTACTATGAAAAATCCTGCAAATTAATGGACTTTAAGTATTGTGTGACTTTTTTGCATTAAAAAGAATAACATATTTGGGGGTATTAAAAATCTAGATAAGCAATAATATATTTTCTTGTATCAAGCTTTTTATGACTAAAGTGCTGATAGGTTGAATGTATCGTATAATATAAAATAATGAAAGAAAAAATTTGGGTCAGTGATGTAAATTTTGATATATATAGGTCAAAATATGTGATTTTTCAGACGAAAAACAATGTAAATTTTATCTTGACTTCTTAAATATATCATTCTTCATTTTTTTGGCAAAGTCTGTTGAGTGAATGTGTAAAATTTGTTTAAAAAATATTACTTGAAACCTATCTTTAATATTCCTAGCATTTAATAACGTCGAAAAAAATTCTCTGAGTAAAAATATATAGGGGTAAAGTTCCAAGATATTAAATCAAAGAAATATGTACAGTGTAGTTTCTTCTAAATATCCTCCCATGACCACAAGAAATAGTCCCCCCCCCCCTTAAATCTTGTTTCTTTACAAATTTGTGAGCAGTTCTTAAATTGAATATTATATAATTTGCACTGTTTAATTTCAAATATGTCATAAAAATTGAATTGTAATAAAATAATTTTGAAGTTAGAGGTTCTGACCAAACTTTTCTCAGAAGTTGAAGAGTGACAATATATACCTTAATTTCATAAAAATTTTACTCCATACTGTTGATCATTCTAGCCCTATAATGAATTCACACAACAATGGGATGCTTCAATATCAATATGATCACCATGGCCCTGATGTTTGGGAGTTTTTTTTCTTACACATGCATTATGTACAATTTTGATCTTGGAGTTTGGTCCAACCCTAATCACAGGGCTCATAATTAAAAATAAATGATTCCACATAACTTAAGTTTGTTTTGCTTTTCAATATCTTGCCACTTTTGAGAAAATTCTTCCTATATACTTTCTTGTATAACTCTGATACCCTATTGTTGCCTCAATCTATTCCCAAGGTTCCTGATCTGAACCAACTTGAATTTAAACTACCTGAGGATGCTTGCATATCAATATGACTGACTTAGCAGTTCATAAGAAGAATTTTAAAGATTTTTCATATATATATTCCTGTATATTCTTTGTATAATTGATCCCCCGTTGTGGTGCCACCTTACCCCCAAGATCATGATTTGAACATACCTGAATCTACACAATGTAATGACGCTTTCACATAAGTTTTATCTTTTCAGGCCCAGTGGTTCTTGAGAAGAAGATTTTTAAAAGATGCCATTAAATTTTCATTATTCTTAATTACCTCCCATTGAAAGAGGATGTGCCCCTCATTTGAACAAAATTGAATTCCCTTGACCCAAGGATGCCCCGTGCCAAGTTTAGTTGAAATTGGTCCAAGGGTTCTGGAGAAGATGATAATTGTGAAAAATACTGGTAGATGACAATAATGACAACAGCAACAGACAAATTTTGATAAGAAAAGCTCACTTCAGCCTTCAGCTCAGGTAAGCTAAAAAGCATTTAACCACATACACTATGAAGGAAAATGTTACTACATGCATATTTAATTTTATTAATACACAATGTAGAGTGTGTATGAATTGACAACACTTTCATATGATCCAGCAAACTAACTGTATATAAATCAATACTGAACAAGGCCCTGAAAAATCGGAAAAAAAATAAAACAGACGGAGGAGAAAAATGATTTATTGTCATAAAAGATTCCACTCAAATGACAAATAAATCAATGTGATCATATGACACACAGCTATATATTTCTATGTACAAAGTCACACCCATGTTACATGTAAAATTTGAGTTAGTCTAGTCATAACATCATACAAGCACTGTATTCAAAACCAGTTAAGGAAAATAAAAACAGCAACCTTCATGTACTGAACAGACTTTCTGCATTCATTTTACAATGACTGAAAAATATAAAAAAAGGAATATGTTTTGCTTAAATTTTATGTTTTAATTTCAAGTCAATACAACTTGTTACTTATTTTTTTTTAAATGCACTAAAGGGTAGCATGCACATTACTTCAAAGCTAGCTACCAAAAGAATCTTCAACACACTACACTAGTAAATGGTGATTCTTGGATTTTATATGAAAAAAAAATGCATAAAAAAGACAATTTGCCATAAAACTGCATTATCTCATTCACTACACGAGATCAATAAAGTGAAGGTCTAAAGCAACCAAAAAAACTATTTTAAAAAATCAAACTTTATCACTCTAGAACTTTACATAGTAGACATAATGCTACACGATTTTAGACACTAAATATTTATGATTAGGTGTTTAAAGGTTTCTATATCTTGAGCTAAGAATCTTTCCGTGGTCATTAGTTGGTTCTCTGTGCGTTTAAGTTATCGGGTATCATACATTTATTCGGTAAATAATGTTAAAACCTACACAAATTGAAGGAGTCTTGCTAATAATTGGTGGCACTTCCAAGATTTCAACCTTATATCACTAAAGATGAACAATTATCAAGCAATGTCAGAAATATATTGTACATTTATTGATTAAACATCATGACAAAATCACATTAAGAAAATGTGTAATGTTTTTGTTCATACTTGGTAAATCAAAGTTTCTAAACCTACAAAAAAGTGTTAGGTGACTAGAAAGAATGAATAAGAAGAGGAAATGTGGGACTCAAGTAGAAAGTGCATTATAAATTTAGTAAAATATTAATATGTATTCTCAATATTCATTCTGGTCATGGAAAATTCATTCCTTATGAGATGTACGAAGAATGTCTGTCTAGTTTTTTTTTTGTTTTTGTTTTATTTTTTTAAACATACAATGTTGTATATCCTGAAGATGTCTCGATCACCTTTTCTCCCTACATACACAAAGTGTGACTATCAGGAGATTACTGCTGTGTTAACACTTGACACGACCAATTCTAACAACCTTTTTGGGAAGATGATACGATGAGAAACCTATCAAAATCTACCATAAACTACAAAAAAGTTATCATTCTAGATGTTAATGTTACACTCAATAATACATGTATAGTCAAATTTGTATCCCATATAAACATGCACAAATGAATGTAGAAAAATTCGTGTTTTAGTTCTAGCATTCCTACAGTATTTATTTTTAGGTAATGATCAAGAAGCAGTGACAAGCAGTAATATGCTCTAACCACCAGGGAATTTACAGATGAAGTAACGATAGGTTATATAACCTGGAGTATTATTTAAAAAAAAATAAAACTGAGGGGAAAAACACACAGTGATGAAATCATGTACATGTCATGAGGTTGGGTGGTGGTCTAACACATTTTATAGAGATGCGAAGATGAAACTGATTAATAAATATCTGTCTAATTAATTAAGTTCAAATTTTATGAAAACTTCTCCCAGTGACATTTAGGTGGGGGAAAATGCACACTCTTTTTAAAACTGTAACAAACTGAAAGTTTAATGAAGTCTAGAAAAAGAAATGTTGGCATGTATCTTCCGATGTACACAGACTGACAGCTCAAAGAAGTTCAGTACACATACAAACTGAAAGATGGGCTGAACAATTGAATTCAATCTTCTTATAAATGAAATTTTCAACAAAAAAAATAATTTTTTAAGAACTTCATGTTTCATTTCTCTCTGAGAAACTAAGATTAAAATGGTCCCCAAAATGTAATTATGTTAGTCAGATTATTGAAAAGAAAAAAAAAACAGCTGAAAAATATCACATAATATGCAACTGACTTCAAATAAACCATTGGTGAAATATAACAATAAATAGTTTGTGCAACAATAAACAATATCACAACAAAAGGGAAACTTTAACATCAGACTACGGACCCTCTCAGAATATACAAACATGACTTTGAATTATTAAAAACCTTATTCTATTTAGTTCTTGTTTTAAGGGGGGGGAGGGGGCTTTACCTGGTAATTGACTACAGAACTGTGCATCTACATGAATCTTTTAAGTGTGTGAATTAAAAAAAGTTACTTTGTCATTTGTGAATACATGTACATGTAGTTCTATATAAATCACTGTAACAGTCTATTCTTCACATTTCAAGATTTCAAGAACAAAATAATTATTGCCTCTTATGTTTCTTTTAATTTCTGTCAACATGTATAAAATGTATCTTTCTTCAAAACCCAGGTTTATTTTAGGAGAAAAATTGAGGTATTCTGTAACCAAGACAACTAAGTAATTTAAACCATATCTTTTCCACAAATGCCTTTCACTCAAGTTACAAACCATGTTGGAGTCCTATCAAACTAGCATGAAAAGAATGCACAGTTAAGAATGAATAATTCATTATATTAACAAGAAAATTAAACCTATTCCCAGCTATTTATGCTTTTTCTGAGCTATCTGAAACTTACATACATCAATCAGAAAAATAAATTTACATCAAAAAAGGGAAACAACTTGGCAGAAATATCATACATCAAATACATATATGTATCCAAATAAAGATATCATATACAAACAAAAATAAGTATACAATCATGTATGTATATATATATATATATAAATAATTCATGGATGAAAAAAGAATTGTTACGGAGCATGTTAGTCCAACTTGGTATTTACAAGAAGAAAAATGTTATTTTAAGTGGGTCGTCCTCAACTCATCCTTGTGAACTAGGATCACACTGTAAAAGACGAACAATGGAAGGGTCGCTTTTTGCTCCTTCAATAAATTCTGTCAATGACAGCTGTCCGTCAAGATTCTTGTCCATCTGTCGAAAAATCTTTTCTGTCCTTTTCTCAGGTGTGGCTTCGTCCTCCGGCATCTTCATAACTGTTCCTACCATTTTGTAAATGGCCTAAAAGTAAAAAAGAAAAATTAAACTTGATTATCTTATTTCTTATGTTCTCTTTCATGTCTTTCGGACATAAAGAGCATCGGTATCAAAACACATAACCATGCTTTATTATTTTAATCCTGCTCTTTTCAAATTTCTTTTGCAGACTCGTTTACATCATTATGATCAACCCTTTGATGTTGACAAAAACAAAACAACTGGCGGTAGAAACCATAAAGTGATGAAAATTGTTACTGAAGAAAATTCAGCTCAGGGATTCCATTTCACATATGAGACTTCCTCAATCCACAACATTCTTTTCTTCATCACGTCAATTTATCCTGAGCTTCTTGACAATTTTAATTTAAAATTCTTTAGTATTCTAATGATAGAATATTTTACCTCTTTGAATTGCCAAGAATGATTGCATGCCGCTTTTATTTTTGCTCTTAAGAGAAATACTAAATTGTCATAAGAGTTATATTCTACGAACAAATGGTCAAAACAGTTGGAGAAGAATTGAGAGGTTATGGGGAATGATTCATCTGGATCATTTACAATAAATCAGAGCTGTCTAATCGACTTTATACACTTGTATATCGGAAATGCTGCATAAATAAATTTTACAATTTTTATAGAAAATTTTGCCTTATGTATTCAGAAACATGCTGTTTTTCAGATATCTACAATTTGCACATATTATCATTTTGTTAATGCTAGATAAGTAATATGCAAACCTTATGACCTATATCATATTAAATTGACTATGGTTCGGGGACATATTGTACTCTCAATTCAAAAATGCAACCTTATGAAACACAGTGTGTGTTACGCAGTTACATACGCTACAAACATAAATAACAGAAAAGGGCAAGCAGTTCTGATTTGCGTTAAAGCCTCTTAAATAGACCAATAGATGATTTGTTGGCATGATTAGTGTTTCAGGTCACGATTCCTTCATTCACCTCATGTCTGACAGCATCTGGCTTAGCTTCAACAGATAATGAAAATTAAATTGACATTTCTAGTCTATTGTTACCAACTGAATGACAATATGGAAACACAGGCAAAATCCTGGGAGGCGGCTGATGTTACAGCACCCCAGGGAAATTTCCCTTGCCCAACTATAAACAACATTTTATAACTGACAAGTGCTTTTGACTTTTTCTGGAAAGTAGTTTATAGTTTCTAAGAAAAGTTGGATCCATGCAGGGAGAATCGTGACATAATGCAGTAGTCAAGAGTCTAGATTTAAAAGATCAACCCCAAAAAAACAATCAGTCTTGGAGCAATCACATGTAATGGAAGCAATTACTGACATAAAATTTACATGTATTATTATCATTAGCCCCCCCAAAAGCCTTTAAACCCTTTTTATACAAGTCCTACATGCAACGTTAATACAAATAACAAAGGGATCTGTTTGCAAGTAAGCTTATTGAAGTCTTCAATAAAGTTACTATTACAACACAAGAGGAAAATCCATTTAGCTTTTGTGTATTGTTGATAGAATTATTGCATTTTTAACATATTGCTTGTTTTTGCTCATCTCCTTATCAAACAGCATACATACAATATCTACATTTGGTTTTCTATAGAGAAAAGGCTCTAATACATGATGGACCTCTCTGCACACTTCCTGACTTTCTCTATACTTTTTGTAGAAATCTACTTAGTCTGTGCAAGTACGATGATATTTGCCAATTTTATGCAAACCAAATAAAAAGTAGTAAGTATGCATTATGCATACAAAATCATGGAAAATCACTAGTACACTATAAACATACTAGAAACAAGCAAAATTTCCCCCTTTTATTGTATGGATTTATACTCAAAGGGCAACATTTCTTGGGGACTTTTAGGTATTAAAAAAGAAATACAAATGTAATTGCACTCACCGTCACAATTTCTAACATCTCTTGTTTTGAAATGAATCCATTTCCATCCAAATCATACATGCTAAAAGCCCATCGTAATTTCTGTTCTAATTTTCCTCTCGATGTTACACTTAAAGCACATATAAATTCTCGGAAGTCTATCGTTCCATCACCGTTCTGGTCAAAGGTCCGAAATACATGTTCAGCAAATTTCGATGCATCACCATAAGGGAAGAAATTTCCATAGATTTTCTTGAATTCCTCCACCGATAAATGGCCACTGGGACAGTCTTTAATGAAACCTTTGTACCATTCTTGTAGTTCGTCTTCACTGAATTCTGTCTGACTCCGTAGGTCTGCCAGAATCTCTGGTTTCAGCTTACTATTCTGTTTTCCCATGATGCCAAACTCCTGCTGCACTGGGATACCAGTAAATTACCTGGAAAAAAATCTACAGCATTTCAATGTTTGTCAAACCCAAATTTTTTATTGGGTTGTATATCTTCTTTGACATACAACCATATATTCTTTTTACTGGAGTTTAAAATTAAAAAACAACCCTTAGGATTCACCACAGCATTTTTTTTTTAAAGTCTTTATCAATTTCTTCAAAATGTATGCCAGATGAAATCCATCCCTTTGAAGAAGACAAGTAAAACTAACAAATGGACAAGTACAACTTTCATAATCTACAATTCATTCAATGTTTCCTGACCCTTAGTAAGTCAAGTATATGAAAGAAGTTTCATAATGTGTCAAAATCTTCAAGCATTGCCACTGCATTATCAAAATTCTTCCACATACAGAGAAATATCAAATATCATCACATGCTTACAAGAGTTTTCCCCAGAGACAGTCCAAGGTATTCACCTGTTCTGCTGAATCAAATGGAATTATTTTATGTATGTGTAGTTATTTTATTGATTTAATGCTTTGTTATATACTACAGATCGAAAAAAGACCATGGCATTGAGAACAAAATGCCTTTTGTTGTGAAGTAATTAAATCTGAAAATATTGTGATTGTGTTCTACATTACAAAAATAATACTTCAACAGTGAATTCCCAATGGAAAACAAATGTCTGTCTTAAGGTCTAAAAACACCAAATTGTTTACAATGCTGGTTTCTCAGGGGCAAGTCCACCACAAAATTTACCATATATATGCTCTTAATTACTCAAAAAAAATCTCAGGTTGAAAAATTCAGATTCAGATTTAGATACTTGCATCCATATATTCAACTTAACCTACTTTCATGCACAATGGTACCACATACCATTTCATTCTGTCAATAGCATTAATTAGGACAGCTATTTGTTCTTTTAACTATTCTTTTCAAGTTAAACAAACAACGCTGCATCATGGCATTTCCAGTTTGTGTATATAGATTCCAAATTGACAATATAAATGAACTTAGCAGAAGCCAATAACAAGCCGCTGAATTATGTACATGTATGTGAAAAATCAATATAAAATGGTGCAATTATGTTCTAATAACTGCCTTGTTTGCATTGTAGAAAAGGGCCTCCTGAAGGTATAAACAGTAGGAGAAATGATAATGATAGAAAAGATAAATAAAGTATCATACAGCTCTGAGCTGCAAATGAGGCTGGGTTCATTGTCTTAACTATATCATATACAGGGACCAGGAAGTAGATTAGAAATGGTGGGAAATGAGGGAGCAAGGGATCGTTTGGACAAAAAATAAGGATATCTTAAACTTGCATGCACATTTTAAGCATTAATTTAAATAAATTAACTAGTCTGAAATATTTCATCTTTCATGTAGAGTGAATTTTACATTTCCCTATCCACATTAATAGCATGGAAAATATCAGCCTCACTTCTAATGCCAAAAAAAATTGTTGGTTGCAATGTGGCAATGTCGTTGACTTTTGAGCAGGATACAGTGATGAGGTAATTAAGTTTCAATAATTATCATCTCTTGGTCAACACTATGAAATTATAGAAGTTAATGGTATGTTAACTGCCAGCTTAAGAAACAAGCTATCATGCAGGATAGTCTATAAGTGATTAAAGCTAACAATCATAGCAGAATTATACCTCATATCAAGCCCTTCATGAGACATAAATTGAACCTATTACCCTTATATTTCAATAATTTTTTTTCCTCAAGATTACTAATGTCACAATTATCTCCATCAGAAGAAGCCCTTTAAACCTATATGTTATGTGTTATTTATGGCATACATGTATACAGAATTGCAGTATACAAAGTAATGCTAATTTGGAATTGTAGCTTCTCATCTGTTTTTTTCCCCTTGTTTTCCAAGGCATTTAAAATATTCTTCCAAAAGAATCAAAACACATTGGACTATGGTGCTATGCCTCATTTCAACAAGAGGCCCATGGGCCACATCGCTCACCTTAGCAAAGCAGAAATCAGTTCAATATTGAAAAGTTTAAATGTAAAAGTGGCTCAAGGGGAGAGGAGGGATGTTATGATCAGAACAAACTTGAATCTACACTACCTGGGGATGCTTCCATATATATATGACCAATCATGGCTTTGCTGTTCTTGAGAAGATTTTTAAAGATTTTTTCCTATGTACTTTGATTGCCAACTGTGGCCCCACCCTACCCCAGGGGTTATGATTTGAACAAACTTAAATCTACACTACCTGGGGACGCTTCCATATAAATATGACGAATCATGGCTTTGCTGTTCTTGAGAAAAGAGCTAGGTTCACTTTATGCATAAAATGGCCCTGTAGATATACCAATTTATTGACTAATACCCCATGTACCATTTTCAACATTATTATAAAGTAGAGACTTAGTTCTTTCAGTTTATTCAACAGAATTTCCTTTGAAGAGTCCAGGCATTGAAAACAGGTTGTGTGAAACTGCAATGTTATTGAATTTTGCAGAAAACAGGTGTTTTTGAGAACCTTCAGCAAAGAATAAAAATATGAGCACACCCCTCGATCCAAAAATTAAAATATGTTTTATAATCTTCATTAACAGTTCTTTTATAATATATTTACAAATTTTGGATCGGAGGTTGTGCTGTATATGAAATATTGAAAAATGGCATCATATTTTAGCAATGTTTGAAGAAATATTCAGGATATGTGAATAATGATGCTATTCATGACGTCATAATGCATTAACTAGAAAGAAAATTACGTCATTTTCAGTCGATATTCATTCACCAAGTGCTTAAGTATTATTTATTGCCTTGTTGCCTGAAACTATACAGTTTTGAATTTTCAGAAATTCACAGGGCCAAAAAAGGCCCTAAGTGGCTCTTGCTCTTTTTAAAGATTTTTTCCTATATATTCCTATGTAAAACTTTGATTGCCCATTGTGACATCAACCCACATCCGGGGGTCATGATTTGAACAAATCTGAATCTACACTACCTCACAATGATTCCACATAAGTTTTATATTTTCTAGCACAGTGGTTCTTGAGAAGATTTTTAAATGATGCCATAATTTTTCACCAATTCATAATTATCTCCCTTTGGAAGAAGACGCGGCCCTTCATTTGATCAAACTTTTATCCCCTTTACTAAAGCATACTTTGTGGCAAGTTTGGTTGAAATTGGCCCAGTGGTTCTTGAGAAGAACATGAAAATGTGAAAGGTTTACAACAAAGATGACAATGACAACAGACAAAGGAAAAAATTCTCTTGAGCCTTCAGTTCAGGTGGGCTAATTAACAAAATTATGTAACCCTCTATTCTACGAAATCAGCTACATTATTAATGTAAAAATACCTACTTACTGAGGAATATAGCAGTAGCAACACACATTATTCTTTACAGAGGAGTACTGTATTGAGCTTTCACAGGTTCTGTATCAAAACCGATAATGATTCTGTTTACTTCTATACTAAGAATAACACAATATAATTATTATGTTTCTATAAAGACGAAGCTTAGCCTTTCTAGAGTCTTACCAACAACACTTCTTTGTTTCTAGTGTGAACTTTATACCTTATATACATATACATTGTGTACTTAGTTGTATGCAGTGGAATTGCAATCCTTGCAATACAAATCAATACCTCCTAAGTTTATCACTGAAGATCATTCAAATTACAATACCATGTTTGGTCAATGTTTACATCTATGCCTCAATATATTCCATTCTCTTGTCTTTCTCTGTTGATCTCGGCACAAAACACTGAATTCTAATTATGCCAGGTCTTTCCTTACGACCAATCTAACTCTTATAGTTGCAGGCAGAAAAAGAATTTGTTGGAAAATGATAACAGCACTCCTAGTTAAATAATTATAGACCTTACATGAAAATCAATCAGGAATACCTAACACACAGATATGACTGGTGACTAGAGGCTTACAGATAATTGACCGCATCAAAGCAACGGGACTCAAAATCTTCAGATTCGAGGCACAATGAATCAGAACAAATGACAACTAAAACTGGAAAAAACATTAAAGTGACAAAAGCAGTTCCGAATGTTAAATTTTCAGACTTCTGATGCATCAAAGTACTGCAGACATACAAGGAATTTTAAATTTGCTAACTTTAATAATAAAACAAAGGCATTTTTCCTCAGCAGAAAACTACTTTAAAATAGACATCCTAAAAAAAGTGATGAATTGTAATCTCTTTCTTTATTATGTATAAAAATTTATAACCAATTGAACTTTCTTGGCTTCAAATTTCAACTTTTTTCATCTTGAGGACATAGAACTTTCTCACAGTTTCTGACTTTATGCAGGCTTTTCTTTCAAATTCCAAATAACAAAATTTTCATTTTGTCAATGACTACATTTATGAAATGACACTGAATTTACAAAATATTGGTTATGCTCTGAAACAAGCACATATATTGTATAAGCTACATAGTTGGTCTTTCTCTCTCTCTCTACATGCAATTGCCCAACATCAAAGGTTAAGATGAAACACAAGAACACATCCTATTACAATTATTGTGATTGTTTCAAATTAGTAATAAACTTTTCATATGAAAGAAAATGTTAAATTAATGGAGACAGATGGACTACAAAATAAAGCCCAAGGGTACATTACTTTGCAGTATGTAGTACAAAATTTCAATCATTGAGTGATCATGCATGCACTTCTCCCATTTATATTGCCAAATTCTTCTTCAAAGGATGATGACTATGCACAAGAAGAACTATTAATATCTACTGAAAGGAAAAAGAAATGCAGGATAAACTTTTGAAGTGATTTTAAAAAAAATGTATGACCTTGATCTTTGACACCTTCCCTTCAAAATCAATAGGGGTCATGTTTTAGTGAAACTTAAAAAATTTAAACCATATACAAACTTGTGCTTATGACCTTTGGTCTCTGGTCACAAAATCAATAGGGGCCTTTCTTAAGGTATAGAAAGTCATCAACTAAGTTTCATTGCCAAAGCTCAAAAAGAACTAAAGTTAAAATCTTTGAACCATTATATGCAATATTTGAATTAATGACCTTGACCTTTGATATTTTGACCTAAAAATCAGTAGGGGTCTTCTTTAAGTGATAAAGAGTTATGCTTTAAAATTTTAAAAATTGCAAAAGTAAAACAACTTTCAAAGATATCACCTGGAAACTAAAGTGTACCATTGTAACCTTAAGTTTCATCACATAAGCTAAAAGAGAACTAAAGCTATCATCTGAAACCATTTATGCAAAATATGAATTTATGTCCTTGACCTTTGGACCTCAAAACTTAATAGTGATCTTCTTTAAATGTTATAAAGTATTCTATATATACATGTACATACAAGACTTTGTCAAAACTATTTCCCTTTTCCACTTGTGTTTCCATATCTAGTATGTAGTTTGTTCAAGGTTACATGGGCCAATTGCAAATTTGTTGAAATGATCAAACACCACATGAAGACATTGAAGGAAAACAATATAGGCTAGACTTGTTGAAGGGTTGATAAAACAAAAACATAAGAAAGAACATTATAACCTAAGGCTTCATTTATAATATCCACAGAGTCTGAGAGCCAATGCACCCCCTTCCAACATGATGACAATATATTGGTCTATTCAGTTTTTTGCTCAAAAATGCAACACCAAAACCTTATGTTCAAGCCATGCACAAAGCTTGGACTGAATAAATGGCTCACCACCCAAAATGGCAGTATAAACATGCGAGGTTTTCGATGTTCTTCCTTCAGACCCAGGAGGGCTATTAACAACGGTTTTAAGGAATGTTTTGTAGTGGAAATAATCAAAGAATATGTTAAGAACACGGTTAGTAATATTTTGAGATGGCAGCTTAAATGTGCAGCAAAATAAATCGAGAAACAGCACACATTTTTTGTGCGCAATAAGTACACTTTTTTCAATGGGTGGCACTGTAGCTCTCAGGTTGTCCATCCCAATACTTTCAATCCAGCCAGCTAGGGATCTGCATGCAGCTACAACTGAAGCATGACTATATATGCATCCTAAGGTGCAGCACTGACTTTGGAAATTGACATACTCTAAAACATTTATCTGATCACTCATTCAAAAAATGTAGGTCACATGCAGAATCTGTATCTTGATCCATGGTGTCAGTACCATGCAAGTTTGATCTGCATGAAATTTTACTTACTTGGGAATAAACTTGCTAAAAGGCTTAATCAGATCTCAGAAAATGTAGATCACTTACAGCATCATAAAAGTATCACAATTCTTAATTCTGAAAATGTATGACATTCTTTTAAAAGGAAACACACTCTTCTGAGCCCCCTGAAGAGCCTTTGGGGCAGTGATCAAAAATTCTGAAATTTTATTGCACATATGCAGGACATGGCCAATCATATGGAAAACATATATTTATACTACTTGAAATATAGGAGGAGTTCCACAAAGCTACTTTTTCATATCAATCTTTTTAAACCCTGGGAGCCTATATTAAAGTTCCCAAACCCATTTGTACATGACATGACATGTCAATTATATATTTATCATATAGAAATGTAAATATAAGGAATAATTATCAAGTTTGGGGGTCTACAGGGATTATAAATCAATTGGAGAACATAGTAATTCTTGTATAAGCACCAGAGTCAATAAGAAAACTTGATAATTCTTGTTCAAATGCATTCATAAAAGAATTACCACATTATCATTCCAATAGATCCAGTCAAGACAATTATTCCATAAATAACATCTCAAACAGCTGATCTTCACCTACACTGCTGAAACCCTCTTTTTATCAATGAATACCCACCAACTGCAAGGTAGCAACATTCCATTCACAAAGTTCTTGAATTTTCCATTATTACAAAGATCACGTTGACTTTCAGCCACTGCATGAAAATTTAGTCCTAATACAATGAACCTACTACTATGCAGAAAATGATACATGTATAAACTAATTAAAAGTTATTTTTTTATAAATAAAGTCTTAAAACTCTAATGAATTACATACAAAATCCCTAGTACTTACTAGTAAATCTTCCACAGTGTGTGTCTACAGTTAATGAACTCACCAAAATTCACAATCCATTGTTTGACTACCCATTTGAGCTGATAATGATTTAATAATCATATTATTTTCAAGCTTTCAAATCATGAACAAACAAACGTATGTCAATATCTCAGTGCAAGTCTGAATTTATTTTCCACATTTCCTATGAATCGATATACCAAAATACCCATGTAATAGAGAAATTAACTAAATGAGTCGATAAAACATTTTCTGGTCCATCTGTTTGGTAGAGAGCAAACATTTTATGTTGAAACTTTACATTTTCATTCAGTTTAAATCTGTTGATATAAAAGAGCGTGACAACAATGGATTACTTTTCATCTTACCTTGTAGAAAGAACAGACGAGGATTTAAATTTGTGTAAGCTATGGTCATAAAATTTAGTAATCCTTTGCTTCTTGCACGACAAACCAAACGAACACAGAAATCCGTTGAGATTTCTGACAAGAAATATAACAGAAACTCCAGGGGGGTCGTAATGGGTGACACTTCTCTCTCCCTAGCAGTATATCTCCTTAAGAACTCACTGTAAAGTCAAATCCTGTAGCCTATACCATACTGTTCTCCTTAGGTGTAATATAACTTCCATGTAGCAAAATAAAAAGTCCAGAGAGAGATCTGTCCTCCTCTTGTCTTTTTCACATACACAATCGTTGTCAGCCTTGGCTTGTTGCTAATGTCATATTTTCTCTGCAGTCACCATCCAATCAATACTTGGATAAATATGTACAACTTTGTGTAGAATGAAGGTCTGGCAGCAAAACAGATGTAGTGGTTCTGTTTTCACTACCACATATAACATCATCAATGAGTGATATAAGATTGGCAACTAAAGCTCATATAATTAACACACTGAAGGGGGGAGGGGGAGAGGGGGTCAAGTAGCACTGTGACAGCTGAGCGAATTGAGGATACTAAATTACCAATACCTTATGATTCTTATGGTCTCTGTTTTATTCTTAAGATATACAATACCCTTATTGATAATACACATCCTGGTTTTCATTTTCAATATACATGTACTACCCACACTAACATCTCAACCATACAAGCTGATATGTTCCTCTAGACTGGATTCAGCAATAAAATATCCCTTTTTATGTGTGCCAGCTTCTGAATTTTTCAGAATTTATGAGCTGTTTAGATTTATTATCCTCTTCTAAAAAGGTCATCTCTCTCATACAAGGAATTCAACCTAATCTTGCTGAACAACACAGCATTGACTTCTGAGTCTCATTTTACATACTCCATAGGAACTTGTGTATTGATTTCATATTCTGCATCAAAATAAATAATTTTTTACTTTCTTAAAGTGCTTCTTATGCATTCGGATGAAATAAATTTGTAATGGAAAACCACTTTTTTCATATTTTTACTACAGCACATTTTCTCTATTAATGGGAAATTCTTTATAGCAGATATACAATCAAGTTAGCTCTGTATAACACAATAAAGAATGGCTCTACGTTTAAAACAATAAACACTTCAAGTTGCTATTTCAGTCTCATCCTCAGTAAATAAACTGCTTCAAACAGTAGCAGATAATCAAATTCAGCACAACAATTGAATCTATCAAGGAGCACAGCATTAAAAATGACCCAGATTCACAAATAAGTAAGCTCCTGAAATTTCCTGCTGAAACTTGAATATATAAGTATAGAAGATTTTCATTAAAAATAAGCCCTCCTGTCCCAGAAGAAATTAGCATTAATGTGGTCCTTAATATTAATAGTAACTCATTCATTCTGTTGAGTTTTAGTTTCCATCATTTCCATCAATTCTTCCTGCATTTCTAAATAATAAATGAAACCTTTCAAACCCTTTATGAGATCTCCATAGTGCAATTTGAATCAAGAGAAAAATGTTGGAGCATGACACAAAATGTAGGAGTGAAAAAAAGGCTTCTTTGTACCTCGATCTGTACTTTTTTGGACAGAAAGTGAAAAAAAAATATTTCTGTTAAATGTAATTTCCCTTGTGATGCCAACTAGATGAGTAATATTTTTGCTTCCCTTAAAAAAAAACCATTTATACAATATCATACTACGTATATTTGAATGCCTCAGCTCCTGTGAGATGTTTTGGAGCAGTGCAGCTATATATTAATATATACATGATATATATTTTTTTTGTGATGCCACCTCATGCTAATAATACCAATGTGTCTACCCCATAAAGATACTCCAATAATATATATCATTCTATGTTTAAATGCCTTGTAAGATGTTTTTTACCCTGTAGGATATTTTAGAGCAGTACAGTATTCATGCTTCTTTAATTACGTCAAAATAAACAGTGTGATTTATGAGGCGTTAATCATTCTGATATTTCATACTTATACAGCTCCTTGTGGTGATATATATTACATCATCAAATAGTCTCATCAGGAATTCTGACATCATTAGCTACATCATCATTTATTCATATCAATGGAACTTTTTACGTAAACAAAACATTGCCTAAGGGCCTTATGTTTCAGCACAGTAGTAAGTACTAGTACATCAAAATAGTAATTCAACTTAAAAACCTTACACAAAATATACTCTTTTAAAGAAGATATACCCATAATCTACAACCACAAAATATAACTTTCATTATATAAACCCACACTTTCCAAGAGTGTTTCAAACAAAATAAACTTTTTTCATTGGATAAATTAACAATTTAACATAAAATTGTTAAAAAATACTAATAAATCTGCCTGCATTCTGGTTAATGTACCTACAGTCATACAGGTAATTCCCTGACCACTGGCTTTTCTCATTCACTGACATTCCCTCTACACTGATAATATGCTTTAATCAAGCCCGATATTTCATAACCCTTAACAAGGGGCCATAACACTCTCAAAGTATGTTTGCTGAGCTTGGGTAAATCTATATTAGGATTGCCAGTAAATCATCGTGACTTCTGCAAGCATGGACAGAGAGATTATTAATCTTTTAAGTACCTAAATCATTCAAGGTTCGAAGATATGTAATTATACTGAATGTTTCACCTGAAATTTCATTTCCTGCATATACAATCATTAAACCTTAATTTCAAATCATTCAGTGGGTTTTTTCCCCTCCAAACCATTCCATTCTTTCCACTTTTGTCTCCCGTACACTCCTACTATCCCCCTTTATATTTAATCAATTTGATGCAAATCCCCAGCCACTATAAGGAATCAATATCTTAAACGTGAAGGGAATAACTGATTAATTTTCCACTTCTTCAGTCTGCATAAAACAAATCATCAAAGGACGAATGCACCAGAGAATCCCCAACACTGTCGTCATCAGCTATTGCTAGAAATATCATAGTGGTGGTCAATTTCACACCCATGATTTATGTCTCGTACCACTATCAACTGGCGGCGTTAAGCTAGCATCCTAAGGAATTTTTTTTTAACCTTCATCTAACTGGTCTAACAGTCATGTGAGAAAACACAGACAACACACATACCATTCTATTTCTTTATATATTTTTTTCTGAAATTTAGGAAAAAGGGACACAATTCCATCATGAGTTGTAAACAAAACCAAAAAAGAGGAAAAAAATTATCAAGAGTCAGACTGGTAAATACACTGAAGTACCGGTAGTATGAGAGAAAAAACTAGAAATATGTCCATAGGATACGAATGACCTGCTCAAACTACATTTGTATAGCAGCATAAAAAGAAGCTCGCCTGCTTCTTTGGTCTGAGATGAAAGAAGGAAAAGTTTTCAATTTTTTTTTCCAAAGAGAGAACTGATACTGTCAGTACAATTGTCCTATAATTATAATATATAATGTTGATTCCTCCCATCCATCATCTAACAGCTACATGTAAATGAAGTAAACAATGAACTTTTTTTCTTTGAAAAATCTAATTCTTGATTTGTTAGTAACAATCTTGAAATAATTTGTTTTTTTTAAATATGTTTCTTACAGTTAAATAACAGTCTTTAGCTCACTGCACTAAAACAAAAAAAATTGAGATGGACAACTAGAGAGGTTCATCCCAGTATTTTTAGACCATGCAGTTAGAGAACTCTTTCTTCATAGCAAAATGCATGGTTTGTCTGCTAGATGCTCAGAAATAATGAACATCATCTGACATTTTCTCCATGCTTGGTTTGGTTATTTGATATAATTTGTTCATCACAGTTGTTTCCTGTCACCATGTTTAAATAGCTAAAGAATGCGAAAAAAAAATGTAGAGACAGAGACTGTCAATGACAACAAGAAATGCTTTGAGTTATACTTGTAATGAAACTTGTGCAAGCTAATAGAAAGATGGAAGGGCAGTGAGCCATGATTCAGATACCAATATATACAAACTTATAGTGCATCAGACTGCATCCATGTGTAAGACAAAAACAGTTTCATTACAGGATCAAATATCTTTGCACAGATGCCTTGTGTCACATGACAATAATTTAATTCTTAACATTAAAAGTGAGCATACTTCTAGAGAGTCTGCAAACTTTATCTCCATCTATTTCTTTACTCAAAGCTGAAAGTATATCCATCTTTGATTTACCATATAACTGTACAGTAAAATGAGCCTTGACAATACATACATGTATGCTGATATTGCGGTGAACCTATAATTTATTTTGTGGTGCTATATCACTATGTTAAACTGATAAATGACAGGTAACACATTTTATTACACTTTACTATCTCCTTAAGTTTATGAATATAAGATTGAATGTCGGGGTAGAACCACATTAATGATAATAAGGCTGTCAGAGCATATAGATATATGATGAAATATAAAACTGTTTCTATATTTTACAATAAAATATGACAAATGAGAATATCAAGGGTATATATAGAACATATGCTCATAAACATTTAAAATGCAATTTCTTAATCAAAAGTCAGCAGATATGGCCTTCAGGATTGTTTTTCTCTAAGTTAACATTTTTCAGAGACATTAATAACAGAGATTTGCAATTGTTCGAAGTTTCGCGTTATCTGGCAGTCCCTATTGTTTACTATTTTTTCAAATCTTGTGCAATCTAAATGACATAAAACTTTAAAAATGATCAGGGATGAGAGAGTAAATATTTTTAATTTATTTTTACATTATAAGATAGAAAATAAACAGTTATTCTTAGAATAATACCAGGACAATCACATATTTCAGTAAACAAACATTTTAATGGTGAAGTTGCAAATCTCTGTCATTTATGTCTCTGCATTTTTTAAAAAATTGCAAATAAATGAGCAATCAATATATTCAGATGTGTAAATTAAAAAAATATGTATATTTTTATAAAATTGTCTGAGACTAAAACTTGCTTTAACTGGGATGTTTGGCCAATTTTTATACTATGCAAAGCAGAAAGCAAAGCGTTTGGTTGCCAGGAAGTAAAATATTTCACAATACTCTTTTTAACATTCAATACGTAACGTTATATGTTATAACAAAAGGTTGCCAAAACCATTTTCATCA